TTCGGCTACGCTGCTTCCTGTTCGGCTACCCTGCTTCCTTGACGGCTACCCTGCTTCCTGTTCAGCTACTCTGCTTCCTGTTCGGCTACTCTGCTTCCTGTTCGGCTACTCTGCTTCCTGTTCGGTACCCTGCTTCCTGTTCGGCTTCCTGGTCGGCTGGTCTGCTTCTGGTCGGCTACTCTGCTTCTGGTAGGCTGATTTGCTTCCTTGACGGCTGGTCTGCTTCACTGGTCGCCTGCTTCACTGGTCGGCTTCTCTACATCCCTGGTCGGCTAGTCTGCTATATGGTCGGCTATTCTGCTTCTGGTCGGCTGGTCTGCTTCCTTGACGGCTACTCAGCTTCCTGTTAGGCTGGTCTGCTTCTGGTCGGCTACTCTGCTTCTGGTAGGCTGATCTGCTTCCTTGACGGCTGGTCTGCTTCACTGGTCGGCTTCTCTGCATCCCTGGACAGAAGGTCGGCTCCCCTGGACGGAAACTTTACTCCCCTGGACGGAAATCTGCTCCAATGGACGGAAGGTCGGCTTCCCTGGACGGAAGGTCGGCTTCCCGAAACGGAATAACAGCTCCACTGGACGGAAGATCTGCTCCACTGGACGGAAGATCTGCTCCACTGGACGGAAGATCTGCTCTTATAGACGGAAGATCTGCTCCCCTGGACAGATCTCAAGACGTGAAGCTCCTGCGCTTGCTTCTCTGAAGATCCGCTCTTGAGCTCGTTCGGGATTCGCCCTTGAGCTCGTTGATCTCCTTAAGCTCCCGCGCTTGCATCCTTTAAGATACGCTCTTGAGCTCGTTCCAGATCCGCTCTTGAGCTCGTTGATCTCCTTGAAGCTCCCGGGCTTGCTTCACGGCTTCACAGCATGCGTCAATTGAGATCTGCAACAGTCATAAACGGAGTCATGAGTAACTACGAAAAAGGGCTTGAAGCTACTAACGAAAGCGCAAGTTTTTAACATAACTGCTGAAAATGGATCAACATTGCATCAAACAAAACACTGCTGAAAACAACGTGTTGAAGGCTCAAAAGGGTAAAGGTCAGGCCGCAAAGGGAGCTCACCGTAGCCTCAAGACGTGAAGCTCCTTCGCTTGCTTGTCTGAAGATCCACTCGATTGAAACTTGGATGACTGAAGATGCCCCTGAGCTCGTTCGAAACTCCACACCGTTATTGCTGAAAAAAACGGGAGGAAACACACATAAGGCACGAAGTTAGTAAAGAGAAACAGAAGAAACATAAGTAAAAAACAAAGACGAACCGAATGCAAAAACGAAAACGAAGAAGGCGGTAACAGACGATGTAAACAAACGGGGTGGGATCGTCCATGGCGCTTCGGCTGCAGCTAGCAGAGGGAGGATCTATCTACCCGTTCCCAACCCAACCGCGGAGGATCATCTGTAGCTGCAGCCTTGGCGCCAGAGGGACGGTGGAAACGTTGAAAAAACAACAAAGGCGGATGGCGGAATGGCGGATTGCAGAACGAAAAAATCGACAAACGAAAGGAAAAAAAGTAGAACGACACTTCCCGATCAGTTTAAGTTGGAGTAGTCGGTCTCCCGTTGCACGCCACACGGAAAAAGCGTTGAAGCCAGCGACAACAGTTAAAGCCTAGATCCACTTTGGGCACCGAAGACACTCGACCCTGCAGATGGTGGCCTTCAAAAGTTGCTGCTCGTGGCCTTCAATAATTGTTGCTCGTTGCTTCAACGATTGCTGCTCGTTGCTTTAACGGTTGCTGCTCGTTGCTTCAATTGTTGCTGCTCGTTGCAGAAATATTTGCTGCTCGTTGCTTCAAAAGGTGCTGCTCGTGGCCTCGGTGGTTGAACCTGCAAATATCAATTAAAAGAAGTCAGTCATCCAGATCTGTACCTCAAAATTAAACACGAATAGAACCAGATTTGGATCTGAATGAAGACAACGAAACCAATGCGCGCTTACCTTGGGGAGATCGGTTGGTAGGCGGGGCGGGGGGCGGTGTATGGATGGGTGCGGGTTGCAGGTTGGCGGTGGAGGCGAGTAGTGGTGGGCGATCTCCATCTTGAGGACAAGACTTGCAGCCGTGGCCCCAGGACTTGCTTCTCGTGGCCTTGGGACCCTGCAAGTATTCAAACGAAAAGGAGTAAGAAATAGATCTAGATCTGGAAATTGATGCGGAAACTAAAAAAATAACCCAATTGAAAAATGAATGAACAAAAGCCAAAAATGGAAAGCCAAACGGTTTCACACGAAACGCTTACCTCAGGAGTTTGGAAGGTAGGCTGGGCGAGGGGCGGAGTGCGGTTGGTGGCGGGTTGAAATGGCGATGGAGGCGAGTGGGGATGGAACTCCTCACGGCTGAAACGTTGCTGCTCGTGGCCTGTAGTTACTGCTCGTGGCCTTCAATAGTTGCTGCTCGTGGCGTTGGTTGCTGCTCGTTGCTTCAATTGTTGCTGCTCGTTGCTTCAAGAATGATGCTCGTGGCCTCGGTGGTAGAATGGTAGGCGGGGCGGGGGGCGGTGTATGGATGGGTGCGGGTTGCAGGTTGGCGGTGGAGGCGAGTGGTGGTGGGCGATCTCCATCTTGAGGACAAGACTTGCAGCCGTGGCCCCAGGACTTGCTTCTCGTGGCCTTGGGACCCTGCAAGTATTCAAACGGAAAGGTGTGAAAATAAATCATGAACTACAAATTGAACTTGAACTAAAAAAATAACCAGATTCAAAACTGAATGAACTCAGGCCAAACAAGGCACGGAAAGCCAGCAAACGGTTTAACACGAAACGTTACCTCAGGAGTTTGGAAGGTAGGCTGGGCGAGGGGCGGAGTGCGGCTGGTGGCGGGTTGAAAGTTGGCGATGGAGGCGGGTGGGGATGGAACTCCTCACGGCTGAAACGTTGTTGCTCGTGGCCTGTAGTTGCTGCTCGTGGCCTGTAGTTGCTGCTCGTGGCCTGTAGTTGCTGCTCGTGGCCTGTAGTTGCTGCTCGTGGCCTTCAATAGTTGTTGCTCGTGGCCTGTAGTTGCTGCTCGTGGCCTTCAATAGTTGCTACTCGTGACCTGAAGTTGCTGCTCGTGGCCTTCAATAGTTGCTGCTCGTGGCCTGTAGTTGCTGCTCGTGGCCTTCAATAGTTGCTGCTCGTTGCTGAAGCGTTGCTGCTCGTTGCTGAAGCGTCGCTGCTCGTGACATTCATAATTTGCTAAGCTGAGCGGAGGGCGGGTGGTATGATGGCGTTAAGGGCGAATAGTGACGGATCTCGAGAGGCATGCCATTAGGAAGACGGAGGTTGTCTGAACAACCCTACTCTAAAGGAAGCATGGAGCATAAGGCCACTGGAGTGAACGGCTGATTGGAGCACCACCACCAGAACTTGTGAGGCAAAGTTTTGAACTGTACAAGCCTAATTTCGATCGCGTCGCGATGGACCTGCGGCTTCTGGATGATAGAGAGCAGAAGAGTCGGCCTTGCAACTTCGCGGTCTATTTTGTGCCGCTGAAGTTCGCGGCTGTTTTCCTGTCCCTACCCTGTGAGGTGTGAGGAGGCTCTCTCAGCAGCTTTGGCGGCAAGGGAAGGATGGGGCAGGGGAGAACTGTACAAGGGGCGGCAAATTGCAGCATTCCCTTTCCACTCTGGCAGACGAAAGATGCTGGCAGAAGCACAATGATGTGTTTTCCGAGGCTGATGTAAGAGGCTCGTCACATCAGCCTCGGAAAGTCCTACCACTCTCGGTGGCGTGGCCGAGCCACTTCAGAGAGCAGCAGTGTACTCACCACCACTTGTGATGGGTGTTGTGGTGACACTCACCACCACTTGTAAGGGGTGTGGTGGTCACCACCACCAATTATATCCTGTCAAAAGTTTTTGCAGTTGACCGGATCGCATGATATGCATCCAAGCTATTTTCAACAACTGTTTCTTTACGAACTGCTCGTAGTCCACACCCCCAATTTTTTCTGTACTCCGAGTTCAGAGTTCGGATTTGCTGGTGAAAGTTGAGGGCGGCGGATTGCAGCAATCCCGAGAAGGTTGTGTGCTTGAAATGACCACAGACAAACTATCCGCCCGAAGCGCGATGCTCACGATGGTGCAGTCTGTGCACCAGTTGGACGAAAAGGCGGAAACGGGGAGGCTCGGAACTGTAGCATACTGTGCGAAGCTGCCCATGACTCTGAGTTGAGCGACCCGAGAATTATCGCACAACTCCACGCCAAATTGATTCAACCAGCAGTGACACGCTGGCAGGAGCGGCGCCGACAAATATCGCCACATCAACATTTCGATGAGCGACTGTGGCTGACGACACAACAGGGGAGCGACCCAGAATCTCATCTTGTTGCGATGCTGTGCCGATGAGTGTCGCCTCGCCAAGTCAGTTGATTGAAGTCGCCCATCTCCCATTTCACACTCTGACCGTTTTGCAGTTCATGTCACGCGCTTCGGGCCAGTGGGTGGCAGTTCAAAGCGGCGAAGGGAACAGCCCGCTTTAAACTGTTACACATTGTATGATTATCTATTTCTACTTTCGTTTTTACGATATGCAAATTAATAAAGCGGAGTCAAGAATTGACTGATGGGCGAACACAATTTTGCCCACCTCTTTCTAAATCAGGCATACCATTCGGGAATACAATTTACCTTCAAACAGTTCACCCAAGAAAGAGACACGTGAGAAACGAATTCTGTGCTAGACAATTGCATTTACCATGTTAACATATACAATGTGGAAATGAATGTTGGGTAACGTAGCACAACCATGCCCATGCCCCCTTTTCAGCATGGGAAATTCATCCATCCATCCATCCTTCCAACCGACCCACCCACATGTTTGTCCAAAATCCTGAGGGGCAGCCCAACGCTGTGGCATCGGCTGGCATCAGGCTCATTTTCTTAAGGCTATCTAAACGGAATTAGAGCACCGCAACAATCCCCCAATGCTAAGTGTACTCTGACGTCCACAACTTATCAAGGGAATGCAGTGAGAAAGAGCAGCTGATGATCATAGAGTCGAATGCCCCCACCCGCGAGGCTGGCCATCAGTCCATGACGATCTTCTTGGATTCGGGCATCTCCAACGGCTCAACGGACCTGAACAAATGTGATACAATGTGCGTGAAAGCATTCCCACAAGTTAGTTGGTGCTATTTCAAGGCAGCAAGACGCGTGGAAGGGGCTCGGGGCGACTCTTTCCATTTCGTCAAGTGTGGGGTTCAGATAAACAGAATGGGTGGAAGAATTTTAAATAAGATGTAAGGCTCGCGCATTCCACCCGTTAGCCACAGCTGAACAGTGCCCGAGCGACACGCAAGCTACAGCGGACCATGCGCAAGCCACACGCACCTCTCTTGGAGCTGCTCCTCGCCGGCATCAGGGTCGTAGTTGGGGTCGTTCTTATCCAGAGCGGCCGCAACGGGCTCGAACTCCGCTCCAACATTTCCCCACGTGTGCTTCCCTCCGCCCCCCCCTAAGCAAGGCAGGGTCAGAAATAAGCGAAGTCACATTCTACATCCGTTAAAAAGAGCTCGGGTGGCCGTCGAGGAACAAATGAATTGACGACAAAATTGAAATGCGATTCTTCCATGAGAAGCGAACAGATTCGTAAGTGATTCACTGAGTAGATACCTTTCTTGGGATCTCCGCGAACGCCAGTTCCTACACAGGACACGGACGAGAAGTATAGAAGACAGGAGATTAACAACCGTCAGTGCACAGAAATAACAATCACAATTATTCTTCGGTTTTTGTATATATACGTATTTCCCATAAATATATCCCAGCAAATACGTACCAGAATGGCGTTCCATCCGCTCTATCCCTTTCTGCACGTTCTTCTTGTGCTCATTCTCCTGCTGATGGCTCTCGTGATGGTGAGCAGGCTTCATGGTTCCAGGGTTAACGGCTTGAACCTAATACAGAAAGAACCGTTTACCGAGAGTCGCCTATACGCTCGTCTAGTCCTAGCCTGGAAATCGAACAGAGCCTAGTCCCCTTATTTCTCTTTGCTTGAGATTTGCGAGGTGGAAAGAAAATCTGGCAGGTTGAGCGGGATTGCAGCATTCCGCATGCTGAACATTGTTGACACATTATGTGATGGGGCTTGCCAGCATCAGGTAGATGTAAGTGGGTTTGAGCTGGCGTCATGCCACGTCTGTTTCAAACAAAACTGCACACATGGCGCCCTGAGAGCTAGTGTTTGTGTTGCGTCAGCAGAAGTGGCAGAGTCAGCAGGTGACACGGTCGCCAACACCCGTATGGTGACTCAAGTGTTCTACCTAGTGTGCTGGCGACCACGTGAGCCGTCATGTCAGAATCTGCTCCGATATACTACTGCTCCATGACTCACATACAGTGTGCAATCACATGAACAAACTTCGCACCGAAGCCATCCGATAGCAAAAGTCAAGTTCTTATTCCTAGCTACTGAAATGTAAGTTGCCTTTTTGCTTCACTACCAGGACCTGTATCGAACTCGCAATCGACAAAAGCAGTGCTGTGCTTGGGAGGAATTCTGCTGGCGCCAATCACCCCATCGCTGGCTCGCGTTGGACAACTGCCTGCCACGGCTGGATCACTGGTCGTAACTCATCCCCGCTGATGCATCGACACGTCACAACAGGCTCCCCAAACCACAGGGAGCAAAGGGAAGCCCCCATGAGTAGTTACCACCCACACTCTTCACTTTCGCTTCACGGGCAGTTTTGCTGCAATATTCGGTGATTCGTTGGCGATGTCTCGACTTACAGGTGGTAGCATGTCGTCCCACATGTCACACGCCAGCGTCCTCGCGCGGGGGAATCAGGGAAGGAGCGACAGGTGCTGGGGCTTCCAGCTTGCCATCGCTCAACCAGCAAGACCGAAGGCGCCGCCGTCTTGTTCAGCCAGTCACAAACCAGGAAAGCTCAAGGCAATATCTCAACCGTTGAATATTCGGAGGATCCCTTGAACTTCAATCCTGCGGCACAGGTGCAAGGATTTGTTGCCCAAGACCTAGTGGCCACGAGTGTGCGCCACGCGAGCCCCACCTCGGGAATCTCCTTTCCTCCCACCACCGCAGAACCGAACTCCACACCACATGCCCAACTAGGGAGACCTGCACTGCACAGAACATCCCTCCGAAGATTTCATTTCACTGACTGAACTGAATTGAACCCACTGAAATGCTCCTCTGACCACCGCCGGCAGCTGTATAAATTCCTCACCTTTCTTGCCGATCATTGTTATCTCTTGCTCTCGACGAAGTACCATTGACCTAACTGTTTTCGTGTTCACAATCTATACTGTATCATAAGACTTAGTATCTTCATCTACTGTCGGCCTCATGGCTAGTTCAAATCAAGAAGGTTCGGAGTGGCGTGCTAATGGTACATCCGAGAAAGGCACTATTTTGGTCACTGGAGGCGCAGGATACATTGGAAGCCACACCTGCGTCCAACTATTAGAGGAGGGCTATAGGTATTGCCCACAGGACATCAGGGCCGTGCGGAAATTGCAGCAAACCGTTGCGTTTGAAGTCCTTGGGACTCAGTTTTCGAAAGTCTTGCGCTTCAAGAATGTAACCAGGAACGTCGATAGGCAGTGTTCCAAGCTAGTTCGACGCCTGATAGAAGTTCCAAACCATTTTGGTGCTATTCAGCTGTCTGACGCGGTTTGGTGCGGTGCGCTTGTGTCGTGTAGGGTAGTGGTTGTCGACAACCTCGATAACTCCTCCGAGGAAGCTATCACTCGCGTCGTGGAGCTGACCGGCGACAAGGGAAGAAATCTGACCTTCTTCAAGGTAGGACGGTTACTTTCACTGAGTTGTCATGCTTTCCATCTCGCGATTCGCCTCGCGTCGTCAAGCCGTCCGAGGGGTAGAGCTGACTGACGGTTTGGGTTGCTCATGCGTGCTCATGCGTGTTCATGCGTGCGCAGGTTGATCTGTTGGATCGTCCTCTTTTGGAGGAGGTGTTCAAGCACACTGCGTGAGTCCACGACCCCAGCGCGAGCATCGAGATCGCTCTTGCATTCAGCATCCTTGTCCAGTCATTGACTACAGCCGTTTTTGTGTTGCAAATCTGTGGCTGCGTCGGCCTTCGCGTCTCCTGTTTTTTACATTTGTTTCCGGCCATGACTTCCTTATCGTTTCGTTTTCTAACGATCATCCATGTCTCAGTTTCGACGCCGTGATTCACTTTGCGGGGCTCAAGGCGGTGGGCGAGAGCGTGCAGCAGCCGCTACGGTACTACCACAACAACATCACGGGCACCATCGTGTTGTTGGAGCTTATGGAGCAGTACGGCTGTAGCAAGGTGAGCTCGTGGCGCAGTACGGCTGTAGCAAGGTGAGCTTGTGGCGCAGTACGGCTGTAGCAAGGTGAAATGAACGCGCAGAATTGCCGCTTTTCTACTGTAACAGATATGTTCAACCAAAGGATCACTTTACCACAAGAAGAGTGTCGTTTGTGACTCCCCGTCCCATTCCATGGATGCATGCAGGAGGTGTCTCATATGTGTTCGAATCGGGTGCGACTCCCCATCCCGTCCCCATGGGTGCGTGCAGATAGTGTTCTCATCATCCGCCACGGTGTATGGTCAGCCCAAGAGGGTGCCTTGCACGGAGGAGGACGAACTGCAGACGCTCAACCCATACGGCCGAACCAAAGTGAGTCCAGACACTCCCCTCCGTGACAGAATCTGACTTTTAATAGAAAGAACCGCGGACGGGGCAGGACGAGCGGCGCCAAATGGCCCAAATGGCTGAACCAAATGGCTGAACCAAGGTGCGCTCCGTCCCTCACTTTCTGCGCACGTCGCACCTGTACAAGTGCGCACTTGCTGCCCGTGCCCCGTTTCCCCTCACCCCTTGCCCGTCGCTGCCTTCCCTCACCCCCTTGCACGCCCCGCGTTCCGTTCTCTGGCGTTTTGCTGCACATAGAGAACATTCTGCAGGACATGCAGGCAGCGTCGCCAGGTTTCGTAGTTGACTCGACATGCAGGCAGCGTCGCCAGGTTTCGTAGTTGACTCGACATGCAGGCGGCGTCACCGGGGTGGCAGGTTTCTGAGTCTTGACTCGACCCCAAAACCGCTTTCCTGTTGTCCGCGCCCCTCCCCCCATCCCTCCTTGTGCAGCTGTACATAGAGAACATGCTGCGGGACATGCAGGCGGCGTCGCCGGGGTGGCAGGTGCTGCTGCTGCGGTACTTCAACCCCGTGGGCGCGCACCCGTCGGGGCGCATAGGCGAGGACCCCCAGGGCATCCCCAACAACCTCATGCCCTTCATCCAGCAGGTCGCCGTGGGCCGCCGCCCCTTCCTCTCGGTCTTTGGGGACGACTATCCCACGCGCGATGGCACAGGGGTGAGTGGGGGAGGGTGAGGGTGGGAGTGAGGGTGAGTGAGGGGGTTGTGAGGGTGAGAGGCATAGACGCAGGGTTTGGTTTGCTAGGAATGGTTGAGAATGGATGTCTGAGCAAGGATGGAACTGGGGTGGGTGGAGCGAGGGTGTGTGCGGTGGATTGATACATGAGGTGCAGAGGAAAGGAGGTGGATAAAGTCAAATAAAAGAGTAGTGTCGGTCGCTCCTTTGCTCTCTTACTTCATCATCACCTGGCTTTATCCCTGCGAACTCTCCACCACCTGCCATTCCCCTCTCCACCACCCACCACCAGGCCACACGGCAGCAATGTCCCACCCCCACCTGCTATATTCCCTCCCATTCACCTCACTTACACCCTCCTCACCTGCAACCCTCCAGGTACGGGACTACATCCCACGTCATGGACCTAGCAGCAGGCCGTACAGCAGCACTGCCCAAAATACCCATCCTCACCTTCTGTGTACTGTCCTATACACCCATCTGCACCCCACCAGGTGCGGGATTACATTCACGTCATGGACCTCGCAGCAGGCCACACAGCAGCACTGCGCAAGATCTTCACCACGCCCACCCTCACCTGCGACGTGTACAACCTCGGCACGGGGCGCGGCCAGTCCGTGCTGGAGATGGTAGCAGGCTTCGAGAAGGCCTCTGGCCGGGAGATTCCAGTCAAGATGTGCCCCAGGCGACCAGGCGACTGCTCGGAGGTCTATGCGCTGACGGATAAGGCTGAGAGGGAGCTGAAATGGAGGGCGGGTTTGACTTTGGATGATATGTGCCGGGATCAATGGAACTGGGCTAGGCAGAACCCGTGGGGGTATTCGAGCCCGCCTGAGGAGGCGCAAGCAGAGCAGGTAGTGGTTGCGGAGGGGGAAGGAGAGGGTAAAGGTGGAAAAGCAGAGGTGACTAAGGGGAGTCCTGTGAGTGAGCCACGCACGCCACCACTCCTGCCTGCCAGTCCTGAAACGAATGTGAATTCAAGCGAATCGGCGACAAGCTCGGCGGGGTCTGCTCCTTCGCCTTGTGCGCTGGATTCCACGCCTACTGTTGTGGCACATAAGGGGTCGCTTGTTCGCGCTGGGTCTGGGTCGAGTGTGGACTCGTTAGAAGAATTGACTCAACTGGGGGGTTCTCAAGCAGTAGCGTGATTCCGATAGACTTGTTTTCTGCTGCGAGGGGTTTTATACGTTTGGATTATGATTTGTGGTGTTATGTTCCTATACAGTTTTGCTAGCCTGGCTGGTGATATGCTTGCTACGGAATATTTTGGTGCAACTTATGCATACCGCTGGATCAAATGGTGTAGTCTTCAACATTATTCAGCACTAATTCGCTGTGCTCAGGCTCGTCACGGGTTGTGCATTGCTTGGAAAGTTGTGCTCAACTGTACTCGCCCGCCGCTGTCGCATCGTCATCACGGATGGTCAGGACAAGATCTGAAGCTCTGCGCGTCAGCCGTTTCTTGACGTCAGCACGGGCTTCGGATCTGAGCCAATCATGCGTCGGCCATCTGCCTACCGCCGTTTCGCGTCCAAGCCTACGCGTAGCGCCTCGAATAAGTTCGCCCAATCCGCCGTGAGTCCGCCAAGGCTGATCCCCGCACGCCTAAACCGCCGGTAGCGAGCCGACAGCCTGTCAGCGTGTCGGCGAGTCCACGCATCCACGTGTCCACGTGTCGTGCCATGGACACGTACACGCAGGCGCTCAAGGTTCTCGCTCTCGAACGCGCCGCTTTCCCCGATGCTAGCGCATCCGCTACCGCTTCCCCTCACCCCGCGGGGAGCGCCCGTCAGGGTTCACTTCCCGGGCATTGGCGGCGCAGGAGGGGCGGAAGGACTTCCGCGCGGGGGGGTCGGGGGGAGGCGTCTGGCGGAAAGCGCGCGCACAGGAGTCAGTCGGAGAAGAAGCCGCAAGCGAACCTGATGCCTCCGCTTTCCCCCATCTATCCAACCTCCGCGCGTGCTGCGGACGTAACCCCCATACGCGGACACCCGGTCAGTGCTTTGCGCACAGAAACCCCCCCAGGAAGCGCCGTCGCGGCGCTATCGGCGCAAGTATCCCCCGCAGCGGCGGCGACCGAGGGGGCTATAGACGGCAGGCGGCGGCGGCAGCGGCTCGCAGGACGGCAGATTGCATGGGCGGCGGCTCCCGCGGAGGGGGGATTTTCTACTTCCGCTGGTTGCAGTGAGACAGGGATGGGGAGAAGAGTGGGGGAGGCGCAGGGAGAGGCGCAAGAGGAAGCAGACGTGGTGGAGGTGGTCGGGGGAGGGGGGGAATGGGGGACGGGGAGTGGAGGTGCGGAGGCGGGGGGAGAAAGTGGTAGTGTGAATCTGATTAAGGGCAAAAGGGATGGGCGAATGGGGGAACAGAGGGGCCGGGCAAGTGGTGGGAAGGGGCTAAGAGCGTGGGAGGTGGCGGGGGGAGATGGTCAGCGGGCGGGGGAGAGGGCCACAGGTCGAGCAGGGGGAACAGAAGGCAGGATAGGGGAAGTGGGGGACTGCGAAGAGAGTAAGGAAGGGGGGAGCGCGGATGATGGGAAGGAGGAGGAAGAGCAGGAGGAGGAGGAGGGAGAGGAGGACGAGGAGGAGGAGGAGGAGGAGGAGGAGGAGGAGGAGGAGGAGGAAGAGGAGGAGGAGGAGGAGGAGGAGGAGGAGGAAGAGGAGGAGGAGGAAGGGGAGGAGGAGGAAAGGGAGGAGGGGAAAAAGCAGGAGGGGGTGGGTGGTGTGGAGAGAGCAGGGAAGCAGCCGAGCGGACAGGCGGCAGCAGCAGAGGCACAGAGGCTTGTGAGTGACCCGAGACAGGCTTCAAGTCAGCACCTGTCAGTGGGAGGAGCATCCACACAAGCAGCGCCGGTGCAAGCAGCAACAACACAAGCAGCATCAGCACAAGCAGAATCAGCACAAGCAGCTTCAGCACAGCAGCTACCATCACAACAGCCCTTGACGATACACTCTCAGCCGCTACGTAGGGAGCAGAGGGAGGAAGCCGGGGGAGCAGTGCCGGCTATTGAGGCGAAGCAAGAGGGTTCAGGGGAATTTGCGTCGCACCAGCCATGGGAGGTACCCTTCAGGGCGCAGGGCGCTTCAGAGGCGGGCGGCGCTGGCATGGTCGGTGCTGCTGTAGGTGGTGCTGCTATGGGCGGTTCTGATGGTTGCAGCCCATGCCGTGACTCCATGGTGAAGCAGGAGCATGTGCATATGCCGTCTGATGAACATGGGCATGGGTACGGGCATGGGCACGGGCGTGGGAACAGGGATGGGCATGGGCATGGGCATGGGCATGGGCATGGGCATGGGCATGAGAAGAACGACCCTCATGTGTCTCATAGGACAATTCATCAACAGCAGGCGACCAGTGCCCCTCACTCCACCACCCACCCATCACCCATCACACACTCCCAGCAGCCACCACGCACACCACACACACAGCGCCCACGACAACCACCGCTGCCGCCACAGGAGCAACAGATATCACAGCAGCAGGAGCCACACTCACAGCAGCATCAACAGCTGGCTGTGTCCAATCCCTCTGCTGCTGTCCCCAGCCCCGCTGCTGCTGCTGCTGCTGCTGCTGTGGCCACTCCAAGGCCGAGGCCCAGCGAGGGCTTCTGGGCCCACGTGGAGGGCTTCTTCCGCCCCGTCACCACCGCTGACGTGGCGCTGCTCTCCCCTGCTGCTTACGTGGCACACTTCAGCCACATCACGGAGCGAGATCCCGCCTTTGCCCTGCCGCCTGCGGGCCACCGCCCACCATTGAAGCACCAGTTGATGTTGAAGGCACAGGCGGGCGGACAGGAAGGGGCACGGCAGGTGGAGGGGCAGGGGCTGGGTCATGGGCAGGGCCTGAGTCAGGGGCAGGGGAACGGACAGGGGAAGTGGAGGGGGGATGAAGAGGGTCGCTTGGGAGGCCAGGGGGGTGAGGGAAGGGCGGGGGAGGGTGGGCAGAGCGGAGCAGGGGGAGAGGGGGGACGGGAAGGGATGCAGCTGCAGGGGCCGCAGTTGCAGCAGCAGCAGCAGGGGGGGCAACAACAGCAAGGCCAGCAGCAGCCGCAGAAGCGGAGGAGGCGGAGGCAGCAGGGAGGGGCTGTGAGGGCTGAGGGGAGCGATAGGCAGCTGAGGAAGAGGAGGGGGGGGCAGGTGGGCGAGGGAGGCGATGGTGCTGCTGCAGGGGGCAGGGCTGGGGCGAGTGACGGTGCAGTGAGTAGTGGTGTTGGGGTGCCTGGTGGCGATGTGACCGTGGTGGTGCCTGGGAGTAAGAGGAGACGCACTCGACTGGCTGGCGGTGGGGGTGGTGGGGGTGCTGGTGGTGCTGGCAGTGGTGGTGCTGGTGGTGCTGCTGCTGGTGCTGGCGGCAGTGGCGGTGCTGCTGTTACTGCTGCTGCTGCTGGTGCTGCTGCAGCTGTTAGTGAGAGGCAGTCTGGCTCGCTTGCTGCCAACACAGGAGCACATAGTCAGATGCATGTGGGAGCATCTGGTGCTGCTGCTGACTGCACTGCTAGTGGCGCTACTGCTGCTGCTGCTTCTGCTGACTGTGTCGTCACGACTGCAGTGGCTTTAGCTGGTAATGTCAGGAAAGCCACCGGCAGTGATGCCGGTGGTGCTCATGATTGCAGTGTGGATGCTGGTGGGGCACATGGTGATGCTGCTGGCGCTGCTGTTCACCCTGTAGCCTCACCTCCTGCTCGTGGCGCTGCCGGTGCCTTCACTACTGCTGCTGCTCCTCCTTCTGCTTCGGCGGCTGCTGTTCCTGCTGCTGATATTGCTGCTCTAGCTGCGTGTGATCCGCCTGCTTCTGCTGGCAGAGGGAGGGGGGGAAAGAGGGCAGGGCGGGGAAGGCCCAGGGGAGCAGCAGCGAGAGCAGAGAAAGAGGAGGGGATGCTGGTGACTCTCGTGTCTCCCCCTCTTTCGCAAGCAATTGCTCAGGCCACGGGAAGGGGGATGCACGGGGGAGGGAAGGGAGCAGAGGGGGGAGCGGAGGAGGAGGAGGGGGGAGGGGAGGGGGAGGCGTGTGACGTGTGTTGCCAGACGGAGAGCGACGATGCGAACCCCATTGTGTTCTGCGATGGCTGTGATGTGCCCGTGCACCGCCAGTGCTACGGCATCCCTGCTGCTGCCTTACTGCCCGTGCAGCGAGAGGATGGCACGAGCGGAGAGCAGGGAGGAGGGCAGCAGGGTAGGGAGCAGGACGGGGATGGTGAGGAGGAAGAGGCAAGTCTGCCATGGCTGTGTGCGCGGTGCAGCAGCACCCGGCCTGCTGAGGTGCGCTGTGCGCTCTGCCCCGTGCTCTCCGGTGCCTTCAAACCCGCCCTCCCTGGCGCCCCTCCCTCTGCTTCCTTGGAGCCCACTGCACCAGTAGCAGAGCAGCAGCAGCAGCAGAAACAAGGGGAGCAGCAACAGGCTCAGCAAGAGCAGCAGCAGCAGCAGCTGCAGGACGAGCAGCAGGACGAGCAACAGGATGAGCTATTCGCGCATCTGTTCTGCAGCCAGTGGGTGCCGGAGACGTACGTGGGCGATCCAGAGAGCATGCAGCCTGTGTGCAACGTGGGGGGCGTCACCCAGGAGCGCCGCCGCATGCTGTGCTGCCTCTGCCGCTCCAAGGAGGGTACCTGCATCCAATGCAGCCATGGTGAGTGATGGGTTAGCCACGGTGGGTTGAGTGAAGCATCCAGTGCAACGTGGCAGGTCAGTGAGGAGTGCTGTTGCATGCTCTGTGCTGCCTGTGCCGCTGCAGGCAGGGCAAAATGCACCCACAGTGGGTTGAATCAGGCAGGGCTGTGAGAATTGTCAAAAGTTGCAGGCAGGGCTGTGCTTTGAGTCCGTGCGTGGTTGACACTCACTTCTTTGCGTCGCCTTGCCTCTTTCCCACATGCCGATCGGCCCAGTTACCCTGCTCTTGTGCTTCTCCCGTCCTTCTCCTTTCTCCCCCCTCTCCTGCACCTTCCCCCCTTCTTTCCTCCTCATCCCCCCTCCTTCCCCCCAGGCATGTGCGCAGTGCCCTTCCACCCCATGTGCGCGCGCCAGGGGGGGCTCCTCATGACCCTCTCCGCCTCCCCCTGCTCCCCCCGCGTGCTCCTCAAGGCCTTCTGCCCCCGCCACTCCGCCCTGCGCCTCCCCCCCCTGCTGCAGCAGCTGCAGGCAGGGGCAGGCGGAGGGGGAGGGAAAGGGGGAGAGGGTGGGGAGGCGGGGAAGGAAGGGGGAAGGGTGAGGGCAGGTGCTGGGGCGGGTGAGAGGGGGCAAGGTGGTGGGGGGGAGGGCGAAAGGGTGGATGGGGGGGTTGTAAGGGGAGCGGTGGGATTGGGGTGGGTGGGAATGGGTGAGGGATGCAGGGGGGTTGAGAGGCATGGGGAGGAAACGGATGAGGGAGAGGAGGAGGGTGGGGAAGAAGGGGAGGGAGGGGAGGTCGGAGGGGAGGAGGGAGGAGAAGTGGGTGTAAAGAAGGAGGAGGGGCTGCAAGGACGCTCGGCCGATGGGAATGGGCCTTGCCGATTGGAGAGTACTGGCAATGAAGCACGTGTGGTGCGCGGGGGGCAAGGAGCCGGGCAGATGGATGGGGTCGAGGAGGGAGAGAGGAGGGGTGGAAATGGAATGCCAGTGGAGAGAGAGGAGGGAGAAAGAGAAGAGGGAAGGAGGAGGGAGGAAGGGAGGGAGGGTGCAGATGCAGATAGGGGGACGAACAGAGGGAATGTTGGGTCTTGTGCTGGTGGTGGTTGTGATGATGGTGGTGGTGCTTGTGGTGCTGGTGATGCTGATGCTGCACGTGGTGATGTCATAATGAAGGATGCAAGTGCGTCATCAGCAGCAGCACAGGCAGCAGCAGGGGAGGTAGCAGGGGGGTCACCAGCAGGAGTTGATAAAGTGGCAGCAGCAGTAGGCGCAGAGGAGTCAGATGATGATGATGTGGTGGTGCTGGTGGAGGAAGGATCAGGAAGGGAGGAGGTGGATGCAACAAGAGCAGTTGAAGCAAGGGGGGAGGTGAGAGCAGCAGGAGCAGAGTCAATGAATGGGCCGCCAGAGATCGCAGGAAGGAGCGTGCGTAGTGAAGCAAGAGTGGCTGCTGGTTCTGCTGTGACGCCAGTCGCATGTGCCGATGTGGTGCCAGCAAAGCAAGCCGAGGCTGACGTGGAATGGCCTAGATGGGAAGGCGCTGCTGCGCTGGCGCTGAGTCAGCAGGTGCGGTGCCATGCGTATGTGCAGAGATATGCCGAAATGCTGCAGGGGTTAGGTGGGGAGCGAATGGGGGCGTCAGGAAACGAGGGAATGGAGAGGGGGGAGGGAGAAAATTGTCTGGGGCGTGTGAAGGCTGAAGGAGACGGGGAGGAAGAGGAGGTGAGAAGAGACTTAGGCAAGGAAGAGAAGCAAGGAGGGGAGCAGAAAGTGGGCAGTAGGGAACGGGGAGCGCCTCTGATTGTATCAAGTAATGCACTGGTGCAGGTGGCACCTCAGGGAGGTACACCTGAGGACGAGGTCACATCAGAGCTCATCATAGCACAGACCCAGCTGCTGTCCGCCCTGCACACCCTCTCCCACCGCTCTCAACACCTGCTGCACCGCATGATACCACGCCTGCAGGCGGAGAGACAGGCAGCCGAGACCCAGCAGCAGGGGAAGGCGGCAGTTGAGGAGTATTTGGGGGTGCTGAGGGAGCAGCGCAAGCAGGGGCGGAGGGACCGGCGGGAGAGGGAGGCCCAGGCTGTGCTGGCAGCAGCTGAGGCTGCTGCTGCTGCGTCTCCCCGTGTGGGGCATCTGAAGCGGGACCCTGGAGGCCCTGCTGGGGTGGGTGCTGCTGCTCCTGCTAGTCCTCTGGGTGTTTCCTCTCTTGCTGCTGCTGGTCCTGCTGCAGGTGCTGCAGGTGCTGCTGCGGGTATGGGTAGTGGTGCGGGTGGTGTGGGTGGTGTGTCTCCTTCTTGGGGGCTTGGTGGGAGGGCGTGGGGAAGGGGATGGGGAGGAGGGAGAGGGAGAGCGGGTGTGGGAATGACGAGGCTGGGGGGAGCGTTTGGCAGCACCGCTGCTGCTGTTCCTGCTGCTGCTGACGGTGGTACTGGTGCTGCTGCAGCTGCTGGTGGTGTTGGTGCTGCCAGTGGTGTTGGTGGTGGTGATACAGGTGCGGCTGCTGCTGCAGGGCGAGTGCAAACATCCCCCTTGGCGTCCCGCCCGTCCCTCTTCCCCTCTGCATCAGCTCGCCCTGGGCTTGCCGGTGCTGCCAGAGGGGCCAGGGGGAGAGGTTCGTGGGGCCGGGGCAGGGGCAGGGGGCGTGGGGCATGGACAGGGGGAGGGCGAGGGCGAGTGGGGGGGAGAGTTGGGGGAAGAGGAGGAGGGAGAGTGGGAGGGAGAGTGGGTGGTTGGGGCAGGAGAATGGATGTATCTTCGGGGTTGTTGAATGGTGTGGGTGGTGAGGGGGATGGACAGATGGAGAGTGGTGCAGTGGGGTATGGGGAGGTGGGGGAGGCAGTGGAGGAGGAGGAGGAAGGGGAGCGCAATGGGGAAGGTGAGGAAGAGGAAGGGGGTTCGTGGAGGGAGTGTGGGGCGTGCTGGCAGAGGGAGTGTGGGCCGCACAGGAGCATGATTGAGTGTGGAAAGTGCCACGTGGCAGTTCACCATTGGTGTTACGGTGTGCCTGAGGGGAGGTCGGGGCCGTGGTTGTGCCAGGTGTGCCGCTGGGATTGGGCGGTGGGAGGGGAGGAGAAGGAAGGGCATCAACAGCAGCATCAGGTGAAGCAGAAGCAGCAGGTGGAGCAGCAAGAGGAGCGGGGGCACGAGCAGCAGGAGTCACAGCAGTCTCACCCTTCTCCACTTGAGTTCCAATCACCTGCACCGCCCCACCTGCCTCCCCTCCTCTCTCCCCCCAGTGTCTCCTGTGCCCTCTGCTCTCCTTCTGGGCTAAAGAAGCAGGTGGGAAACGACGGGGGGAAGAAGGGCGAGAGGGAGGAGGGCGGCGAGGGGGGAGAGGGGGAGAAGCACAGTGCGGAGGCAGGGTGGCGACAGGGAGAAGAGGCAGCAGCAGTGCTGGGGGAGGTGGGGGAGGGAGAAAAGGGGGAGGTGGTGAAAAAGAGGGGAGTTGAAGGGGTGACAGGAGGAGAGGGAGTGAGAGTGGAGGGGGGCAGTAGAGGGGTGGATGTTGTGCTGTTGAGAGAAGGCACTTTCCAGGGAGGAGAGAGAGGGGGAGCGGAGGTGATGGAGGGGGGAGCGAGGAGGGATAGGGTGATAGAGGAGGGAGGCAGAGTGGATGGGGCGATGGAGAGAGGAAGTGGAGGGGGGAGTAGTGGAGACGGGAGGAGGGATGGGGGGATAAGCAAGAGCAGGGAGCAGGTGGAGGGGAAAGGGAGGGTGGGGAGTGATGGGCATGCAGCATTGAAGCAAACGGAAGAGGGCAAGTGGGTGCATCTTCTGTGCGCTCAGGTATGCCTCATTCACTCACTCCCACTCACTCACTCTACTCATTCACGTACTCACTCGGTGACACACTGGCTCAGTCACACACTCACTCACCCACTGCCCTATGCTTGCTCACTCATTCGCTAATTCGCTAACTCAGTACCTCAATCATTCACTGACCCACTCCCTCACCCACCCACTCGTCCTTGTTAAGGCATCGTCTCTCAAGAGGAGACTAAATCTCATCACCATTATATTCCCTCTACTCCTCCAGGCGCTTTTTCCCAACTGTGCTGTGCTGGGTGCCCCTGAGGATGCGCCACTCAGCCTTACTGTGAGTTTGGCAGAGGAGTACTAAGCACGCATTGCAACCTCTCAGTTCAAGCACTCTGTGAAGCATTCTACAAGTGCTCGTTAGAAGCACGAGCAGCAAGCACTTCCATTCAAGCACACAATTCCCAATGTATTTTGCACACGTGCTTTTCTAAGCACCTCTAGGGATGCCAAGCCATTCACTCATCTCTCATGCTGTCCCCTTCACTTGTTTTCTCCCTGCCCAGCTTCATTACACGCTCGTCTCGTCCCCTCCCTCTCTTTCCCAACCCCCCTCTCCGCTCCCCTCTCTCCCGCTCACCCTCTCCCACGTAATCTCTTAACCAACCCCTCTCTCTCCCTCCCCCTTTCACATCTTGAACATCAGGGTGCCATCCCTCCCAGCATGCAGCAGCGCTGCTGCTGCTTCTGCCACTCCTCATCTGCGCACCCATGCACGCAGGTACGGATTGCAGATTGCAGGAGGGTTGCCAGGGATGTGAAACGGTCCCAGTGGGTTGAGAGAGGCCAGATTGGGGTGTGAAGCGGGTGTGGGGGCTAAGAAAATGGTCAGGAACCCTTTTTCTTGTGTGATATCTTCTGTATAACCTCCTCCTCTATATCTTCCTGTTTTTCCCCACTTCTAACACGCTCTCCTCTCCACAGGATCCCCCCCCCTCAATCTTCTCCTCTCATCCCACCTTCCCCTGCTCTCTCTTATCCACCATCCCTTATCTCCCGTTATCCCTTGTTCCCCCATCCCTCGTCCCCCGACTCCTCCCCCATCCAAACCCCCTCGCCCCCCTCAGTGCGCCACACCAGGCTGCCCCCGTGTCATGCACCCCATGTGTGCGCGCCACTGCTCTCGCCTCACCTCTCTCCCCCCACCGCCAGAGCTACCTCAACAGTCCCCTCCCATCTGCACTCCTACCCCGCCTCCCTCTGCCTCCGCCACTGCCCCCGCCACTGCCCCCACCTCTTGCCCCACCACTCCTGTTCTTCACTCATCAACCTGTCCCACCACCGCTGGCATCGGCCCTGCCAGTTCTCCTGCCATTGCAGCACGTGTTGCTCTGCCATCTCCTCCTCTGCTCACCTCCACGCCTTCCTCCATTCCTGCTCCAGTGCCCTCCCATCCTCTCTCCTCTCTCGCAGCAGCACTCCCTCCTCCTCCTCCACCCACTGCCACCACCGCAGTCCCTGTCAAACCCACTCGGGCAACTGTGAAAATTCACTTGTACTGCCCAGAGCACGCAGCAGCTTCCGGCATCCAAAAACTCGACCCCCATTCCCAGCAATCCCGCCTCCCCAGTAGCACCTCCCCGTTCCCCTCCAATGCACCTCTCCTGCCTTCAAAGCGCCGAGCTTCGGTTTCCTTCGCGGATCATGAGGATCAGAAGAGACGCTGTGTGGGAGTGGCTGAGGGGGAGGGTGGGGATGATGATAGAGTGGGTAGGGTGATGGTGGGTGGAGCAGGGAGACAGGCGTGTGGATCGGAACAAAGCTCGCAGGAAAACCAAGCAGGGGGTGTGACGACTAGGCCATTGTTGAAGGTAAGGCAAGCATTGTGTGTGGTAATTGCCATTGCAATACGTCTTTTTGGTGTTAAGCTATTCATCATGGGCTACGCATGTTTGCTTATGTGTGCGTGCTTGTGTCCCTGTGTGCTCCTGTGGCTCTGTGTATGCTTGCAGCTGCAGTTGTCATACCTCGCTACACATGCGGCAGCGCGTGCCCTAAATGCACGCTTGCCTCCAGGCTATCGATACGTGCCCGTCACTAAACTCGATAATCATTAACACGATCTAGTCACTAACACGATCTAGTCACTAACAAATCGTCATAATGACCGCCCATAGATGTGCAGCTGTGATTGCACATTTTTTTGTATAGAGTGGATAGATTACCGTATAGGTGACGTAGGAGGCACTTCTATAGAATAGTATAGAGGGTGCTGTGGTCTCACATGCCAAGCTTTCACTCAAATTGGAGCTACATTTTCAAGGATATTCCAATGATAGTCCTCCAGACTTCTTGTAATAATTTCTGTAGATGCTTTTTGAATTCAGTACCGATGCACCAACCCGCTATATACTCGTCTCCATCACATCGCGGGATGATCGGAGTTCCCTTTGCCCGCCGAAGCTATTTGTCAGTCAGCTCAAACCTCCTCGCGAAATCCCGAATCCCTTCCTTCACAAAAGCGTTCCGCGGATTCCCAGCACCCTACGCCGCTTCCCCCCATCCTCCCGCTTTTTCCCCCCGCGCGCTCGTTCACCTGCACTAAGCGCATCTCATGTTCCTCTTCCGCTCGCCATGGCCCATCAAATCCGGAGTCGATGAAACACTTGGTAACTAGGTATTTAGGAACCAGCAGCTATTTAGCTTGACGTGAACGTGCGCCGTTGCCGTAGTTACTGCAGCATCGCCTTAGTATCGCCGTTTCTTCGTGATGCACGTGCCTCTGCCACATCTATAGTCTCATAAAGGCGTGGTGATAACACTTCCCCTTTGACGCTGCTTCCGAGGTGTCCCTTCAATTTTCATTTATCTAGAAGCAATTCTCCTAGCGCTAAATGGCAGCGTCCTTCCTCAGACCAGCAGTCAACCAGGTTCGGTTCTTCTCATCCACCGACGCTGCATCTTCTTCCGCACGTCAGAACACTGCGTGCATGGCGATGGCTCCCAGCGCATCGATCTCCCCCCACTGCACCCATCAACCTAATCTACGTTTTCAAACTAGCAGTACCAAATCTCGTTCGCGGAGTAACATCACCAGTTCCTTCTTTGGAGATTCTCTGCCTCGGTTTCAACCGGCGTCCATTCCTGCAGCATCAGGCCTCCAACCGCAGCGGAAGGTCGCCAGACGGAAGCTCTGGAGCTCGCCGCAGGCGGTGTTCCAATGGGGAAAGCGGCCGGAGTACAAGGGAACGCCACCACGTGTCATAGTGGTGACTTCGGGGAAAGGCGGCGTGGGAAAGACGACTATGGTAGCTAATATCGGAATGTGCCTGGCTCGGTTGGAGTTTAAAGTCGTCGCGATAGACTGCGACGTGGGTCTCAGGAACCTCGATTTGCTCTTAGGGATGGAAGCTAGGGTATTCCACACCGTTCAAGATGTGTTGGCAGGGGAGGCTCGACTTGATCAGGCGCTTGTACGCGATAAGCGCGTCCCCAATTTCGAGCTTCTATGCATTTCCAAACCTCGGTCCAAGATTGATTTGAATTTCAGCGGCAAGTCGCTGATTCTCCTAGTGGAAGCCTTAAGAGAGCGCGAGGAGGGGTGTCCGGATTTCATTCTTCTGGACTGTCCAGCGGGGATCGAAGCCGGGTTTATTACGGCAATCACGCCGGCTAACGAGGCGATTATCGTGACGACGCCGGACGTGACGTGTCTGAGGGATGCGGACAGGGTTGCAGGGCTGTTGGAGTGCGACGGCATCACGAACGTGTCGCTGCTGGTCAACCGCGTGCAGGCAGATCTGATCAAGCAAGGCCAGATGATGTCCGTCGGGGACGTCAGGGAAATGCTCGTGAGTACACTGGGCCCACACCTCTCTTCCCCCCTCCCTCCGCGCCCCCCTCCCCTTTTCCCCCACTCGCTCGTTTCCTTCCAACTCCTTCTTCATTGTGGGTTCTGCGTTATGCATGCGAAAGAATCCTAGGGAAATGGGTGAATTGGCTGAGAGTCTGTGTGTTCCTTAATTACTGTCTTGGGCCACTTGGTTGACTGCTGGGGACACCACCGTGTGCTATACTGTAGGTCCATTGACGATCCGACCTCGTCTCCCCTCTCTCCCTTCTTCCTTTTCTCCCGATCCCTTCACTCCTCCCGCACCCTTCTGGCACTGATGTGTCGTTGTGACCAAGCAGGGACTTCCGCTGTTGGGGGTAATTCCGGAAGACACTGCAACGATTGGTGCATCCAACCAGGGAATGCCGCTTGTGCTGAAGAAGCCACCTACCATGGCAGGCCTGGCAATGGAGGCTGCAGCTTGGCGGCTGGCTCAAGGGGAGCAGATGGACGTGGTTGTGCTTCCAGAGGAGAAGAAAGGATTTCTCGCCTTTTAGTTTAGGCTTGCTTGCCATGGACAAAACCCACAGTAGGAGTGTTCGTCATGTTTCGAATGTAGGCAGTGGTTTAGAAAAGTAGAACCTGTTTTGTGCAACGTGTTTCTGGTGGTTGCACATCGGGAGTGATACGGCACCCATAAATGTATAATTGCCGCGAGCATTACTCGTGTGTGGCAGCTGCCAAGCCAATCATTATTTGCTTCTCCTTGTACTTTGTCATGCCCATGCGTCTTTTCCTTCATCACCCATAATTTGCTATTTGCACTGCTTTGACTGGCTGTATTGACGTTTCATACCAAAATGGGCAATTGGAGCATAAAGCCACTGTGGAAGACAAGTATTTTGCCCCATTACAAAAGCTAAGATGAGTAACTTGAAATAAGAGATATTTGCTAAAGTCCCAAAACATTTCTCACTGCTCTGACTACCGTAAATTAGAGGGCAGGAGGCATTTGGGGCCTTCCACCAAGGAACGACAAAAAGCCAGCAGAATCCGAATCATCCAAAAAGAGGTCATCTGGAACCCTGAATGCAGCATGCACGGTGATGGCCACGGCGCCTATCACAACCCCGGACATGAGAATGGAGCCCACTGATGTCAGTCCGAACACGACAACCACGGAGATTACCACCATTCCGAGAAACTTTTCTCGCTCGTTCAGCGTTCTTCCAGCGACAATGATCGGCTCGGTGCGGACCATGAACACGTACACCCAGCCAGATCCGAGTAGACCCAGCCACAGAATAGCTGTTGGGTTCCAGAGCATGCTGAGGACGACAACTGCGATGAGAATGCCCAGGTAATTTGCCCGAAAGTAGCCCAGGTTCTTGCGAATCCGGCTGAGGGCTTCATTCAGGCTTTCGGGCTTGGCTAAACTGGAGCGGTCAATGAGCTCGTTCCAAGGACGCTGCTGGGCGGTGGCTGCGGCATATGACTCCTGAACTTTGGTTATAAGCGACCGTACGGCGGAAGCCGATGGGTTCCCAGCCATAGAGGCTCCTGGAGCAACAGCTGCCATGGAATGCACGTCTCAAGCTAACCAACCAAAGCTCCTCGTCGATAGATGAATGAGAATAGCAGGCCTGAATAGAGAGTTGGCAGTGGATTGAGGTAGAAGACAGTATTATCTCCCAAGAACGTGGAGAAGAGTGATCTGCGAGTGCGACGATAGTATTCCTTGGTGAGCTATGAATCTGTGAGAGACGCGCCTCAAATATGGTTGCTGCGGAACGGAAGTAGTGTTCCGAGGAGTTTGATGGCGGAAACATAGGGAGGTGTTGACAACACCGAGGCACGGTTGGGGGGAGACCCAGTCGGAGCTGACACACCCGAACGAGCGGTACGCGTTTCGGTGACTTGATGTGAGGCGCCGTGTGATTGGTCGGAGAGAATTTGAGGACCTAAGCAGCACCGAACCTCGGCAATGCCAGACCCGTGAGTGTGTAGGTTGGGCGCGTAGGGGTTCGGCGAATTCTTTGTGTGACAGGTTCGGACCCGAACTGGAACCCGACTCAACGGCCAAATCTTGGTTTTTGCCACCTGTGTTTTGTGACCCGGGCGAGCGAATTCAAGGGGTAACATGCGTCTTCGCACACCAATATCGCCAAACCGTGTAATGCAGCTGTGTGCTATTCCACAGAAAGGTCGGTCAGAATCAGCCTACCGAATTCTCCCTGCTTGTCAGAATCAGGTCTAGCAAATCTAGTCGGCACTACTACCCTTGAGCAATCAGGCATAGGAAGGCGGCTTGATCTAAAATAATATAAACTGCCATGGCGTCTGTTCCTGGAGGTGCGGTAGAGGGAAATCCGACGGGGATGCGGGCTCTTGTAGCTAAAATCCAGGATTCTTATCGGAATGCGATAGCGCAGCAGCGGCCATGGAGCGAACTGACGGATCGGTCGCTGTTCGCGAGACCCGACAATCTTAACGACGCGCTTGGGAGAATTCGCAAAAATACCAGTTACTTTCAGGCGAATTACCTCTCGATCCTTATTGTCGTCGTTATTCTCTGCATGCTCTGGAATCCGACTGCCATTCTCTGGCTAGCTCTCCTCGCAGCCGCTTGGGTTTATATCTTCATGGCTCGTACGGATGCGCTGATCATCGCTGGAAGGACCCTCAACGAACGCGAGAAGTTTCTTGCCATGGCGGTCATATCCATCGTTGTCGTCTTCGGGCTGACGTCCGTCGGATCTATTCTCATGTCGGGTCTGGTGATGGGTGCTGCTGCGATCGCCGCGCATGCGGCCTTCAGGGTCCCTGACGACCTTTTCCTGGATGACAATGAATCTGGAAGCTTCCTGTCGTTCCTCGGAGGAAGAAGTACTGTTCCCATTCCAACGGCCATTTAAGACGATTAGCTTCGTCCGTCCGTCGGATGCAGCTTGTTCGAGGTCAGCCTTCGCCCCGTCCCTGCGGTTATCTGATGCAAGTCTTGGAGTTTATTACGTCTGCTCCCATTGTCACTGCAACTGATGTGCTTCACCTGTCTCTCAGCTTGCCTGTGTGCATCACCTGGACACATACGGCATCTTGATACATTAGCTCCACATAGGCTTCATTAGCTCCTCTTGCTTTAGTATTATGTCCGTCCCATTCTGCCCTAATCCCCCCTAGATGCTGCCATTTCAAACTCCAGATTGAATCCCTAGTGAGGGTGCCTATTCAATAATGGTACTGCATCCTCTGTACCTTCTAGTCACTGGCTAGTATCATGAAATCTCCATGTATAAGCATTGTAAATTGTGATCATTTTAATAGGCTCGTGTCTGAGAACAATGCCATATGATTACCTCACGAGCAGATATACTCAGAAGAAGAAAACGAATGCCCTGCCACAGCGAACGGTGGCTTGCCTGAAGCCATCACCTCGCCAACAGTAACGCCTGACAGCGACGACCCTCTACACTCAAACTCCACGCGCACGCGGTATGCTGCCATCTCCTTAGCCTTGCGGTCCTCCTCTGCCTGCTTCTCCTCCGCTGTCCTCTCTGCTGCTCCGTGCACCAAGTCATCTGGAATCACTGGGATCTGAGCCCTCAGGCGCTGCGGTGGGTCATTGGACTGGCAGTGTCCGTAGGGTGGGCGGGTGGGGGTAGGAGCCAGAGGGTGGGCGGGTGGGGATAGGAGTCAGAGGGTGGGTGGGTGGGGGTACGAGTCAGAGGGTGGGTGGGTGGGGGTAGGAGTCAGAGGGTGGGTATGGTTGGGAAGGTGAAGAGATCCTTGTTGGAGCAGAGTCAAGAAGCAGATTCTTTGCTGAAATGGTCAATGAAAGTTGACAAACGAAAGAACGTGGCACTAAGAATCGAAGCAGGGGTTGTGCGGAAGAGTGGTTGGGAGATGTGAATTTATGTGGGTGATGGCACGTACATTGATTTGCGGGACATGCCACCTCAGCTCCTTGGTTCATGGGTCAAGCTGTGCCCTGCCAGGAATTCAGGGATCACAGCGAGGGGAGAATGCAAAACAGGAAAGGGAAGAGTACACAAAGATATACTCGCCGGTGACCGACCGAGTGACACATCGCACTAGGTAGATGCAAGACTTCGCAAGGGTGGATATAGCAGCTAGGTTTGAACAACGCTGCTTATGGAATCAGGGCGCTTACTCTGGGTTGAGGCGGAGGGAGGCGGGCGAGAAGGCGAGGGAGAGGATGAAGGTGACGTTGAGCAGTGGTGCTTGCAGGTAAGGATTCGCCACGTACTGCACAGAGGGTGGCCAGAGTAGGGGGAGGAGACATGGATTGAGCATACGCACACACATCAGTTACAGGTGGGCATGTGTTTGGACAAGAGAAATACAATGCTGTGAGTGGAAAACATATGCTAAATGACATGTGGAGCACAACTGGGGTTAAGAGGGGGAGGATTCTGGCAAGAAAGATTAAGGCACGTTGGCAACTGAAGAGGTGAGGCACGAACCTGGATCATGAGTGAGAGCGCTTCATCACTCCTCCTTGTCACGAACCTGGCGGACAGTGACGGCAGGCAGGGATGGCAGGCAGAGCACAGTAAAACGACAAATAGAGCACCACTGAGTGAGAGGTGAGAGCACGGGCGAAAGGACGCACAGGTGGTCCAGCCAGAGGCCTCGACCAGGGTCTCAGCCAGCTCTGGACCCACCAGAACCAAGCCCTAACCTGCAACGGCGGAATCATTGCTTTCTACCACACGTTTTCTTAGACTCCACCTGTAAGTTGCTGCAGCAGCAGCATGCAGCCGGACCCAAGCAGGAACCTAAGCCACCCACAGCGAGCTCGGATCTGGAAGGGAAAAAACCATGTATTTGGAACTGCGCAACTTTGCTCACACACACACCCTCCCAGACTCCCTGTAAGATGGAGCACCACACAGAAAAAAAATGAGGCTCGCACGCACCTGAGTCGCAGTGGAATGGGCGTGTACCGCGGCTGCAGGCGATACTTCATCAGCACAAACTCCTGCGCCCGCCCCTCCGCCCCCCCCGCCCCCTCCCCCTCTCGCCCCCACCCATCCCCCTCCCCCGGATTCACCACCTCCCCCATGCCCTCGTCCCCCTCCCCCAGCAGGTCCGCCATGGGGGGCGGCTGGGGGGAGGCTGTGACAGCGGAGGGGGCGGAGAGCGGGGGGAAGGTGGTGCCGGGGGGAGGCATGCGGAAGTGGAAATAGCCCTTCCCCAGGTCGCTCACTATGCCTGGGCGCATGGTGCAGCGCTGGGAGGAAGGGGGGGGGAGAGGGTGGGGGAGGGGGTGGATGGACAAGAAGCGGAGGAGAGGGACAGCAGAGGGGCGTGTGGACGGGAGGGGGAACATGTGAGGGAATGCAGTGGGGGGAGGAGAGGAGAGGCAAGGGTTCCTGCAGAACACAGCAGGGCAGGGCACGCACCTTGATGGCGCCAGAGCCCTCCAATCGGAAGGAGAACTCATCAGGCACACTCGCATCCTTCTCCGCTCCTCTACCCACCCCCGCCACTCTCGCCCCCCCGCCTCCCCCACCAATAGCGCCACCGCCACCCCCCATCGCCCCCCCTGCAGCGAGCGCTGCGGCCTTGGGCGTTGGGAGGGCGAGGAAGACGGTGCCGGAGAGGCGCACGCGCGTGAGCGAGGACCCAAGGAAGTCCGCACTGATGCGCTCCTCCACTCGGAACATGGGCTGCACGGGGCCTGCTGGCGTGGCCGGTGTTGTTGCTGCTGGCGGGGTGCTGGCTGCTGGGGCTGACACTGCAAGGGAAGGGGTGGGGAGGAAACAGAAAAGGCGAGAAGATACGGCTTTTGAATCGGCAAAAGGAGATTGGGGGGGATAATAATTGACATCAAGACATTGAGTGCCCAGAGCTCACCATCCATGGCATGGCATGGCGCCCATCACTACTCACCATCCATGGCGCCCATCACTACTCACCATCCATGGCGCCCATCACTACTCACCATCCATGGCGCCCAGCCCAAGAGCCACCTCCAGCTGCCGTGCTGCAGCCACCGCTGACCCCCCTGCCGCCCCCTCTCCCCCCCCCAGCGCCGCGCCCAGGTCCCCCCCGCCGCCCAGCCCAAAGGCGTCCTCCTCCCCCTGCTCCACCCCAAACTCTGCTGCGTCCAGCCCGCCCCCCCACGCGTCCCCATCCCCCCCCAGCAGCGCGCTCCCCCCGAAGGCCGTCCCCCAGGCGTCGTCCCCCTCGTCGTCCCCCAGCGCGGCCAGCCCCCCCAGCCCCTCCGCCTCCAGGTCCGCCCCAAACGCGTCCGCCATGCTGTCTGACGCGAAGGGGTCCAGCGCGGAGGGGGGGGGGGCGGAGGACAGCCCCGCCTGGGGGGGGAAGGGGGAGGGGGATGGGGGTGGGGAGGGGGAGGAGAAGGGGGATGGGGAGGGGGAGGGGAGGGGGAGGGGAGGGGGAGGGGGAGGGGATGGGGGAGGGGGAGGAGGATGGGGGGAGAAGGTTTGGGAAAGGGTGGGTTGGGAGAGAGGGGAAGGAAGAGAGGTAGCAGGGAAGGTGGGAGGTTGAAGAAGGCGGGGCAAGAGGACAGGCAAATGCAGCAAGAAAGCAGACAAGGTGGACAGCAGACGGAGCGGAGAAGGAGAAGTTGGGGGGAAGTGAAAAGAAAAGAGGGGCACGAAGAAAGAGAAAGGCAGGAATCTTTAGAGAACATGAAGAGAGGTGCATCTCACCTCGAGCTCCGCAAGCAGCGATGCGGGATCATTCTCAGGCCTCTTCCCCGCACCCCCTGCTGCCGCCACATCCCCCACCCCCCCCGCCCCCCCAGGACCCGCGTCCAGCAGCGCGAGCTCGCCCCCCCCGCCCCCCAGCAGGCTGTCACTGGCGGCAAAGGGGTCGTCCGCGGAGCCCAGCAGCGCCAGCGCCGCCAGGGGGTCCGAGGCCGCGGAGGGGCGCGGGGAGGGCGTGGGGGGCGCGGGGGGGGCTTCGAAGGCGGGCTGGGAGGGTGCCGGGGCGAACGCCTCCATTGTCTCGTCGCCTGCTGCTATGGCCTCCTCTGGTAGCTCGAAGTGCGCTGATGACATGTACTGTGAGGGGGGGAAGGAGACGAGGGGAAGGCCCGAAGGGGAGAGCGAAAAGCGGCATAGGGGATTTTAACGGGTGGCGTGGCTGGGTCGGGACATGTGGATGCAGGCTGGGAGGGCGCTGGGGCGAAAGCGTCCATTGTGTCGTCGCCTCGTCAGGCAGCTCGAAACGGCTGATGACATGTACTGAGAAGAGGGAAGGAGGGGAGAGAGGGGGGGTGGTGGTGAAGGGGGGAAGAGGACTTTTTGGATTCGGACTGCTACACAGCCACCATGACACCCCCTCAACGTTCCTTCCTCAACACCCACCTTTCAAGGCCCCTTGCTCGCCACACCCCCTTCCCCCCCCCCCCCCCCCTACTCACCTCCACGCTCGCCAGTCGCTCCACCGCCTCGGCGTTGGCCACGCGCCAGCTGGCAGCGCCGCGAGCTCGATTCTCCCCGTCGGCGAGCGTGTTGGTGGCGAGCGGCACGAGCAGCGCTGCCCCGTCGCCCGCCACGTACGAGAGCACCGCGGAGAGGCGCGCCGCTCCGATGCCCTGTAGCACGTAGAAGAACGCCATGTAGACCTGGGGGAGGGAGGACAGGGGGGTTGCCGCTCGCCAGTTCAAGGGGCGGGAGAGGGAAAAGGAGGCCAGAGAGTGCACAAGGCAAGGTGGATGAAACGCGACAGTGGCACGACATGAAGTGTGTGCTCACCTCAGTGTACTTGCGAAATATCTTCTCTGGTGTCACATCCACGCCCTTGCACGCCGCCACCAGCACACTGCACACCATGCATGGGGCATGCAGCACAGGGCATGTGGGGCAGGAACCATGGGTTATGGGGTATAACGGGTGGACAATGCACTCGCATGACTTGTGCATGAAGCGTTGATAACAAAAGACTGCAGATGAAAATGCTCACCTGACGGCCTGGTTGACGGTGCTGATGCAGCTGTAGACGTTGAGCGACGTCTCGTCGTCGTCCGCCAGCATGAGCCCCAGCACGTATATGCTGTTCACCAGCCTGTACACCACTCGGTACCTGCGCGCACACACCGGCGGAACAAGGGAAGGAGCAGTGATGGGGGGCCGAGTGTGGAGGAAGGGAGGAGCAGGTGAGGGGAGAGCGGGCGAGCCCAGCATATAGGTGCTGTCTTCATGACGGCACGCTACGCCTCGCAGTGTGCGCGAGAAAGAATGCACTACAGTTTTCCTAATTCCCCCTGATTCCCGTCGCACGCACCGTCGGTCGCTGCCGACGACGACTTGCCCGCTCGCAGCGGCCAGCGGGTCGTCGCCGAGGCGATCGAGCATGAGCGCCTGATTCGCCGGCTGCTCGTGATGCCGCACGCTGCTGTCCGCGTGCCGCGTCGTGCGGAAGCTCTGACACGCCGCCAACGCGCGCTTGGGGGGGAACCATACCTTGCTGCGGCGGACTCGGGGGGAATCGGGGGAAAATGGGGAAGCAACGGCGAGAACATTGAGGGACGGGAGATGCAACAGTGAAGCCGGAGACGGCTGCGGATTAGATGGGAGTACGGTAGGGTGGGGAATGGCGAGAGTTGATATTTGCCAGCGATCAACGGACAATGGGAACTCCTGAGGCCTGATTGCGTGATGCTCACGACTGGACTGACGCGTCGTATTGACTAGCATAGGACGACACGACAGCTAGATGACATGACCGCTAGATGACACCGTTGTTAGTTGGCGCGATTGCTAGAAGACATGGCTGATACATGACATGAGTGTTGCATGACACAACTCGTACATGTAACGGCTGCTTGATGACACTACTCATCAGACGTCTGATACATGACATGACAGCTATTGACACGAATACTAAATGACACGACTACTATATTACGCGGCTGCTAGATGAATGTCCCTTACGTCTGAAGCAGCAGGTCTGGTCCCTGTGCTGGCTGCAGCGCTAATGCGAGACACGCCATTGCGAGACGCTAAGCTACTAACGACGTATTCGTGACTAAGATTGACGCTCAGACGAATCAAAGCCGCTTAAGCTTTTCACGCTCGTGTCGCCGCTCGCTCTCCTAAACTGAATACGGAGCCAGCTTTTTATTCGGACATGGGAATGGCGAATGCTGGTTTTCATCTGATCAGTGCCGTAGAAATGCTCAGATGATCAGATTCCTGCGATGAGCAGATGGCCCATCTCCGCTGCGCTATAAGTGGGTCGCACTAAGGATCGAGCCAAAGGTGACCAGCACCATACCTAAACGCACCGTACACGAACTTAGTTCATTGCCACTGCAATTTTGTTTATGAGACTCGCGTTTTTTCACAGAATGATAAGATGCAGGAACACTACTGAATGCCAGAATGTACATAGTATACCAAGGTTACACCAACAGTACTCCATTTATACAACCATCATTCTCTGGGTTGTTGGTTACTTGGGCGTATTTACCTGCACAACAAGCAATCACCGTCAGGATACTCGTCAAACATTAATCGCAGCACAGAGGAAGAGGAAGAATCAAATTGAGTAGTGGAAACGGAAGCAGATATAACAGTCTTACCCCAAATGACTTTGCCAGCTGGTGTGACCAACCCAAGCTCGCTCACGTTCACCTGGAGTAAACGGGAGGCATGGGCGGAATGAAGGGGTAACAGGATGAGGCAGTGGAGACATGATACAAAACACACACCAAAGAGTCACAACAACAGAAACCATGGGACCATTGCAAGGAGGAGGATATCAGACGGATCCGCATGGCTGCAGCTGCATGCATGTATGCATGCATACGAGCATGCGTGCAGTGCATGTGCGAAGCATGCATACCTCAATGATGGTTCCCTTGGTGATGACCCCCATGGACGAGTACATGGGGCCGTTGGGGTTCTTCTTCACACTGATGATGTCCAAATGGAACGTGCACTTGAGCTCTGGGTGGGTCACATGCGCCTGCATGCACGCACGCAAGCAGCACATTAGAAGCAGGGTGTTAGTAGCACAACAGTTGCTAACACGAAGAGAAATTGGAGGGTTGGGAGGGGCCAGCGGGATGTGGTGATGCAAGTCTGCAGTAAGTGAGAGGAGTGCACAGAGAGTGAGAGTGTGGGGTGGAGTGAAAGTGTGGGGTGAGTGAGAGTGCGGCGTGAGTGAGGAGGGGGTGGGGTGCGTGAGGGAGCTGGTGGCGCACCTTGGTGAAACGCAGAGCCATGGGGCGGATGAAGCGCTCATACTTGGGTGGCTTACGAGTGAACCCTGGGCCCACAAAGGTGACTTTAGTCACTAGCCTCTTCCACTGCTTGGCTGCACACAAGAAGGCAAAGCGGCAATTCAGATAAGAGAAGGAACTGAGTCAGAAACCATCTAAGAGGAGAGAGCAGAATGTGCAGTTAAACCAGTTTGACTTGAACTGCAATCAGAGCCAAGCGAAAGTGAACGAGGGGTGGGGCGAGGCTGAGCAGGCTTACTTTTCCTCTTCCCTGATCTGACCACTTTGAACATCTCATCCTCTGCTATCGGCCGAACCTGCAGTGCACAGCGCAAATGGAGGCAGAGGGGTATGGTTATAGGAAAAAGCAATATGGCTGACGGTGCAGTGAGGTGTGCAGTAGCAGACCTGCTATGCAGCAAATCACACGATCCCACACCATGAAACGGCATGTGATGCCAAGTCAACTCAGTGAAGCATCACGCCATGCATCAAAGCTGCCGTACCTTGGGCAGAGGCACGTCCCACTTGCCGGCCTTCTCCTTGCGCTTCTGCTTGATGGTGTTGCTCAGCACCTTGGCGCGCGCCGTTGCCTCCCTCTCCAGCAGGTACGCCGGCACCGCGCCCTCCGCCACTGGCGCGTCCGCCTTGTGCTTGTTCGTCCGCTCCGCGTGCATCGCCAGACTGCACGGCGGAGCGGAGCGGGGGAAGAGGGAGAGGGAAAAGGGGAACGGGGGAAAGGGGGAGGAACGGGGAGGAGTTGGCATAAGGGGAGAGGCGGAAGTGAGACGAGCGGGTGGATGGCAGTACAGGAAACGAGACAAAGATTAACAGCGCGCGACCGAAGGAGACAATGGGAGACTTCAGATAAAGACTTAGCGTTCCAGGGTACGAGAACTGGTAACTCTAACTCACGTCTTCTTCATCGTCGCCTTCTCTTGGTAACGCTTCTTCGCGAACATCTTCGCCTTGAGACCGATGGTCTGCGAAATTCCATCCAGTACGGCACGCAGGAGAAACACGATGAGCGAGAACCGGAGGTACCAGGAGCCGGGTCTACTAAGAGAAACTCTGAAACGATAAAGAGAGCAATCCGATTCCCATAATTGACTCACGTTCCGCGCAATCTGAGACGTCTTGTGCACTTGCCGAGCCTCGCGCTTGCGCTTCCGCTCGAAGTGATCCAAGCGGAAGCCATGGCGCTTCTGATGAAGCTCAATGTGCTCGCCCTGCGGCTGCACCGCTCAATGCCAAGGAAAGGGGATGACGAAGAAAAGGGGTTTGGTGGGGACAGAAGAGGGTGGGGGTTTGTGGGGTGTAGGGGAAGCATAAGTGAAAAACGGAGTTACAGTTGTGACACATATGCCGCTGAAGGATAATATCTAAGAGAAAAAACCGACGAGATTGACCAAACTGGAGGACCAACTTCTTTCGGAAACGATCGGTGCACGAACGACGGGAATATTATCGCGGATAACGCATACCAGCAGAAATGCGTACCATGGTGGACGAATCAGTCCTTGCAGAAACACGCTAGGCGACTTGCGTGAGAAGATTTCTAAGACAAGAAGAGTTTCCTTAGGCAACGTCTGGGGAGAGCGCTCCGTGCGCTATGGAGCAAGGAACTGAAGAAAGGCAGACGCAAGGACTCAACGGTCAGTACTTGAGGCTGCGGTCAGAATGGTGGAGGGAAGGAATATCATGATTCTCTTATTAACGTAAATTGAAGAACTTGCCACGGTGTACAGTCAATTCAGAAATCGTTTTCGGAATGCATAATAAAGGATACACGTTGCCGTATTCTCCCAGTGGTTTCTCCCATTTCGCAGACGCTTCGCAAAGAACTTGCAACTGACCATTCCCCTCGCCACCCAGCTCCATCACCGTTTCGTCCCTTTCATCAAAACCTGACCAAATCCAATCTGCGGCTGTGAGCGGTGCTTGCGAAGACTCAGCTTGAGTCCATGCGACCGATGCACCTAGGATTTGCCGACAAAGTTTCATGGAATGCAGTTGTCAAGAAGCGAATAGCAAGGCCTGGGTGAGGCAGTTGAGCAGCTCAAGAAGCGAAGCGTCCATCTACCCGTCATAGAGAGCTGAATTCGCCTTGCAGCACCAGACCATCGGTGGATCTTTACAAAAACTACGTATTGTGGAAAGACTGCGAATAGTAGACCATCTTGTAACCTCCGTTAGATAGCCTTCTTCAGTAAGCGAGTTTCGGCCCAGTCCAGTCTTTATTTATTGCTCGCGGACCCCTCCCGTCGAGCAAAAGGCGGAACGTCTCGACGCGTGACTATGGTGCGGTGGCACGTGCCGGGTCTGTCGACCAGCAGCGGCTCGAGCATAGATGGCGTCGCGGTGAAAGGCGACACGGCAAAGCTGCAAAAGCTTCTCAGAAAGGGCGCGGACGTGAATGCGCGTGCGCGTGAGCCGGTGCTGGTGGGACGGCGCCCGCTGCATGCTGCCGTGGCCGCAGGAAACGAGGCCATGGTCGAGGCGCTTCTTGCTGCGCGTGCTGACGTGGACGGAAAAGACGATGTGAGTAGTACCCTCTCTTGCAACGCCATGCAACTGCATTTTCACCCTCCCTGCCTTCCTATCCCGTTCCGTCCGGTCGGACACTTGCTCCCCCCGACTAATGCGTATCCCTCGGTCTCAACGTGCGTGATTTCGCTGCAGTTCGGTCGCACGCCCCTTCACTACCTGGCGGCTAGTCCGACCCCCCGTCTGGGCATCCTTTCGAATCTGCTCAATGCCGGCACCGACTACGCCATCCGAGACAGGGTGAGTCTCCTTACGCTTCGTTTCTCCACGTGCATCCTCGTTCCACCCCCTTCATCCACAGTCTTCCGTGCATCGCAATGAATCCACGGGCTCAACCGTCCCCTTTGCCGTCTCTTCCTGCCAGAGTGACAGCATGCCCATCCACGTGGCGATGGCAGGAGGCCACGTGGCAGTGCAGGAGGCGCTGACGGCGTTCGCGTTGGAGCACAGTGCGGAGTTTGCCTTCTACGAGTCGGGGCAGTGGCGCCCCTTCAACAGCGACGCATCGCGCCTGCTGGGCTTTGAGCTCGCGGAGGGCGTTGGCTTCGCTGCCCTCGCCACGGCCACCGGCGCGCACTACATCGTTGACTTCCAGCAACAGCTGCAGGTGAGGGACGCTTGTTGGCATCAGCACAACCAGAGAAGTCCAAGAACAGGCAAGGGAGCTTTCTAGGCAGAATCTACCCTCGAATTGATGCATGCTGTCTATTGTCTTCCCGCTCATTGTTGTCCGCCTCCATCCCACACTTGTCTCCTTCCGCCTGCCTCCCGTCCGTCCACCCCATCCACCTCCCCGCCATCCCTTATGGCAGTTCAACGTGTCGTCCTTCTTCTGCAAGTCCATCAGCTGGCGAGTGCTGCCCAGCGGTCGCTGGAACCGTCCTCCCAACCCACACCAGGGGCTGCACCCGGGCAGCCAGGACCCGCGCCTCATGTACCGCTACGACCAGCAGCTGCGCTCCCTCGCCCAATCCGGTGTCGACATTTGCCCCGTCTACTTCTCCCTCACTGGCCTTCCCCCACACCCCCTGCTCTCACAACCGGCGCCCAGCGCTCAGTTTGTCTCGCACCTCTCCTCGTCGCCGCGCCGAGATGGAGAGCATGGTGATGGTGGTGATGGTGATCAGGATGATGGTGCTGATGGTGATGCGCAACGGCCGTCTACTTCCTCTGCTGGAGTGGCTGCAGCTGCCGCTGCCCTCCCCGCTGCTCTACACATGTCTGATGACCTCTCCAGTGATGTCCCCGACTCCGAACCAAACACCCCTTTGGTCCGGCGCCAACCAGGGGAACGTGCAGCTGCTGGTTCGGATGACGACGAGCTGCCGAGGCTGCAGGCACTGAGGTCCGGCACAGATGAGTACGACGAGATTGTGGCTCGGTTCGTGGCTGGGATGCTACGGGACAGGAATGACCGCCCGAACAGCAGCTTCCGGCAGAACAGTGTGAGTGGAGGGGTGGTGGAGCAGGAGGATGGCATGAGGCCAGTGACAGTGTCGTCAGTGCAGCAGGTGCTGCTGCCTGCTTCCCGCACACAATCCTTTGACGAAGCTGTGAGAGAACTCAAGGAAGCAAGGGGGGGCGATGGCAATGTGCGGCTGGCATGGCACGGGGCCCCTCGTATGGCAGTGGATCGCATAGTGTCGAGCGGTTTCTCCCTCTCCTCCTCCGCTGCTGCCCGCAACGGCAGGCTGTATGGGGATGGGGTGTACCTGGCGCCAGAGCAGAGGGCCTACACGAGTGCAGAGTTTGCGGTAGCGGATAGCGAGGGGCGCAAGCGCATGCTGCTGTGCCGTGTGGCGCTTGGGTCGATGGAGGCGATTCCGTTTGGGTCGTCCCAGCAACGGCCTAGCAGTCTTCGGTTTGACACGGGAGCTGACAATGTCAATGACCCTTCGCGCTATGTGGTGTGGGAAGAGGATGTGAATGACTTGGTGCTCCCCACGCATGTTGTTTCCTTCCGCTACTGTTGAAAACAGATGTCATCCAGCTACTATTCCCTTGTTTTCAAATGCCTAAGTTATGATGATGTTATCATGACGTGTGTCTGATTGTTAAATGTTTGGAAGCCTTCCCAGCACTTTGATTCTCAGGTTTCATTATAAGTTTCAGGTGTAGCACAGTGGGTGTGCTTTTGGTAAATATTTTGGGAAGATGCCCCATTTTGATAAAGGTCCAGCTAACGACAAATGCTGCACGTGGTGGTGGTGGCAGTACGCTGAGGGCGACAGATTTGGTGGAGGTAGAAAAGGGGTTGCAGGATGGTCGTGGTGAGGGATGGAGCTAGATTTAGTAAGGTGAAAACGGTTTCTTTTCGTTTCAATAGGATAGGATGCGGTTAATAGCGGCGATTACTAGAGGTACATGCGGCTCATCCATCACGTGTGTTGGTGCATCCAATCCGCCCGCCTGCCCTTCGTTTCGGTCACAATCCTCACCCCTCTCCTCTGAGCCTTCGATACAGCGTCCTTCAGCCCCAAGCTCCCGCTGCTTGGCCCTCCCTTGACTCCTATTTCGGCACTCGAACGAACAAAAGCTCAATATTTGACCGGCATTTGCGGGAAGCTCCTAGATTACTTCTAGTGCTAAGTTCACCTAGTTCCGTTGGCTCTTATCTCCGTCGTCTCCCGCTAGCGACGCTCCAAACAAAAACACACACACACCAACAACAACCTTTGAAGTTTCTGCCATGGATGACATGTCGGCGCAGAACGTAGCGTCGCAGCTTCTCGACCTTATTCGCACGCGACGACAGCCGATATCGCAGGAATCGTCGCAAGGACTGTCGCAGCCGTCGTCGGTTGCTGACATACCGAGAAATGTATCGCAGCAAGTCGCGAGCGGTCGATCCCCTCTAGACGCCTCGACCTCTTCGTCAAAGCTCGTCAGCGCAGCGGACTACGTATCTGTCTCGGCCGTTAAATCCGCTTCCGCTCTTCTCGGGTCCGCTCATGTCCCCGCCCACTACTCACTCAGCTCTCGCTCCGCCACTGCGGAGGTCACGAGCTCGATAGTTACGCCGTCCGCCGCGGAAGAGTTGCGGAGCGGGAAGAGAATGCGGACGGAAACCGGCGCAGTTGACGCGGCGTGGGGGGAAGGCGCGGTAGGCCCGGCGACGCCGGAGAACGCGGGGTCGGATTCGTCCGCGGCGGGCGGCGCGTGGGACGTTAGCAACGTGCAGATATCGCAGCTGCTGCAGGAAATGGACATGTTCTTTCCGCCCGACGACGACGACCTCAGCGCCTTCGCGCTCGCCTTCGACGACGACGACCTCAGCGCCTTCGCGCTCGCCTTCGACGACGACCCGCTCGACGCCACCGCCGCCGCCAACGCCATCGCCGCCGCGAATGGCGCGGCGCCTGCGTTTCCCGCGCAGGACTCCATAGGGGAGATTCTGAACGGTCTCTCGTCTGCCGGCCCACCGTGTGCCGATTTGCCGGCTGTTGCTCCTGCCGTGCCGGCCGTTAGCGTTCCGGCCGTTAACTTGCCGGGCGACCCGGTGGCCGACGTGCATGCCATGCGCCGCGCAGACTCCGCGGACAGCGCGGGGGTCACTCCGCAGAGCCTGTCAGGGCTGGATAGTCCGCATAGCAGCTTAACCGCGGGGGGAGCGGGCGGAAGCACTGGCGGAAGCACCGGAGGCATGCAGACGCTGACGTCATTTGAGAGTGCGGAGCTGCGGGGGGACTTTTCGCGCGTTTGCTGGGTTGGGGAAGCGGAGAGGCCCGCGGAGGGGGAGGCGGCTGTGCAAGAAATGGGAGCGGGACAAATAGGGGAAACTGCTGTTGCGGGGAGCGTGGGAAACGGGAAAAGTATGGGCGGGTGGCGCGAGCAAGTACCTGCCACGTCAGCGTTGTCAGGGGGAAACGATGGCGGGGGGGATAATGGCGCAAGCGGAAACGGCAGCAAGGGGGGCGCGATTCCGGGCGCGCGGTCGCTGAGTCTGGGGAGCCAGTTCCGTCAAAAGCAGATTCTGCAGACGCTCTCCTCTCCGCCCACCGCCCCACAGGCGATGCAGTCGCAGGTGCAGCAGCAGCCTCAGCCGCAGCAGCCGCCGCAGCAGGCGGTGGTGCGTCCCGCAGGCGCAATGCGTCCCCCCATGCTGCCACCTCGGTATTCCCAACAGCTGGCGCAACCGCCCATGGCGCAGCAGGGGCAACCCCCCATGGCACAGCAGGGGCAGCAGCAGGGCGCGCAGTCGTGGCAGGGCGGAGAGCAGCAGGGGGGAGGTGCGGGGGGAAGGGGAGGGGGAAGAGGGGGAGGGCTGCTGAGGGTGCCGTCGGACTATCTGAGGCTGCTGGCGGAGAGTCAGGAAGGGGGGAAGCGCGCTCGGGGGGCGGAGAGTGAGTGGCGCGTGCAGCAAGTGAATCGCATGCTGCAGGCGCAGGCGGAGCAGCAGTCGTTGCAAGCACAGCAGCAGCAGCAGCAGCAGATGCTGCGAGAACAGCAACAGCACTCGTTTCAGCAGCAGCAGCAGCAGTCGTTACAAGCACAGCAGCAGCTGCAAGGCAAACAGCAAGAGCAGCAGTGGCAGGGGCAGCAAGAGCAAGAGCAGGAGGCAGGCGGGGGGGCGGTGGTGGTGAGTGCGGGCATGAAGAGCGACTCTGTGGCCAGCGCTGACATCACCGCGCTCCTTGAGGCCTACCCCCTCCCCCCGCAACCGTTGCAAGCACAGCAGCAGCAATCGTTGCAAGCACAGCAGCAGCAATCGTTGCAAGCACAGCAGCAGCAATCGTTGCAAGCACAGCAGCAGCAATCGTTGCAAGCACAGCAGCAGCAATCGTTGCAAGCACAGCAGCAGCAATCGTTGCAAGCACAGCAGCAGCAATCGTTGCAAGCACAGCAGCAGCAATCGTTGCAAGCACAGCAGCAGCAATCGTTGCAAGCACAGCAGCAGCAATCGTTGCAAGCACAGCAGCAGCAATCGTTGCAAGCACAGCAGCAACAATCGTTGCAATCACAGCAGCAGCAGCAGCAGCAGCAGCCATTGCAAGCACAGCAGCAGCAATTGTTGCAAGCACAGCAACAGCAGCAGCAACCGTTGCAAGCACAGCAACAGCAGCAGCAACCGTTGCAAGCACAGCAACAGCAGCAGCAGCAGTGGTTACAAGCGCAGCAGCAGGGATGGAACCAACCACAAGCAGTTCCCCAACCTCCCAATGGCCTCCACTATGTGCCGCCCACACACGCCATGCCACCCACACCGCCACCACCAGTAGCTTCTGCAAGCCTTCCCCAAGGAACGTCACCCGGCGAAGCAGCCACAGCTGGCCACACGCCTCTGGCTGCGCCCCTGCCTCCGCCCTTCCGCCCAGTGACGTCCCCCATGGAGGTGGCGCTCATGGAGTGTGCAGCGGCAGTTGACAGGCGCGACCTGGGGCAGGCGCACTCCCGCATGTCCGCCCTCGCGCACCTCGTGTCACCGCACGGCACCGCACAGCAGCGCCTGGGGTACTACTTTCTGGAGGCGCTGGCTGCCAGGATTGCCGGCACTGGGTCGGCTATCTATAAGGTGGGTGGGTCACAAGCCTGCACCTGCTCTCACTTACCCCATAGCACCGCACAGCACCACCTACACTCCCGCCAGAGCAGCCAAGCAGGGCCACTGAGCGCGTGCAATGCCCATCAGCGGTGGTTGTGGTGTCCCGCAAGGCAAGTATCGAGGCACCTCACCAGGCAGGCGTGTGTGCGGACCAACTTAACTCCAACCCAACCACCCCAAACCCCCTTTTCCTCTGACCCCTTCCCTTCAGGCGCTGCAATCCCGGCAGGGCAGCCAGCCCGGGCCATCCAGCAAGGCAATGCTGTCTGCAGTATTGGTGTTCTGCGAGGCATGCCCGTGGATCAACTTCGGGCACCTGGTGGCGAACGGCAGCATACTGGAGGCAGTGGAGGGGGCGAGGAGGGTGCATGTGATCGACCTGGGCATCACCCACGGCACGCAGTGGCCCACGCTGCTCGAGAGCCTCGCCACGCGCCCTGGCGGGCCCCCGCACCTGAGGATCACGGGGGTGGATGCGCCTCTCACCGGGCTCAAGCCTTCCTCGCTGGAGGTGTGTAGGATAGGATGCGTGGGATGGGTGGGCGGGATGGGTGGGTGGGATGGGTGGGTACTTCTGCAGGTGCTTGGGTGGGTGAGAGGGGGGGGAGGGGTGACGGTGCATGGGTTGTGCGGCACCTGCGCGGCACGTGGGGAGCACGGCGGGGTCCAGTGCATCTCACTGGACTCGAGCAGTGCTGGCTGCAGCTGCATTGCGTGGCTGCGTGGCTGTCTGCGTGCTTGCTATGCGCATGGGTGCATGTCGCTTCACGACCATCACGCAACACCAACCTGTTCGACTTTCTCCTCCTCACCTTTCCATGCCCTCCCCCTACTTCTCCCCCCTTCCTCCTCCCCCATGTGTGCCGCCCTTGCATGGCAGGAGACGGGGCGGCGGCTGTCGGCGTTTGCTCGGGTGATAGGAGTGCCTTTTGAGTTCACGCCCATCACGGAGCAGCTCGACGACCTCAAGGTGCGCCCCACCACCTGCCTGCCTGCCCGCCCGCCTGCCTGTCTCAAGATCAATATGCCTGCCGTGCGCGTCTGTTGCTCTGCATAGGAGTTCTCTTTGCACGCCAGTCCGTTCCTCCGCCCATTTCCCCCCGCCCTTCTATCTCCCTCTGCCTCCTCGCACTGCAACACACATGCTGTCCTCCTCTCCCGCCCTCCGCCCCTCACCACGCACTCTTCTCTGCTTCCCCTACTTGTAACCTCCTGAGTCCGAGCATTGAGCAGTGAGGAGTGACGAGGTTCTGATGATCAACTGCCTGCTCAGTCTGCATCGGATGCTGCTTTCCCCCTCGTTCTCTCCTCATCTCTCTCCTCCTCTCCCCTCATCGATCCCCCCCATACCCCAGTGCTTCACCTCTCCAGCCAGAGCAGATTACAGGGCGCGGCGATGGGGTGTTGGAGGTGAGCTGCCTGCGTGCTGCGGCTGCACCAGATGCTACTCTCCCCTCATCTCTCTCCATATCCCCTTGTCTCTCCCCTTCGCCCTTCCCTCATCTCTCGCTTCGCCCCCACTTCTCCAACCCAACCCCTCCGAGCACTTCGCAGTGAGGAGCGACGAGGTGTTGGTGGTGAGCTGCCTGCTGCGGCTGCACCAGATGCTGCTTCCCCCTCATCTTTCTCCCTGTCCCCTTATCCCTCCCCTTCGCTCTTCCCTCATCTCTCCCCTCGCCCCCACTCCTCTAACCGCTCCAGCCGGAGCATTTCGCAGTGAGGAGCGACGAGGTGCTGGTGGTGAACTGCCTGCTGCGGCTGCACCAGATGCGCGATGAGAGCAGCGCACCGCACGTGCCCAGCCAGCGCAACTGCACGCTCCAGATGATCCGCTCCCTCAACCCCGCCATCGTCACTCTCATTGAACAGGTGGGGGGGAAGGGAAGAGTGTGGAGTGTGGGAGATGTGGGGGGAGGAGAGAGTGGGGTGTTTTAGGTGCATGCAAAAATAAAACTCTGTCTGGCGATTTTCCATCTCCTTGTCAACTCATATCCACCATCGTCACTCTCCTTCTCCCCTTCCACCTCCTCTCCCACCTCTCCCACCTCTCCATGCTTCCTCCCAATCCCCCCCCCAGCACGCGGATCACAACATCCCCTCCTTCCTATCGCGCTTCCGAGAAGCCTTACACTACTTCAGTGCGCTGTACGAGTCGCTGGACGCCAGCCTGCCGTGGAACAGCACAGAGCGCGCGCTGGTGGAGGAGAGGATATTCGGGCGCAAGCTCGTCAACATCATCGCCTGTGAGGGGCGCGAGCGCGTGGAGCGGCATGAGAGCCACGCCCGGTGGCATGAGCGCATGCAGCGCTGCGGGTTCGTGCCGCGCGCTGTCAGCGCTGACGTGGAGGAGAACGCGCATGTGAGTGCTGACGTGTACTGTTGATGGGAAGTGCACCCACAGCGTTGGTGTTCGTTGCAGGTTGACTCACCCTCTGGTTCGTAACCTTTCAAGTAACTACTCACATCTAGCATGCAGCATTGGTGTTGGCATGCATTCTCATGTCGCACACGAGCACCTATTGCCAGCTTCCCTGTGCCCACTAACTCACCATCACATCTCCCCCCATAACCTCCCTGTGTGCACGCACCCCATAACCCACCGCTGCCCGCTATTCCCACAGCTGCTGCTGAAGCGGTACAGGGAGGGATACGGCATAGAGCGGCGCGGCGATGCGCTCATCATCACGTGGCGCCACGTGCCCTTCTTCGCCGCCTCCAACTGGTGCTGCCGCCCCGCCGCCCTGCCGCCACCCCCCCTCACACCCGCCCCCGCACCCACACCCACAGCCACAGCCACACCCCCCCTCACTCCCGCCCCCACACTCACACCCACTGCTGTGTTCACTGGTGCTGCCAATGCTGCGCCTGCTGCTGCAGCTCTGCCCTCCACCGACCCTGCTCCCTCTCCTGCTGCTGCTGGCTCCAACTCCAACGCACTCCCGTCTCAGCCTGCCGCCCACCCCACATCGCCTGGATTCGTGCCTTCCAGTGGGTAGAGCAAGGGGGGTTGGGCTTCTGAGTTTCCTGCTGCGCAGTCAGCAACTGCATAGTAACTTCTAACTGTAAAGCCTTTTGATATGCAAAGGGCACAGTTGCTGGCTAGATACTGTGCCTGAGTTTAATGTACAATAAATGGTACTTATATTACATGTGCTAATGTGTTGTACAACAAATAAATTCCTAAGTAATACCACACAAGGTGCTACCTCACCATCCACACTGGAGGTGTATGATAAATCACATCAAGCAGGAGGTAGCGTCAGTATACCTACTCTACTAGGTGCACCATGTGCACGCCACTCCACACCACACCACACATCAAGGGCGCACGCCCCACACACATTTAATCTAAGCTAGCATGGGCCTCCTCGCCACGCTCACACACAAAAGAATGTGCAGGCCATGCCTGGCTACTGCCGTTGGGAGCTGCCTGCTCCTGTGCTGTGCGTGCACAAGCCTGCTGCTCAGGCATGCATGCAACTCCGAGTGCAACCCAGAGTCCAACCCGTGCACCACCCCTCTCAGTCAACAGTATCGTCAACCTCAACCTCAACCGTCCCTCTCCCCAGCGCCTCTGCACAACTTGCACGCTCAGCACCTGCTACATCTGCTACAGCCGCTTGCTGCAGGTGCTACAGCGCTGCTACAGCCGGTTCAGATCCTGCTGCAGCCACTACAGCTCTTGCTACAGCTGCCACAGCTCCTGCTGCACCCACAACAGCCCCTGCTGCTGCCAAGGTCTTGCTACAGCGAGCAAAGGTTCTGCTGTGGCGCGGCTACAGCCCCTGCTGCAGCTGCACGTGTTGAAAGTGAGAGTGGTGGTATGCAGAGCGAGCGAGAGGCGAGAACACACTGGGCGAGTGCTGGCAGGGGGACGCGGGGGACATGTTGAGCGCGTGCGTGGAGATAGGGGGGAGCGGACCAGACCCAGTGGGCGGAGTGAGCTGCCCGTACTGTCCTGCCTTCCACGCCCTCTGCTGCTGCTGCGGCTGCAGCGGCGGCAACTGTGGCTCAGGGGCGGCGTATCTACTACTGGGAATACCCGAGCGCCTGCGGGATAATCCGCCGCCGCCGCCGCCACCGCTGCTGCTCCTTTCCATTCTCCCCTCCTCCTCCTCGCACTCCCAGATTGCCCCCGGACTGTTTTCCCCGCTTCCCCAGTCTCCGCTTCCGCCTCCGCTGTCCCCCCGGGCCATCCGCGAGCCCGGCTGCGCACGTAGCGCCACGTCACCGCTCTCTAGACCCGCGAAATCCGGGAAGCTCATCGACTTGCCCATGCTGGCGCCCAGCGCGACCCGCACGTCCCCCGCGCACAGCAAGCGCGGGGGAACCGCAGGCGTGGGGGCGACGTCTTGCGCTTGGAAGTTGGGGGGAAGGCGGCGAAACGTTTGCGGGGGAGCGATGGAGGAGGGGGAGAGGGCGAGGGAAGACATGTCAATTGCGAGCGAAGCGCGCCGAGTCAGCCGGGGAGGTCCGGATGGGCTGGCGGGCTGGCTGGAATCAACGGCGGGGAACGTTCGCGATAGGTAACCCGACGAGGAAGCCCCTGTCGACGCAGCATTTGACAGAGCGGCGCGTTGCCAGTGCTGTCGCGGAGCCGCGTCCGCAGCGAAGCGCGAATTGCCGTCCCACTGCGTTTGGTATGACTGCGGGTGCGAGTGCGATTTCGATGACCAGAGCGACTGGGATGGCGATTGCGTCTCAGGTTGCCATTCCATACTCCCGTGCCTCGCGTGAAAACAGCGACGCTGATGCGGATGATCCGGCGATTCGAGTTCGTCGGGATGCTCAGCAGGGGGCTCTAGGTAGGAATAACGCGCAACGGCCGCCTCGACGGACCCGGGCTCAGCAAGGTTCTGCGCCGACGCGCTTCGTCGCATACCCAGGCGTGATGCCGGAGGTCGCTTCGGAGCCGGCGCAAACGGAGCCGGCGCAGGCGCCGCCGGCGGCGATGGAACGGGCACGTTCTCCAGATCTTTGGCTGAGAAGCTGCGACGGATGCCGCCGCGGCCGTCGTTGCGCACGTCGAGGCTGTAGCGCGGCGCGGAGTTGGCGCGAGACGGCAAAGATGGGCGGGCGGCTGTTGATGAATGGAGAGAGATGCTGGCGCGGCGCAACTGCGACGGACCATGGCGAGGGGGAGAGAGGAAGCACGGATACAGCGTCAGAGGGCGATTCATGATCCAAGTCAACGGATGGATAACGACGCGCCCAACGGTAGCTCCGAAAATGATGGCGGTATTACCAATGCTCATGCAACGAAAGGCGAGGCAGTGTTGATGACCTTCACTCCGCATTCCGCAGAAGCCAAGGTCGCAAGGCTCACCTCTTTCGCCGTCCACGATGCGTCGCTCGCGGGCGACCGTTGATCCGGCGAGCTCTTGTCATAGTCACCATAATCGCGGGTATACTCGGCCAATCCGCCGGTCGTATCGAGCCGCAGCGGGGGCACGGCGGTGCCTGGATCGGTCTCCGAGGGCGCGTGGAGGAAGTAAGAGTTGCCGGGCCGCAGGAGTTTCTCGGGCGGGAGATGCAGGCGCGCGGAGTTGTGCGATCCGACCATGAAGCCCGGATAGTCCTTCATCACGCGCGCCACGCGCACCGCGTCCGCGTATATGCGCATGCCGCCGTCGGGCAGCATGAGCAGCACGGTCTGCCCGCGCTTGAACAGCTTCAGCGCCATGGCCGGCATTTTGGGGACCTACACGGGGTGACCGGACCGCGCTTGGGAAAGCGATGGACAAGCTAACGGTTCGAACTAGGACTGCTGAGCTAAGTGTGCCTCGAAGGACCTCAACCAGGAGGGGGACCTGGGAAATACGAAAAGCGGGAAATGAGGGAGAGTGGAGAAGTGATAACGTTCAGGAGGCAACAGAAATACGAGAGTGGAGAGAGGCGTGGTGATTTACAGCTGGAAGGTGGTCCACCGACACACGCCACGTGGTCCTCTGAGTCGTGTCGCTCGAAGAGCATCTTAGAACGGGAAGTGAGGCAATGGATAGCTTACTGTAGTGTGAGATGCTGCGGGGTGTGTTGCCAAAAAAATCAGGCAGCAAATCGTCCCAGCTGGGATGATGGGCATCGCTGAAATCACTCAACGAATTGAATGTCGCGTAGAGAATCGTTCTGCAAATGCGAGCGTACCGAACAGTGCACTAGTACGATAAACGACACGACACTAGTGCGCCTGAAAGCTGCCTGTCGCAATTTCCTACGATTCTGGGATGGTTCAGTTCAGAGCCCTCTCAGCCACTCGTTTGTTTCTGGGTCGCGGCAGCGGCGCGAGAGACTAGAGCTCCCCTGGTTTGGACGAAGACAAGTCTCGCCACTGCCCGGTAGGGCCAATCATCGAAAAGCAGTCAAGTTGTTCAGCCAACAGCCCGTCAGTGCTTCGATTCAAGGCCACATGCGTGGGACTCGTTTTGTAACACCAGCAAGGGACAGGGATTGCCCTTGTCACCAAACCGAAACCTGGTCCCTGCTTTTGACATCGTTGAAGTGTGACCACACATTGAGGTTTCGTCCCAACCCAACGTCTCTCACTGCAATCAAGGGGCACACTTCTGCAGTGCGTGCATGCGTCACCGCTGCCAAACAACTGTGCGCTGAACGTGTCCACACTGGAACTTGCCTTTCTTCTGGAACCAACAGAATTGATGAGTCAAATAATCCCCAAAATTCCACAACCGTGATAAGCGAAGCAACAGCTCCTGTTACAAGACAACTGTATACTACAAAACGTATACAAGACAACTTTAGGAAAACAAGCCCGGCAGTGATTTTTTTCTTTCCTTACAACGGTTGATTCGAAGTACCTCTTCCTTATTCTGTGTCTTTCCATAATCAATAAAAATGGTGATTCTTCACTTACTATGAGTGAAGTGAACTCTAGGGCTACACATTACAGAGAGGTGGAGGAAGTATACATATCATATTTACTTCTCTAATACCATATCGAAGCGTCACTTCTCTAATATACAGCAACGTGCACTGCACATATCGAGGTCTCACTTATCCCAACACCTGTCATGTCAGATCAATCAGACCAATCCCCTCCACCCCCAACCGCGCAATGCCACGTTCCAAGTCGGCCACACCGGAGATGGCAAGTATTTTTCTCTTCACTCCTTAGCGCGGTCCGTCGGTTCGCTTTGCAGCAGCTGAATGTTAAGAGTTACGTATGGCGGCGGAAGATACATGTCCCGTGCCAGGCGCCGCGTCCAACGGCGCAGCATCCGCGCCCCCATCAGCATGTCCAGACACTTTAGGGGAGCCAGCTGGCGCTCGTGCGCCGTATGATTGCGGCGTACGCCTAAGCGCGCCGAGCAGCTTGGCGGCGCAGCAGGGCGGGCGCGTGGCGGGGGGAAACGAGGAGGCGGTGACGGCGGGGTCGGTGCACCGTGCCATTGTGCGACACGCGCACTGCTCGCTCGCGTGCGGCGATCGCGACAACCTGTCGCCGGGCGACGTTTACCGCGCGGCTGCGATGAGCTTGCGAGACCACCTGATCGCGCGGATGGATGCGACGGAACGCGCTTACGACGACGCGGTGAGGCGCGCAAATCCGAGCGAATTGAGGGTTGGAGACTGAATTCGGATGAAAGATGACTAGTAGGGCGGTTGAGATGGTCGCACAGAGGAGAGAAAGCTTCGTCGTACGTGGATTTCATTAGAGAATGCGTTTGTGGACGGTGGCTGTGAAATGTTCCTCTTTCCCTTCCCATCCCGCCCTCTCTCGCCCTCTCTCCGTGCGTGTGCGTGTGCGTGTGCGTGTGCGTGTGCGTGTGCGTGTGAGCGTGCGCGTGCGAGTGCGCGGCGAGCAGGGGTGCAAGCGGGTGTACTATCTATCAATGGAGTACCTTATAGGGCGGATGCTGCAGCTGGCAGTCACATGCCTCGGCCTCGATGTAAGCCCGCCGCACTCTCGCCCTCGCTCTCACTTGATCCGTCCTCGTTTCGAACCGTCAACACATGCCCCACTCACGCGCCCTTCCACACACGTGCAACTTCTCCACCGCACCCTGTTACCGCCTCACTCCCGCTGCTCCCCGTGCAGCAACCCCCTCATCTCCACCCCCCCCCCCCCACCACCACCTTCTCCTTGCCCCCCCACTTCCCACCCCACTTCTCGCACCCACCTGCTCCCTCCTCTTCTCTTTCTTCCCCCTCAACAGGAGCAGTACATCAGCTGTGCGTGTCGATGGAGGAAGCAGTGGAGGAGGAGCGCGCCCCTCCCCACCCCCTTTCTCCCATCCCACCCCACCTCCCCCACACAACAGGAGCAGTACAGCGCAGCGCTGCAGCAGCTGGGGGTGAGCATGGAGGAGGCGGCAGAGGAGGAGCGCGACCCGGCGCTGGGCAATGGCGGGCTGGGCCGCCTTGCTGCATGCTTCCTTGACTCCCTCACCACTCTCAACCTCCCCGCCTGGGGGTAAGCTCCGCTGCTGCTGCTGCTGAAGTACTGGGTTGAATGTGCATGCTTGGCGATCAGTGCTGCCACCTCCCTCCCTGCCACCATGTGGCATGTGCTCCCACTCGCTCCTGCCCTTCGCCTGCTCCACCCCACCCACGCAGCTACGGAGTGCGGTGCCGCTATGGCATGTTTGAGCAGCGCGTGACATTGACAGGCCATACATTCCCACTCCCTCCTCTCTTGCTGCCTGCCCTTCCCCTGCCCTCCCCTCAAGCAGCTACGGAGTGAGGTACTGCTTTGGCATGTTAGAGCAGCGCATGACACAGACGGGCCATATAATCCCACTTCCTCCTTTCTTTCTACTTGCCCCCTTCCTCCCAACCCCCTTTCCCCACAAGCAGCTACGGGGTGAGGTACCGCTACGGCATGTTTGAGCAGCGGGTGGCGGCGTTGAGGCAGCAGGAGGCGCCAGACGCGTGGCTGCACCCGTGGGGGTGCCCCTGGGAGATCCCGCGCCCCCACGTGCGCCACCCCGTGCGCTTCTTTGGCCACGTGGCGGTGCGTGTGGAGGGCACGCGCACGCGGTACCGGTGGGAGGGTGGCGAGCAGGTGGAGGCGGTGGCGAGCGACATCCCCGTGCCGGGCTTTAAGACCGCCTCCGTCAACCGCCTCCGCCTCTGGCGCTGGTGAGGGAGGGGGACGAGGAGGGGAGGGGTATTGGTGAGTAAGGAGTGGTTACTTGGACTGTGAGAGGGAAGGGGTGCAGAGCTGAGTGTGTTGTGCTCTGCTTCGTGCCTACATTCTGTTGTGCTGTTATGTCTGTTGGATATTGCGTTGCGCCCATGCTGTGCCCTGCTCCACGGTGCTGTGCGGTGCACCCCTTTGGTTGGTGCCATGTAGACAAGTCCCTATGCATGCTCCCTCCGTTTCAACAATCCACACCCGTCCCACCAGCGAGCCGCTTTCGGGCGGCTTCGACTTATCCTTATTCAACGCGGGGCGGCACGTGGAGGCGGTGGGCGGGGCGGCGAGGGCGGAGGCGATCAGTGCGGTGCTGTACCCCGAGGACAGCAGCGAGGCGGGCAGACAGCTGCGCCTGCAGCAGGAATACTTCTTCGTCTCCGCCACACTGCAGGTGGGTTCTTTTGACGGTGGCGGGGGGTTGGGTTGGGTGGAGAGGGGGCGGTCATGACTTGTGCTGGCAGTGCTGGAGGCCATGCGCCTGCTGCTGGACGAGCATGGGGAGCTTGTCTCTGCCTCGCTGCTGCACTCATCCATCCCCTTCCTCCTCCCTCCCCGCCACCCTCTCCTCCCCCCTTTCTTCCGTCAGGACATAATATCACGGCACGTGGCGGCAGGCCGACCGCTGTCATCCCTGCCGGAGGCAGCAGCAGTGCAGCTGAACGACACGCACCCAGCTTTAGCGGTCCCCGAGGCCATGCGCCTACTGCTGGACGAGCATGGGCTGGAGTGGGGCGACGCCTGGCACGCCACGGTGGCGCTGCTGGCATTCACCAACCACACCGTGCTGCCCGAGGCGCTCGAACGCTGGCCCGTGCCGCTGCTGCAGACCGTGCTGCCTCGAGTCATGGATCTCATATTTGAGATCAACCACCGGCACCTGCAGGTGAATGTGCGCCCAGCAGTCAGCTCTATGGCATCGCAGTCCACCATGTGACCTTGTGAGGGGCCAGCGCCATTGTGCCACGCCACAGCAATAGCCATGCAGGCAGCGCAAGAAACAGCCGCCCTCTCGTGGCGCTGTGTGCAGTGTGTTATTGGGTTGGGTCCTTACATTACTCTCTGCGCCTGTGCGGGTGGCCTTGCGTGCTTCACGCGGTGCAGGCACAATGCTCAAGTCTAGACGTTTCAAAAGTCCTAACCATACTCCTAGATTTGACCTGGTGTGTGCGCGTGTCCTCTGTGCGCGTGTCCTCTGTGCGCGTGTCCTCTGTGCGCGTGTCCTCTGTGCGCGTGTCCTCTGTGCGCGTGTCCTCTGTGCGCGTGTCCTCTGTGCGCGTGTCCTCTGTGCGCGTGTCCTCTGTGCGCGTGTCCTCTGTGCGCGTGTCCTCTGTGCGCGTGTCCTCTGTGCGCGTGTCCTCTGTGCGCGTGTCCTCTGTGCGCGTGTCCTCTGTGCGCGTGTCCTCTGTGCGCGTGTGTCTTCCTGTGCATGGTGGCTGGCAGGAGGTGGAGGCGAGGTGCATGGGGGAGGGGCAGCGCATGGCACGGCTGTCGATCATCGAGGAGAGTCACCCCAAGATGGTGCGCATGGCGGTGCTGGCAGCCGTTGGATCGCACGCCATCAACGGTGTAGCGGAGCTGCACTCCACGCTGCTGCGCACGCAGCTGTTCCCCGACTTTGTTGACCTCTTCCCCACGCGCTTCCACAACAAGACAAACGGCGTCACCCCGCGCCGCTGGCTGCTGCTCGCCAACCCGCGGCTCTCGCAGGCACGTGGGGGGAGGGGTGCAATGGGCATGTGGGGGAGGGGGAACAAGGGCCATGTGGGGAGGGAATGAGGCATTTGGATTGGAGGGGCAAGGAGACTTGGGTGGGGGCAGTGGAGTGTGTCACTCAATCAATCTAGTCATTGCTCTCCCACTCCCTCCCCTTCATGCAGGTGATCACGAAATGGCTAGGCTCAGAGGAGTGGGTGCGCGACCTCTCGCTCATACAGGGCCTGCGAGCGCACGCCAGCTCGCTCACTCCCACACTCTTCTTCCGCCTTCCCAACCCCTGCTCCTCCCCCTTCATGCAGGTGATCACGAAATGGCTAGGCTCGGACGAGTGGGTGCGCGACCTCTCCCTCATCCAGGGCCTGCGAGCGCACGCTAACTCGCCCGCGCTGCATGCTGACTGGACCGCTGCCAAGGTGGCCAATAAGGAGCGGCTCGCGGTGTATATTCGCAAGACGTGTGGCGTGCAGGTGGGAGAGGGGAGGGAGCTGTTTACAGGTGTGGGGATGGTGAGAGGGAAGGGAGGGAATGGCGGGGAAATAGCATCTCACACCGTGCATAGTTGCTTGCATACTCTCCTGCACCTTCCAGCCTTTCTTTGTGGTATGAATCTGGTGACACACACATACTAAGTGCTGGCGTGTGTGGCAGGTGGAGAGCATTGTGGTGTTTGACTGCCGCATCAATGCTCTCTTCACGCATGTGCGCCTTGCACCGGGTGCAATGCACCCTGCCCTGCCGCCATGTGCAGGTGGATAGCAGTGCACTGTTTGACTGCCATGCGAAGCGCATCCACGAGTACAAGCGGCAGCTGCTCAACATCCTGGGGGTCATTCACCGCTACAACAGCATCAAGGTGTGTAGCCCACTGGACCAGCACCGCTACAACTGCCATGCATGGGACATGTTCCGTGCATGTGTCCGCATGTGCCATGTGCCCTGCACGCGCCATGCAGCGGCCATGCATGTGATACCCCCCCTTCACCCCCCCCTCCCCCACCGTGCAGTGCAGCAGCTTTGAGGAGAGGGCGCGCATGGTGCCACGGGTGGTGGTCATTGCGGGCAAGGCAGCGCCGGGCTACTTCCGGGCCAAATGCGTCATCCACCTCATCAACGCGTCAGTGTTTTTTTTTTTTTTCTGTGCATGTGTTGTCTTGCTGTGCATATGTGTCTGTGCACGAATGCTCTCTCCATTCTCATGTACCCGTGCTGCTGCCTCTCACATGCGGCGCCCCATCCATCCACTCTCCCCACTCACCTCAACCCTCCACTGCCACTCAACAGTACCCTAGCCAACCACCTGTATGTCCCCCCTCATCCTCTCTCCACAAACTGTTCTAGCCTCGAATAACCTCATCCCCTCTCTCCCCCCGCCGCATCTTCCCACGCATCCCCCCCTCCCTGGCTGGCAGGGTGGCACAGATAGTGAACAGCGACGCGGACATCAGCGGCTTGCTCAAAGTGGTCTTCCTGCCCAACTACAGCGTCTCGCTCGCGCAGGTGCCTCACTCACTGCCGCTCTCTCTCACCCTCATGCCCACCCTCACCTTCACCCTTGCTCGCTTTGCTGCTTCCCTCCACTTCTCCACTATCTCCACCCTTTTCTTATGCACTCTCCGCCTCGCCATGCCCCCCCCGCCCGAGCTCTTCCCTCTCACCGCCCGCAGCTGATAGTGCCAGCGAGTGACATATCGCAGCACATATCAACGGCGGGCATGGAGGCGTCAGGCACGAGCAACATGAAGTTTGCGCTCAACGGGGGGCTGCTGCTCGGCACCATGGACGGCGCCACCATTGAGATCGCCAGCGCCATTGGGCGTGAGAACGTGTTTGTCTTCGGTGCGCTGGCTCACGAGACGCACTCGCTGCGCCACTCGCTGCGCTTCCGCCAGCCCATCCACGACGACCGCCTCGTTCAGGTGCTGCCGTCGCTGCTGCCGTGCCATTGCTGATTTCCTGCCACTGTGCTGCCATGCTGTCATGTCGCCTCGTTCACGTGCCATCCACGACGACCGCCTCGTTCAGGTGCCGTTCTGCCCTGCTGCTGCTGCCGTGCTGGCAGCGGGGCGTGTAGCTCAGGCCTCCTGCCCCACACATCCAGTGCAACCAGAGGCTGTCGCATGTCCCGCCACCCATGCCTGACCCACCACCAACACCGCCCTGATCCCTACTCCTCCTCCTTCCCCCTCTTCTTCCGCCGCTCCTCCCCCCCCCCCAGGTGGTGCGCACGATCGAGGCGGGGGTGTTTGGGCCGGCGGACGACTTTCGTCCGCTTTTGGAGTCGCTGGGCGGCGGCAATGATTACTTCCTGCTCTCCCACGACTGGCCCTCCTACCTCGACGCCCAGGTGCCACCTTCCCCAGGTGCCAACCCCCCGTGCTTGCCTTCCTCCCATCCATGTACCAACCCCCAATCCTTCTCCATGCAGCACTGCCGCCATGCGAAGTTGACCTGCTTGCCTCTTCATGCTTCTAAGGTTGCAGCTGATTGTCTTGTCCCTTCCAAACCGCACACTGATCGATACGCTCCCCTCTATTTATGGCTCTGCCTCTCCCCCAACCATTTCCCCACCATGGATGTGCATGTGTGTTGATGTTTGCATGTGTACATGTGAGCATGTGTGCATTTGTGCATGTATGCATGGGTGCATGTGTGCATGGGTGCATGTGTGCATGGGTGCATGTGTGCATCGGTGCATGGGTGCATGTGTGCATGGGTGCATGGGTGCATGTGTGCATCGGTGCATGGGTGCATGTGTGCATGGGTGCATGGGTGCATGTGTGCATGGGTGCATGGGTGCATGTGTGCATGGGTGCATGGGTGCATGTGTGCATGGGTGCATGGGTGCATGTGTGCCTGTGTGCATGTGAGCAGCATTCAGTGGACACGCTCTTCCTCAACCCCACAGAGTGGTGTCGCCGCTCCATTGTATGTCCCCTCCCTGCCCTCCCTCCCATCCCCTTCCTTACTGGCTCCCTCCAACTGCATCCCCTCCATCCTCTCTCCTCCATCCTTCCCTCATTCGGCACCTTCCATCTCCATCTTCCCCCATGCATTAGCTTCACCAGGCTTCTGGACTATCTACTTGCTTGTAGTGTGCTCCATTGTTGGGTTGAGTGTTTCTCTCAATGCGTGTTTTTAGTGTGTCTCCTTTCTCTGGTTGTCTTACACCACCTGTCCATCATGCTTCCTCCTGCCATGAGCCATTGCAGATAGCAGCATCAATGATGGGCCGATTCAGCAGTGACCGAACCATTGCCGAATACGCACGTGACATCTGGCACCTCCAGGTACGTTTTCGGCTGCCTTTTGTTGGTGATGTTTGCGTAGATCGTTGCATGTGTTTCCGTCAGATTGTCGCATGCAAATGGTTTTCTTCCACAATGTTCATTTGTGTTCCTTGGTACCTGTTGTCCTTGCAACTGTGTCCATTACAGCCTGTTATCGTGCCAGGGGTCCTCAACACTACGTAACCACGTTTGTATGCCGCTCCATTGTTCGTTATAGATACCACGAGGGAACTTTGATGCATGTATGTTTTTGTTGGTATTACAGTGGCTCCTATTGTAAATGTTTTTCAAATGGCAATCTTATGTATCACTAGCTAGACTTGCGTTATCGAAGCGAACTTGTCAAAGCTTGCGGTTGTTAGTTAGGGGTGCGCCTTCGCGCGGGAAAGATTTTCCCGCAGCCTTGCTGCCGACCGTTGACAGATGACGGCTCGGCACACAAAATGTTCAAAACGTTCTTTGTTTGGTAGCGATCTAATAAGCCGCCTCAAGGGCAGCGGAATGCTTTCCCATGTCAGCGTCAAACTCGTCAACGAGATTTTGTCAAAACTTCACCCAATGGTCGCCGCCAGATGTCAAAAAATGTTTCGTTCACCCAACGACAATCTTCATTGTACCACCAACCGTTCGCCATCGCTGGGAATGGTCGCAACCGTTCGCATAGTTGGGGTTTCTGCCCGCGCTAGGCTTCGCTCCAAGCAAAAACAGTCCTGCGACTCCAATGTAAATTTTATCGTCAAAGTTGTGCGACTTGCGAAAGTTGGGCTCGTGGAGATAGGAAGCTGTGCGAGGCACGTCGCATTGTGTCGCGCCGTTAGGGCATTTTGGAATCAAAGGCGCGCGGCACGTCCCAAGCGCCGCGTTGAGTCTCACGATTGATGGATGATGCTTCCACCGCAGCGCAAATGAAATCGCTGCCCTCCCTGAGGCGATGGATGACAAGTTTACGGCCATGCGACTAAGTGGCGCCGACTAAATTACCCCTCATTCTCCATTCTATCCATCGTTCCACCATCGTCGCTCGATCGTTTACCACATCGTCCAGTGACCGACGAGATCTGTCGGCGAAGGCATTCATTGATGCGCTTTCGTGGGCCAGTTTGGAGGCTTTCACATTTCCCGCTGCCGTCACTCGCAGCATTCGTTTTGATACATGCCCAGCAGGCACCTTGAAGCCAAACACCACCATTACCTCACCTTCGTCACGCCCAGACAGCGTCGTAACGTAACTGCAACTTCACCCATAATTCTCGTCTCTGCTACGATTCAGGCGCGAATTCGTCCGACTAAAATCTCTTAATTCCAGCTTCTCCAAGAAACTGCTTGCGCTATCCATGAGGACAAACCAGCATTAGCACCACGTACTTGTATCAGGCAGCGCAAAGCCCAGGAGTGTAGTGAGGGCGCAGAGTAGCGGGAGTTCCGCGTGCAATGTGGCCCGACTGCTACCCTCCCCGTCACGGCTTTCACAACGGCGCTGCCGGCGCCGCGTCAGGCCCGCATGGCCCGTACGGTCGAATTCAGAACGCACACTCGTTCCACGCACCCAGACAGCAGCAGCAACAGCAGCAACAACAGCAGCAGTCACAGCAACTGCAGCAGCAGCAGCAGTCGGGATTCTCTAACGGTCAGTTGCAGGCGCCGTTCGGATGCCAGTCCGCCCCCACCTCTCCGTCCAAGCCGCCGCCCTTCGCGCGGCGAGCAGGCAGCGCCGACGCCGGCTCGATAGCGTCGGACGCGGGCAGCGCGTACGCTGAGAGCTCCGCGTCGGGCGACGACGACGGGAGCGCGGGGTGGAGCATGGCGGGCGAGGAGGGCAAGTCGAACGACGCGTTCCACGTCATCCACAAGGTCCCCGTCGGCGACTCGCCATACGTCCGCGCGAAACACGTTCAGGTACGAACCAGAAACCAGAAACGATTGTAAATAAGCGTTTATCGCAGCATTTCTCATCCCGCAATGCGCCTTCTCACTCGTCCCTCCGCCCCATCCTCGCTCCCCCCAACACTATCCCCTCCCCGTCCCCCCGTGGTTGCGCGCAGCTGGTGGACAAGGACCCGGTTCGCGCGATCGCGCTGTTCTGGTCGGCGATCAACGCGGGCGACCGCGTGGACAGCGCGCTCAAGGACATGGCGATCGTCATGAAGCAGCAGAACCGCCCCGAGGAGGCCATCGAGGCCATCCGCTCGCTGCGCCACAAGTGCTCCGAGGTGGCGCAGGAGTCGCTGGACAACGTGCTGCTCGACCTCTTCAAGCGCTGCGGGCGCCTCGACGACCAGGTGGCGCTGCTCAAGCACAAGCTCGACATGATCCGCCAGGGCGTCGCATTCAACGGCAAGCGCACCAAGACGGCGCGGTCCCAGGGGAAGAAGTTCCAGGTGTCGATCGAGCAGGAGGCGACGCGGCTGTTGGGGAATCTGGGGTGGGCGTACATGCAGCAGGGGAACTATGTCGCGGCGGAGTCGGTGTATCGGAAGGCGCTGCGCGTGGAGGCGGATAGCAACAAGGTGTGCAACCTCGGCATCTGCCTCATGAAGCAGGCACGCATCGTCGAGGCGCGCGCGTTGCTCGAGTCCGTGTCGCCCAACAGCGACCCGCGTTGGGGATCCGAGTCGCACATTAAGGTGAGCCTAAGATGTCTCTTGGTCTCTCGCATTGCTCATCGAATTCGTTTCTCGCCCTCCACCCGTCCACCCGTCTTGCTTTTCTATCTCAACGCTCGTTTCCAACCTTCCTTCGTCTCTTTCTCGTTACGTGCCGCCATGGCAGTCGTACGAGCGCGCGCAGAGCATGCTCGTGGAGCTCGAGACGTCAGCGGCGGCGGCCGAATCGGCCAAGGACGGCGCAGCTGCCAGAGCGGGCACCAGCGGCGGGGAGGACGCTAGCGCCAGTGACACGGGCGGTAAATCCGCCGCCTCCGCCTCCGCGCCGTCCGCAGCACCCAGCGGCGATGGGGTCTCGTCCGACAAGCTTCCGCAAGTCAAGCCCGCGTTCCGCGGCATGTGTGGCATGGGCATGGGCATGGGCTTGGCGCGCAGCTCGTTCCAACGGCACTCATCGTACCTGTGCGAGTTCCTGGGTGCGCCCGACATGTGGGACTCGCTCATGGCGGACAGCAGCGCCGTCGGGGGGAATGCAACGGCGGAAGGAGCGCCGGCAGCTCCGCAAGGTGCCGCAGGCGGCTCTTCGGGCATCGCAGGCATGCAGTCGCGGGGACCGCCGGATGCGCCGCCGCCGCCGCAGCAGCAGCAGCAGCAGCAGCAGCGGCCGCTGCAGGCGCCAATGCAGTGCATGCGGAGGCCGCCAGCGACCGGCGGAATGGCGCGGACGATGAGCATGGGCGCGGGGTGTGGCAACCCGCTTGCGCGCTCCATGAGCTTCGGCGGAGCAGATGCGCGCGGGGGCCTGTCGTGCCTCAAGCCCAACGCACCCGAGTTCATGCCCGGGTCGTTCGGCCCCATTCCGCCTCCCCCCGGCCACGGCTCCGCTCCGCCCTTCATGCACGGCGCTCCGCCCCCGCCCCCCCCTGGCGACGGTCGGCGCACGCTCACCGCGTCGCGCTCGCTCCCCCCACTGCAGATTCCCACGGCGGGGTTCGCGCTGGCAACGGCGTCGCCATCACTCGTGTCACCGCTGGGGCCCATGTCGAGCGGCTCGCTCTCGTGCACCTCTAGCTTCGGCGCCGCGTCGTGGGATGACGGACTGATGATGTCAGCGTTCGAGAGTGACGACGACGTGCTCTGCGAAATGCCCAACGACAGTTACCAGCCGTCTGCTGCGGCTATCTCCGTTGCTGCGGGGGTCTGGGCATCGCAGAAACCGCCCACTTCGGCGCACCTCGCTGCCGCAATGCGCAAGGGCGGCGGATTCCCCGCGCCCGGGCAGCGCGCGCTATACAGGGGCACAGAGAACGTTCCGCAGTACATGGTGGGGGGTGCGCCCATCGGCGCGGGCGGGCCTGGCGCGCGGAGGCCGCTGGTGTTCGGGTGCGAGAACCCCGCGCCAATGGCGGCGAAGGCGCAGATGGTGGCGGGCGGGCTGATGGGCGGAGGCAGCATGGGCATGCAGATGGGCGCGGAGATGGGCGGAGGGATGGGCATGACGACGGTCATGGGCGAGCGCACGAACCTGGAGCCCCCCGCGCAGTTTGTGGGTGCATGGGGGGCTGTGGCGCAGGGGAAGGGCGCGTGGGGACCCGCATGGGGTGCTCCAGGGGAAGGGGGAAGCATGGGTGAGGGGGAGAAGGGGAAGGATCAGCAGCAGGCAGTGGCGGGGCAAGAGGTGGGGGGATCGGGAGTGAAGAGGAACCGGGTGCCTACCCCAGTAAAGGCTGCTGCTCCCAAGGGAGAGAGAGGGGGCGACGCGGAGGGAGGAGACGCGAGTGGAGCGCAGGAGGGCGGGCCGGTGGTGCCGAGGGCGCTGTGGGAGATGCTGGGGTTCACAGGCAGCCCTGACAAGCTGCTGCTGGAGGAGCTCAAGGCCACCGACAGCGCCAAGAAGCTGCTCGCCTCCGCTGGGTCTGCTGACAGGCAGCAGGGCAGCGAGCGACGCACGCTGTTTGCTGACACTGCTGATACTGTGGCTGCTGCAGTAGTGGGCGGTGCTGCTGCTGCCACCACTCTGACCAGCCCCACTGCAGGCAGCTCCCACTTGGAGGTCAAGAGACCCCGCCGCCTCCGCATCTTCCAGGAAATGACATACGTTGGAGCAGCTGCATAAACTGGAGGCAAACTAAACTGCCTTAATTGACTCTGATGCTGAACTGCCATAACTGGAGCTGGTAAATCTTACCTCTTACGCGCATGCAGGCACTGGACGAGACAGCCTCATGACAGCTTGTCTAATGAGGTGCCCAACTGCATACTTTGAAGTTCTCTTGAGTTGACCTTTTTAGCTGTTAGTTTATTGTAGGCTTTGTGATCCTTAGTTTAATGAGTAGATCTATTTATTTAGCACCTAGGACTATTGGTAAATCACTGTTTTTGCCAGCATACTAAGCATTCATAAATGTTTTCTTCAAATTATGTTTCAGTTATAGAGCTGAGGGCTGGTTTATATTGTCAAACACGGTGTTCCTGGTATCACTGTAGCACTCCTCTCTGGCTGGCGGGAAATTCTCGAGGCGGGACAGAACTTCGAAGTTTGAAAGTGTCAGAGCGCGTCGACTCAGCCAATCCCAAGGTCCCTGCACCTCTTTTCTCTGCACCTCTTCCCTGCACCTCTCTCCTCTGCCAGGGATATCAATGAGCATTGATCAGTCACCTGTACTTTTTTTCCAGATTCCAGATTCCATTTCTTCATTCATCCAAGCTTTGAGCTTTCCCCTCAGTATCATGAGCCAAATGTCAGAATAAGCTAATCGTTAGTTATTGAGGTCAACCTTCGAAGCGCGCAATCTGTATTCTATAGTTAGCAAGATGACGAAAGCGGCAGGAAGCATGCAGGGAGGAAGTAGGAGAGCTGTAGACCCACCAGAGTCGCTTATACCGAGTGTCTTGAACGAGTGTCAAGAATCAGTCGCGTCTCACCATAGAAACAGTTTGCTTCTCCTTCAGTGTGTTCGCCAACACCGAGACGATTTCTCGCCGACCTTTCTTGATGTCATTCGACCCGCTCTCCTCAGCACGAAAGCCGGCAGCCCTGGCGACAAGGTGCTTCGGTTCTTCAAGACATTCCTCGGCGTATTGGTCGCAGAGGGAAGCGAGGGCGAACGGGAGATGATGGAGGAGCTGCTGTGCCTCTTCTCGCAGTACAGCGAGGCGCGCAGCAAGGCCGTGCGGGTCAACGTCACCAGAGTGCTCTCGGAGGTATGTCACTCTCTCCCGTTCCGATCAAGATAATATGTTATTGCAGAACTCAATCTGGTCTTATTCAGAGCGTTTCTGGTCTTAAACTGAGCATATCAGGCCTTAATCTAAACGTTTCAGGTCTTGCTCTCAGCGTCTCAAGTTATTTTGAATCCTGCAGGTGCTGAATTCGTTGCCCGGCAGCTTCAGTCTGTCAGCCGACGCCATCGTGATCATCCGCGAGTTCTTGCATTGCCGAATGGACGACAAAATCGCCGTCATCCGCGCGTGGGCCGCCAGGGCGCTCAAGCGCATGGTGACCTTCGAGGAGGACGGAGGAGTGGACGTGGACACGACCATCGGGTTATTCCGCGAGAAGATGAAGACCGAGTCGAGCTCCGTAAGCCTCGTCATTCGTATGCTCCACTCTCTGGACACCCGTTTGCCATTGTCCTCTGAAACTGCGAATCTGTATGAGTTGTCATGAAGATGGCTATTAGCGTGGTGCCTGAATGGAAACACATTCGGTTGCGCGTGGTGCAGGAGGTGCGCGAGGCGATGGTGTGGTCGCTGCCGGAGTCCACGAGCACCATTCCCGACATTCTCGAGCGCACGGCGGACGTCAGCGAGCGGGTCAGAGCCGCGGCGTACAAGTCCTTCGCCGAGAGATTCTTTCCCATCGAAAGCTTCAGGTGCGCTCCCAATCTCTCTTCCGCACCACTGCACTAGCCACGGTTGTCCTGGAGCTGATTTTTTGTTTCTATGGCGTGGCGTGTGTGTGTGTATCCGTCGCAGCATCCGGCAGCGAGTGCAGCTGCTGTCGCAGGGTCTGGTTGACCGGTCGCCGACGGTGCGGTCGGCGTGCGTGGAGCTACTGTGTCGCGCGTGGCTGTCGCGCGACTGCGAGGGCGACCTGGTGCGACTGCTGCGACACGTGGACGTGGAGAGCCACGAGGCGGTGGCGGAATCGGCGGTGCGGGAGGTCCTGCAGGCGCACAGCGCGGGGTGCGGCGACATGGAGCTGGTCGTCCCTGAAGGGGGGCTGCGTGCCGCTGTCAAGCAGATGTCCACTCCTGCAGAAGGCAAGTTCTTGGAGGAAATGTTAGGAGCCGAGACACATACATCGAACCAGGCTAGGTCGCATAGCACGTGGTCGCGACAAAGAGAGTGAATTACATGAAAGATAGATTAACGTGTGAATCACAGAGATTGTGATTTCGCTCCAGCGGCGAGTCTCATGTCTCTCCTCCCCTCGTGGTTGGTGCAGGGAGGTCGGAGGAGGCAGCAGCAGCAGGGCTGCTTACGGCGGAGGAGGCGCTCTTTTGGCGCATGCTGTGCCTGCACCTCTCCGCGCAGGCCAATGTCAGTTCGCTCCTGCTCTTGCTTCTCACGTGCTTGCATTTTTCCCACTTGCTGAATTCGCGCTTGCTGTCGTTCGCCTTGAAGACGACGTGGGTCTGACGTTGCGTGTCCTCGTATTGCTGCAGGAGAACGGATCAAATGCCGCAATATCCGCTGGCGCAGCAGCGGTGGTGGCAGCAGAAGCAGCGAGCGACCTGAACGCGCAGCTGGAGGCCCTGCTGCCAGCCACGGCGCAGGACTACCTGACGCTGCTGGAGACGCACATGCAAGCAGGTACGGGGCCGTTAGCTTAGCACCAAAGCAGGGGTATGAGGACCGCCTCTGACCGTTTGTTCCGACGCGTTACCTATGCCTCTTTTTCCTCGCGCAGGGTCCGAGGGTCGGTTCGCAGCGCGGCAGCTGATGCAGCTGGCGGCGGTGCTCGACTTCACCGACGCCACCATCCGCGCGCACGCCGCCGCGCTCGTGCACCGCCACCTCGTCGGCGCGCAGCCGGCGCGCGAGGGGGCGGGGGAGGAGAGCGCCGAGGCGGAGGACGAGTGGGAGGAGGGCGTGGCAGACGGCAGGTGGGGCGAGGCTCTGCTGGGGCTGGCGCAGCGCGTGCACGCCTCGGATGCTGACGTGCTCGCTGCTCTCGTCGACGCTCTGGCTGACGTCAGCAAGCCGATGATGGCGGGCGTGGCGGGTGTGGATGGTGTGAGCGAGGGGCAGTGGCTGCGGTGCGTGGCGGCGACGCGCATGGTGCTGCGGCTGTGCTGCAAGTCGGCAGGCGGCGGCGCGTTCAGGGCGTGGAGGAACCTGCGCGTGGAGCCGCAGGAGGCGCTTAACTGCATCATCGTCCCCGCGGTACGCGCGCGCGCTGCCCCACGACGGTGTGCACGCATTCGCTGCACTGCGCCCGTGACTGCATTCATTCCCCGTGACCCGTGTGCTCAAACATTATTCCCCCTTCCTCCCTCCCCCCTCCTGTGCTGGCAGACGTCGCACCCGTCACCACTGGTGCGCGCTGAGGCCGTCGGCGCGCTGCACGCCTTCGCCATGCTGCACGTGCCGTCCGCGCGCGCCCACCTGCCTCTGCTGCACGCCGCCGCGCGCGATTCCGCGCACCCAGGCGTGCAGATGGCGGCCGTGCGCGCCCTCGCGGACCTGCTGCTCTGGCACCGCCCCGCCGCGCTGCTGCCCGACATCGCTGCGCCCGCCCTTAGCGACGAGGGCGAGGGGAGTGCGGTGAGCGGGTGCAGTGCGGGGGAAGAGGCGCAGCGCGCAGGAGGAGCGCGTGGAGGTAGGGTGGCGGAGGTGGCGGAGGGGAGCGTGGACGTGCTGGTGGGGCTGGTGCCTATGGAGGGCGGGCAGGTGGACATTGAGGGGGTGAGGGCGGACGTGCAGCGCGCAGGGCGACAGGCGGAGGGGGAAGACGAGGAAGAGGCGGAGGGCGTGGTGGGCGTGGTGTGCGAGGGGCTGAGCAAGCTGCTGCTGGCAGACGCGAGCAGGGCCACAGGGAAGGGCGCGGAGCGGGGGGCGGAGGGCAGGGTGGAGCGAGTGTTGCAGGTGCTAGTGCAGGTGTACCTGTGCCCGGGCGCCGCTGAAGACGAGCTGCCCAGGTGCGTGGCGCCGTGTGTGTGGGTATTTCTGGAAACGATTGTCCCACAACGACTCCTCTGGCTTGTCTTTCCCTCTGGGTCTGCTCTATGGTGTGTCTACTCCGTAGATGCCTTTTCCTCATCATCTCCCCTACCACCCCACCCCCTCTCTTCGCTCGTGCCTCACAGGACGCGTCAAATGCTAGCAGAGCTGTTCAACCGAGTGGCCGTGCTGCCAGCCTGCAAGGTACGCCACCAACCCCACGCTGATAGCCAACTAATGCTTTTTCTGGTAGCCTCACTTCCTTTGTCAGTCTGTCGCTGTGGCACCTCACTCCTCCCTCACTCACTCTTCCCCGTTTGCTCCCTGTCCCCGAATCCCTCCCTGTCATCCCTGTCCAGGTGGCAGCGTCACGTCTGCTGCTGCCAGTGTTGCGGCAGTTGTGGCCGCGCAAGGCGGCAGCAGCAGCGCGGCAGCCTGCAGTGCGTGCCTCGCAGCTGCTGCTCTCCCTCATGCTCGCTCAAGGTGCCCACGGGGTCGTGCCGCCCAAGCAAAGTGGAGAGGGCGAGGCGGAGGAGGGAGAGGAGGAGGCCGAGGGAAGAGCAGCAGGTGGTGGTGATGGTGAGGGCGAGAAGAGTGGATTGGGTGAGAGCAGCCGCGTGGAACAGCCAGCGGTGGGCTTCGAGTCTCTGGCTCTCGATCTTGCTGCTGAGGTGGGTTCCCTTCCCACTCTGCTGCCCTCATGTGCACCTCCGCCAACGGCCATTCAGCCCTTGTATCCCGCTCTCTCCCTTTACCCGCACTGCCGCACGCTCTGCTGTGATGCTGAGCCCTGTGTGCTGTGCCACAAACGTGCTGTCTTGCACGCCTCAATCACCCCACATGTCATGCTCTTTCCCCTTCCGCCCCAGGTGCAATCCTCCCCACTGGCCACGTCAGGCAGTGCGAGCGGGAGGGCGTACAGCGCGCATCTGGTGCAGCTGCTGGTGGAGGTGCCGCTCAGAGCCTCCCAGCAGGACGACGTCAAATGCCTGCGCTCGCTGCTCCCCATGTAAGACTCTTCCCATCACCAGAGCATCCCTTCAATGCTCTTGCCATTTCCAACAACAGAAAAGGCACTCCTTGTCCCAGTTCTGCAGCTCTGCGCCCTCCACCAGTCACCTGCGAATCCCATCCAATATAATGCTCCCGCCCATCACCCACCACCACCACTCACACGTGCCCCACTCTGAACCCGTTGTTCCCCTTCCCCCTCCCCCGCGCGTTTGGTCCCGTGGCAGGGTGGCGGAGGCAGTGCAGGGGCAGCGTGCGGCGCAGCGGCTGGTGGAGCAGCTGGCAGCGCGGCTGAGGTCGCTGGACGCCACTCCGGACGAGGAGCTGCCCCTGGAGCGCCTGGAGCAGCTGCTGCAGCGCGGTGAGGGGGGAGGGGAGGGAAGGGGAAAGATGAGCAGCGTGTGGGGGGGAGATTGGGGAGGCATGGGTGGGGAATAAAGGCATGGGGGATGCGGAGATAAGGGGGATTTCTGTGTTGAACTGTAGAAGCAGCAGGTGTGGATGCACTGTGTGATTCACCTTTACGTGCTCTGCTGTGCTGTGCTGCCATGTGTGCCCTGCTTGCAGTGGATGGTGATGCAGCAAGTGCGTCAGAGGCAGGGCAGAGTGGTGCATCGACCATGGAGGGAGGCTCTCCGCCAGGCAGGAGGCGACGAGGCAAGCCGCCAGGTACACTGCTCCGTATGCTGCTTGTGCTTCCACACGTGCTGCTTGTACTCCCACAAGCCTGTGGGTTGTTGCGCCATGCACCACCTGCTGCGAGGGCACGGCCACGCCAACACGCCCTTCTCATTGCTTGCCTGTTTGCTCCCTCTCCCCCATGCCTCTCGCCCGTGCCTCTCGCCCGTGCCTGCACAGCGCCAGCCCGCCGCACCTCCCCCTTGTGCAGCCCCGACCCCGCCACACCGGTGCAGCGTTCTGCTCGCCCCTCACGGCAGTGCAAGGCAGTGGCCAACAGCCGCCTCAAGCAGCAGCTGGGAGGTCACAGCAGCGCCGGCAGACCCGCGGTCGGCGAGGCAGCGGTTGGGGAGAGTGAGGGAGTGGATGCAGGGGAGGGGGTGGAGCAAGTGGGTAGGGAGGGACAGAGCACGGCAGCAGATGTGCCGCCTGAGGCTCACAGCAGTGGGAGTGAGGAGGAGAGCGAGAGCAGTGAGAGTGAGGAGTATGGGAGTGGAAGTGAGAGTGGAAGCGAGGAGGAGTACAGGGCGTCAGTGGGCAGACACCAGAGGGGCGCGCGGGCACAGGAGCAGACTAGTGGGCCACGGCGAGTGGCGTCCGTGATAGCTGCTGTGAGGAGGCGCAGGAGCAGCTGCAGCAGCACTGGTGGTGGTGGTGGTGGCAGGGACGCGCCCATCTCCATCTCCACCGACTCTGACTCTCAAGACGTGATCGAGGTGGTGGAGGTGGTGCCGGGGGTGGCAGGCACACACAGCAAGCGCGTGCAGCCCAAGGAGGAGGCAGAGAGCATATCTGAGGAGGTGGAAGAGGTGTTGGAGAATGAGAGCGTGTGCATGGCGGCAGGGCTCCACGCTGACAGCCCCAGTGTGGGCCGCACAGCACCAAGGGATGACGCCTCCCCTGCAGCACGGGGGACGGAGGGCTCCCCTGCGGCGTCAGTGGGCAGTGACGCCACGTCCTTTGCATCGGCGCTGAGTGACGACCTCCTCCTGCCCTCGCCCTCGCCCTTGCCTGCTGCCATGCCCGCTCGGCGTGCCGGTGCCAGGCAGAGGCGCTTCGTGCTTGATGATGGCAGTGAGAGTAAGAGCGAGGGTGAGGGTGAGGGTGAGGGTGAGGGTGAGGGTGAGGGTGAGATTGCGAGTGGGAGTGGGGATGGAAGTGAGAGTGAGAGTGAGAGTGAGAGCTGGGGTGAGAGTGGGGATGGGAGTGATGTGGAGAGTGGCAGTTGCACCAAGGGCACAAGGGCGGTGAGAGGACGGCCGGGAACGCAGAGGGCAAGTGGGATTGAGAATGAGAATGGGGTGGTGAGGGGGACGGCGGGCAAAAGTGGTGATGTGCCAGTGGGAGCGGAGAGGCGGCAGCCTCTGGCACGTCGCACTGCCCAGTGATGCGCTGCAGCAGGTGCAGTGACAGCAAGAGGGGATCGACACACTGCACTCCACTGCTCTACCGACCTCTGCTCTGTCCTGGCTGAATACTGAATATCCATCGTTGATCTACTCCAGTGCAAACTTTTAAGTTCCTCTATATTCTTATATTCTGCTACAGTTCTAGCCTGTACGTTTTACTACTGCTTTGGTGGAGACAGGAGTTATGATACCTGCCCCTCAACCAAGAGAATGGGAGCCGCCCCTTGCTGTGCATGTAATGTGAAACACTGTTTGTTTAAGGCTGTTTGAACATGTAATCACTTCTTGGTAGATTAATCAGGCTGTTTGTTTTTCAGTGTTTTGGCCTTAGACGCCACTGAATAACAGAGTTTTACCTGCTAGGCACACTGAGTGATCAGCGTGCCCCTAAACCAATCTGAGGGCCTGCTATGCATACATAGGAGCAGTCAAAATTGGTAGAAGCACTGCTTCTGTCTCTACGTTATGGAGCACTTCCAAGCACCATGTGATGTGAGCCCATGACATGGCATGTTCAGCGCACACGGCCGCAGCGGTCGCAGGGCTCCTTGCTGTGCGTCTTCTTGTCGGCGCCGGCAGCAGCAGCCTGCGCCACAAGGCGCGGCATGTCCTCCCCCAACACCGCCTCCAGCGCTGCTGCCGCCCGCCCCAGCTCCTCCTCCCTGCCACGCCCATGCCCGTGCCATGCAGCAGGTGGGGTGGTCAGGTGTGTGGGGGTGTTGGAGGTATGGGTAGTGGATGAGGAAAGAGTAAAGAGTGCTAGATTGCAAAACACGAGACAGCCGTACAATTGACAGGGCTTCAGCAGGTGGAGCGATGACAGCATGGGGGCACGAGGGAACGGATTTGTAAGGGGATGAGGGGATGAATGAGTGAGGGGGTGAATGCGTGAGGGGATGAATGGGCGAAAGCACGAGGGCATGAGATGAGAGAGCCAGGGCATGAGATGAGAGAGCCAGGGCATGAGATGAGAGAGCCAGGGCATGAGATGAGAGAGCCAGGGCATGAGCGAGAATGAGAGGGCACGCACGAGATGGTGAGGGGGGGGGCGAGGCGGATGATGGTGTTGTGGGTGGGCTTGGCCAGCACGCCGCGCTCCTTCATCGCCTCACACACGTCCAGCACCGTCACTCCCCCCGGCAGCCCCTCGCCCGCCACCTGCACCGCCACCAGCAGCCCTCGCCCCCGCACCTCCTGGATCAGATGGGGGTACCGCGCCTGCACTGCCCTCAGCTGCGCCTGTAGCTGCTCCCCCAGCCGCTGCGCCCTGGGGGAGGCGAGGGGGAAGTTGTGAGGGGGTTGAGGGGAGGGGGAATGAGTGGAAGGGGTTGAGGACATGGGATTGTGCAGAGGTGGTACGTGTGAGCACAAGGAGCGTTCGACACATGGTTGTCATGCCCCGTGCATTCGAGACATGGTTGTCATGCCCCGTGCATTCGAGACATGGTTGTCATGCCCCGTGCATTCGACACATGGTTGTCATGCCGCGTGCATTCGAGACATGGTTGTCATGCCCCGTGCATTCGAGACATGGTTGTCATGCCGCGTGCATTCTTCCCCATGCCCACTCTCACTGCGCCTCCCCTCCCATCCCATGATTCTGCATGGAACAGCCAGCCACTCAACTTCCCATCCCACCAGCCCTCCCTAAACCGCACCGCCCCTCCGTGCACCCCCCAATCCGCATTCCCCCCTGCCTACACCCCCCTGTCCCGCACCTGTCGGCCAGCCCGCCCTCTTCAATCTCCGCCAGCGCCGCCAGCGCCACTGCTGACGCCAAGGGGTTGCCGCCAAACGTGCTGCAGAGGAGGGGGAGAGGGGGGAGTGCGCACAGGGGAGGGGGAGGAGAACAAAAGGGAGGGAGAGGGGCCGGGGGTAGGGACGTGCGTTGAGGCGAGGGCATGCAGAACAGGAGGGCATGCAGAACAGGAGGGCATGCAGAACAGGAGGGCAGGACAGGGCGGGCAAGGAGACGTGGGAGGGCATGAACATGGGCATGGGCATGGGCATTGCAAATCAGGGCAGCAGGTCGAACACACTGCACCTGCCATCACACCGCCCCCCCCATCCCCATTATCCATTCCCATTTCCCAATTCCCCATTCCCCGCTCTCCGAATAGAGGCGCGTCAGAAACAAGCTGCGCACAGCGCACCTGCCATCACAGCGCACCTGCCATCACAGCGCACCTGCCATCACAGCGCACCTGCCATCACAGCGCACCTGCCATCACAGCGCACCTGCCATCACACGCTCCCCACCCTCCCCATTCCCCAATCCCACCCCCCACCACCCGTCCCTGCCCCACCTGCCGTGCTCGCCCGGTCGGATGCACCCCATGACGTCATCATCCGCCAGCACCGCACTCACTGGCACCACCCCCCCTCCCAACGCCTTGCCCAGGATCTGATGGGGGGGGGAATATAGAGCAGTATAGAGCAGAGCAGAGCAGAGCAGAGCAGAGCAGAATAGAGCAGAGCAAGAAATACAGAGCACAGTATAGCAATATAGAGGGAAGAGCAGAGATATATAAAGCAGCATAGAGCAGAGCAGAGCATGGGAGCGGAGGGCACTGACGAGCACGTCAGGGCGCACGCCCTCATGGTCGCACGCGAGCATCCTGCCGGTGCGGGCGAGGCCCGTCTGGATCTCATCGGCCAGCAGCAGCACGCCGTGCTGGGAGCACAGCTGCCGCACCGCCCGCAGGTAGCCCTCGGGCGGCACCACCACGCCCGCCTCGCCCTGGATGGGCTCCACTATGAACGCCGCCACGCGTGGGCCGTGCTCTGGGGGAGAGGCACGGCAGGGAGGTGGGGAATTGGGGGGTTGGCGAAGGGGAGGGTGCTGAGGGTGGAGGCAGAGGGCATGAGGGAGCATGATAGAAGCACGATGGCATGGGAGCGTGTTGACATGATAAGCTGATGGCGCGACGGCATGCGCCATGCTTCAACACACCCCCACCTCCGCTCCCTCTTCGCCACACACTTGCCTTGCCGCCCACCATGCGTGGCCCCCCACTCACCCGCCAGCAGGCGCTGCAGCCCGTCCACGTCCCCAAAGTCCACCTTGAGGTGGCCGGGCAGCAGCGGGCCGAAGCCGCGCGTGGCGTCGTTGTCACACGACATGCTGATGGCCGCCATGGTGCGCCCGTGGAAGCACCCGCAGCACGAGATCACCAGCGCCTGGGCGGAGGAGAGGGGGGTGAGGGGGGCGGAGAGGGCAGAGGGGCCGGAGGGGCATGTCATGGCAGGGGATGACGGAAAGTCTTACTTTTGTCCTCAGCTCCCCTCCCCCCGCCTCCCTCCCCTTCCCCATCTCCCCCTCCCCCTTCCCCCCACCCACCTGATTGGCGGGCACGCCTTTCTTCTCGTACGCCCACTTCCTGGCGACCTTGAGAGCGGTCTCGACGGCCTCGGCGCCCGTGTTCATGGGCAGCACCTTGTCGTACCCCATCAGCGCCGTGATGCGCCGCGCGAACAGCGGGAAGCGGTCGTTGTGGAAGGCGCGCGACGACAGCGTGCACCGCTCCGCCTGCTGCTGCAGCGCCGCCAGTATGCGCGCGTTGCCGTGGCCCTGCATGGGGAAGGGGGGGACGCGTGGAGGGATGGGTAGGTGGGAAGGAGATCAAGTGCTGACGCCTCTTGCGCCACTCAAGCACTTCCTGCTCTGCACTTGCCACTTGCCCACCCCTTCTCTCGTCTCTCCTCTCACCTCGCCGCTCCTCTCGCTCCTCCTCTCACCCCCCTCTCCGCGCGTCCCCCTGCGCGCGCACCTGGTTGACGGCGGAGTAGGCGGAGAGGAAGTCGAGGTACTCGCGCCCCTCGGGGTCCGTGATGCGCGCGCCGTGCGCCTCCGCGAACACTACGGGCAGCGGGTGGTAGCTGGGGGAGTGGGGGCGCGCGCAGGCGGGCGGACGGGCGGATGGGGAAACGCGCAGATTTAAGGAGCGACGCGGCGAGGACGCGTGGCGGCGGAGAGCAAGCTCAAGCTCTCTTGCGCAACTTGGGCGCACATGAAAGCGCGTTGTCACCACAGTGCGCCCTCCCTTGAAATTCCCTTGCACGCGCCTCCCACTTGCGCGTGCCGCTCACTTGCGCGCGCCACTCTTTTGCACTTGCGCCACTCACTTGTGTGCGCTGCTTTTCTCCTCCATAGAAATCAGCTCGTCCGACGTCGCAGTGCCGTCAGCGGCGCTCGAAAACCGGCGCGCGACGGAGCCAACGCCGCCAAGCGGGGAAGTCTCAGCCAGCCACGGCGCTGCGCGCGAGACGACGCGCCGTCCAAGCCTCGCAATGGGTGCCGCCATGGCGGATATAGGCGGTGGCGGGTGAAGTGTTTGGTTTAGCGAGAAGAGAAGTCGTGTGGCGGCAACGAATCACGTGGTGACCACGTGGGAGAGCGTGAGTGGAAGAAAAGCACGTGGAAGGAAAATGAGGTGCTAGGGGGGAGAAAAGCGGCGCTGGAAGGATATTTTCTCGAGATCAGCGAAGCCCCGCGACTTCGCAAACGGTTCAGGGAGGTAAAGAAAACAGCTACGATTTCACTAAACAATGTAGACTGCTTGAATACTTACAAGTAGCTAATAATAGCTCCAATAAGCCCAATTTAGCATCTAACAATCCCTACGTGATAAAGCTGCTATCTTGTAACAGACTAACGTAACTCCACGTCACATCATGTTTGGCCATTGGCAACCGCATCACAGGCTAATGCCTCCACAAATGGTGCTTTTAGATGGGCATTCGAGGCCGCCACTCGACATGCCATCACATCGAACGGGCCTCCGCTCCTGCCACATGTACAAGCCAACACTCCACTCCCTTCGTTAGAAGAACACGGGGATTGCGGAATCAACACGAAGCATTCTGATTGGGCTTTGAGCTGCATGTGACTGATGATGAGATGGCAGAGCAGGGAGCAAGGAGCAGGGAGCAAGGAGCAGGGAGCAAGGAGCAGGGAGCAAGGAGCAGGGAGCAAGGAGCAGGGAGCAAGGAGCAGGGAGCAAGGAGCAGGTAGCAGGGAGCAAGGAGCAAGGAGCAGGGAGCAAGGAGCAAGGAGCAAGGAGCAAGGAGCAAGGAGCAAGGAGCAAGGAGCAGGGAGCAGGGAGCAAGGAGCAAGGAGCAAGGAGCAAGGAGCAGGGAGCAAGGAGCAGGGAGCAAGGAGCAGGGAGCAAGGGAAGGGAGGGCGCAGGGCACTGACGGGTCAAAGCAGAGGCCGCCCGCCTCCTCCACTATCAGCGACCCCGCTGCTACATCCCTGGTGGGTGCACCGAGAGAGAGAGAGAGGGAGGGAGAGAGGGCGTGAAGGAGAGGCGAGGGGGGTGTGAGGGAGATATGAGGGTGGAAGACGTGAGAAGCAAATAAATGACTTGTGGGAAGAAATCAAATGGCGACAGGCCTTATATGCCGTAGCTGCTGCAAATGCCGCAACACACACCATGCCCAACACACACCATGCCCTGACCTTCTCAGCAGCGTTGCAGCAACCGCAGCCGAATCCCCCATCCCCTCTTCCTCATTTCCTCGCTTCCCCACCCCTTGGTGGCCCCTGATGCCCCCCCACTGACCAGGGTCCACCGAAGCCGATCTCGTAGAAGAGGTCGAGGCGGCCGCATGCCACTCCCACCAGGTTCAGCGCACACGACCCCGACAGCCGCAGCGACCGCACCTGGGGCGGATTAGGAGTTGGACGAGGGAGGAGCGAGGGTGAGTTGATGGGGGAAGTGCAGGGTTGGTAAGTGGGAGGGGTAGAAAGTAAAGTGCAGGCAGAGCGAGGGTGTATTAGAGAGTCAGAGGAGGGCATGGAGAGGAAAAGGCAGCAGCGTGTGGCAAAGGAAGGCGTGGCCGAGGGGGGCCGGCATTGGTGTTGAGATTCGCTGGGCGTTCACTGGGACGTTGGATGGTCGTGGTAGGAGGAGGTTGGCAGGGGCAGGCAGGAGGGGGGCGGGAAGGGAAGGGGCGTGCCTGGAAGAGCAGGCTGCTGATGCGCCCTGTCAGCCCTGCCACTGTGCCTGCATCCCTCTTGGTGCCTATCTGATGCCCCCCGCCGCCATGGTGGCAGGGACCAGGGGAGAATGGTTGGGAGGCGAGGGGGGAGGGCGAACGAAGTGAAGGGTGAGACAGGCAGCAATGACCGTTGAGCAGAAAAACTGGTGCCAACGAAGGGTGCAAAGGGGCATGTGGATGGGTGGTGCACGAGAGCATGAATGCACGGGTGCAATGGTGGTGCATGGCAGAGGGGGTACCTCAGTGGCGAGCAGTGCTGACCCAATGTCCGTCTGAGAGGATGCTGCCAGGGGTAGGGTGGACGCACGGCAACAGGGGCAGTGCAACACGTGAAAGGGAGAGGGCGCAGAGGCACCACGGGGGGAAGAGTAAGGTAGGAGCGACGGGTGATAGGCAAGGGACAGCAGGAAGCGGTGAAGAAACAGCAGGGAGAGGTGAATGGACAGCAGGGAGAGGTGAATGGAGAAGATTGAGGACGTATAGGGTGGCTACAGGACTACCATGGGTGGCAGCACGACGTACCATGGATGGGCTCGTCGTTGAGCATGGCACCATGACCCCTCATCGCTGTGAACATCTGTGCATGGCGCATGGAGCATGGGGGGCATGGAGCATGGGGCATGGGGCATGGAGCATGGGGCATGGGGCATGGAGCATGGGGCATGGGGCATGGAGCATGGGGCATGGGGCATGGAGCATGGGGCATGGGGCATGGAGCATGGGGCATGGGGCATGGAGCATGGGGCGTGGGGCATGGAGCATGGGGCATGGGGCATGGAGCATGGGGCATGGGGCATGGAGCATGGGGCATGGGGCATGGAGCATGGGGCATGGGGCATGGAGCATGGGGCATGGGGCATGGAGCATGGGGCATGGGGCATGGAGCATGGGGCATGGGGCATGGAGCATGGGGCATGGGGCATGGAGCATGGGGCATGGGGCATGGAGCATGGGGCATGGGGCATGGAGCATGGGGCATGGGGCATGGAGCATGGGGCATGGAGCATGGGGCATGGGGCATGGAGCATGGGGCATGGGGCATGGAGCATGGGGCATGGGGCATGGAGCATGGGGCATGGGGCATGGAGCATGGGGCATGGGGCATGGAGCATGGGGCATGGGGCATGGAGCATGGGGCATGGGGCATGGAGCATGGGGCATGGGGCATGGAGCATGGGGCATGGGCATGGAGCATGGGGCATGGGGCATGGAGCATGGGGCATGGGGCATGGAGCATGGGGCATGGGGCATGGAGCATGGGGCATGGGGCATGGAGCATGGGGCATGGGGCATGGAGCATGGGGCATGGGGCATGGAGCATGGGGCATGGGGCATGGAGCATGGGGCATGGGGCATGGAGCATGGGGCATGGGGCATGGAGCATGGGGCATGGGGCATGGAGCATGGGGCATGGGGCATGGAGCATGGGGCATGGGGCATGGAGCATGGGGCATGGGGCATGGAGCATGGGGCATGGGGCATGGAGCATGGGGCATGGGGCATGGAGCATGGGGCATGGGGCATGGAGCATGGGGCATGGGGCATGGAGCATGGGGCATGGGGCATGGAGCATGGGGCATGGGGCATGGAGCATGGGGCATGGGGCATGGAGCATGGGGCATGGGGCATGGAGCATGGGGCATGGGGCATGGAGCATGGGGCATGGGGCATGGAGCATGGGGCATGGGGCATGGAGCATGGGGCATGGGGCATGGAGCATGGGGCATGGGGCATGGAGCATGGGGCATGGGGCATGGAGCATGGGGCATGGGGCATGGAGCATGGGGCATGGGGCATGGAGCATGGGGCATGGGGCATGGAGCATGGGGCATGGGGCATGGAGCATGGGGCATGGGGCATGGAGCATGGGGCATGGGGCATGGAGCATGGGGCATGGGGCATGGAGCATGGGGCATGGGGCATGGAGCATGGGGCATGGGGCATGGAGCATGGGGCATGGGGCATGGAGCATGGGGCATGGGGCATGGAGCATGGGGCATGGGGCATGGAGCATGGGGCATGGGGCATGGAGCATGGGGCATGGGGCATGGAGCATGGGGCATGGGGCATGGAGCATGGGGCATGGGGCATGGAGCATGGGGCATGGGGCATGGAGCATGGGGCATGGGGCATGGAGCATGGGGCATGGGGCATGGAGCATGGGGCATGGGGCATGGAGCATGGGGCGGGGCATGGCGCATGGGGCATGGGGCATGGATGCATGGGGCATGGGGCATGGGCATGGGCATGGGGCATGGAGCATGAGCATGGGGCATGGGGGCATGGAGCATGGGGCATGGGGCATGGAGCATGGGGCATGGGCATGGAGCATGGGGCATGGGGCATGGAGCATGGGGCATGGGGCATGGAGCATGGGGCATGGGGATGGAGCATGGGGCATGGGCATGGAGCATGGGGCCATGGGGCATGGAGCATGGGGCATGGGGCATGGGAGCATGGGGCATGGGGCATGGAGCATGGGGCATGGGGCATGGAGCATGGGGCATGGGGCATGGAGCATGGGGCATGGGGCATGGAGCATGGGGCATGGGGCATGGAGCATGGGGCATGGGGCATGGAGCATGGGGGCATGGGGCATGGAGCATGGGGCATGGGCATGGGCATGGGCATGGAGCATGGGGCATGGGGCATGGAGCATGGGGCATGGGGCATGGAGCATGGGGCATGGGGCATGGAGCATGGGGCATGGGGCATGGAGCATGGGGCATGGGGCATGGAGCATGGGGCATGGGGCATGGAGCATGGGGCATGGGGCATGGAGCATGGGGCATGGGGCATGGAGCATGGGGCATGGGGCATGGAGCATGGGGCATGGGGCATGGAGCATGGGGCATGGGGCATGGAGCATGGGGCATGGGGCATGGAGCATGGGGCATGGGGCATGGAGCATGGGGCATGGGGCATGGAGCATGGGGCATGGGGCATGGAGCATGGGGCATGGGGCATGGAGCATGGGGCATGGGGCATGGAGCATGGGGCATGGGGCATGGAGCATGGGGCATGGGGCATGGAGCATGGGGCATGGGGCATGGAGCATGGGGCATGGGGCATGGAGCATGGGGCATGGGGCATGGGGCATGGGGCATGGGGCATGGAGCATGGGGCATGGGGCATGGAGCATGGGGCATGGGGCATGGAGCATGGGGCATGGGGCATGGAGCATGGGGCATGGGGCATGGAGCATGGGGCATGGGGCATGGAGCATGGGGCATGGGGCATGGAGCATGGGGCATGGGGCATGGAGCATGGGGCATGGGGCATGGAGCATGGGGCATGGGGCATGGAGCATGGGGCATGGGGCATGGAGCATGGGGCATGGGGCATGGAGCATGGGGCATGGGGCATGGAGCATGGGGCATGGGGCATGGAGCATGGGGCATGGAGCATGGGGCATGGGGCATGGAGCATGGGGCATGGGGCATGGAGCATGGGGCATGGGGCATGGAGCATGGGGCATGGGGCATGGAGCATGGGGCATGGGGCATGGAGCATGGGGCATGGAGCATGGGGCATGGGGCATGGAGCATGGGGCATGGGGCATGGAGCATGGGGCACGGGGCAATGGAAAGGAACCATGGGATACAGGTGGGGGTGGAGTTGAATGAGGAAAGATGTTGGGCGTGATGAGTGGGGTGGGGGAGCAGCAGGGCACGTAGAGCAGTGTAGTGAGCAGAGTGGGGGATGTGCGTGCGGGGATTGACATGCATGCGTGAGTTGAGAGGCGCATGGCAAGGCGGGCAGGCAGGGGCACGTGCCTCGTTGAGGATGGGGTTGAAGACCACCCCCACCACCACCGCCTTGTTGATGGCCAGCCCGATGGACACACACACGAATGGATACCTGCTCTTGCCGGGCGCGCTCCATGCACGCATGGTGCGCGGCACAGGGGGCAGGGCACGTAGGCCAAGACACGGAGAGGGGGGTAGATATGAATGAAGCAAAGGCGGTGATGAGATGGGGTTGAGAAGGACAGATGATGCCGGCTGCCCATCTCCACAGGTGCAGGTTAGGGGCGCGGCAAGACTGCTGTTTGTGCCATTGCAGGGATGCACCCCCAACCCCACCCCCACCGCCACCCCCGTTGCCACCCCCACCCCCACTCCCACCCTCAGCGGCAGCGGCACCCCCAGCGGCAGCGGCACACCCACCGGTGCACGAAGTTGGTGGTGCCATCGAGGGGGTCCACCATCCACGTGGGGTCGTCTGACAGCCCCGCCGTGCCATGCACTGATGACTCCTCCTCGCCTATCAACTGATGCCGTGCCATGCCGTGCAGTTGAGATGGACGGTGAAGCACGGCATGTGGGGGACATTAGAGAAGGGGAGTCGATCGAGGAAGGGAGCAAATGACCTGCATGCTACGATACGACCATAAGCTCACCATGCTACAACCCAGAACCCATGCTGCAAGCCGGCAACCCAGCGAACCCAGCAGAGCCCTCGTGCTTCGGGTTCAATCACACGCTTGCCTTGTGGGAGGGATAAGCGGCTGAGATGTGCTGCATGATGAGTGCCTCGCATTGCTTGTCCGTTTCTGTGACCAGGTCGACCTAGATGCAGCACAGTGGGTGGCGGACGTAGGGAGGGGAGAGGAGGGAGGGAAAGGGAATGAGTGGGGACGGCACAATGTCACGATACATACGTTCTTGCACAACGCCTGGATGAGTTTCTGCGTTCCTTGACTTAAATACACATAGCTCTCACATGCCATGCTCTCACATGCCATGCTCTCACATGCCATGCTCTCACATGCCATGCCATGCCATGCCCCGACCTCCAACGCGCCTCACCTTGCCCTTGTGCTGCACGTCCTTTGGTGCGTTGAAGCTGCGGCGAATCACCTGGTGACACGTGTGCACGCATCCACGGATGTATGGGTGGGTGAGTTGAGGGATGGAGGGATGGAGGCGGATGGAAGGGGATGGAGGGAGGTGGAGGGATGGAGGGGGATGGAGGGATGGCGGGGGATGGAGGGGGATGGATGAATGGGGGGGGATGGAGGAATGGGGGGAGGGATGGCGGAGTAGAGGGAGTTAAGAAGAAAGAAACGGAGAGGAGAAAGTTGGCGGGGAAACAGCGAAGGAGCGGGGAGGAGAGAAGAGGAGAAGAGGAGGGGCGAGGCGAGGGAGAGGAGAGGGAGAGGACTGGGAGGGTTGTTGGGCGATGCAGGCGGCACGCCAGGCAAGCGGAGGGGCGTGATGGGAAGTGAGGGGCGTTGGGATACGGCACGTGCGAGGGGCTGCGGGGTGCGTCACGCGCTATGTGGCATGGTGCATGCACACACGGGGCAGCGCACACGGGGCAGCGCACACACGCACGGGGCAATGCGACGAACCTCGCCCGCGTGGCGAGCGGCCGTGACAGCGACGTCCAGATACTCGCGCAGCTCCCGCTCTGCCCGCGCGCACAGCCCATGGCCGCCGCACCGGCGATCGCGATGGCGCAACGATCGCAATGACAATGACACCGCACGGCGCGTCGCGGCACGCACGTTGGAATGCATAGAAGAGTCAGCATCGCAGACATCAGACGGGAAGACACGTGGAGAGAGACGGTCAGTCGTGCGGATTGATCAGCAAAGCTGAAAATCGGCAGGATTACAATTAATGACACACACAGGTCGGCACGGGAGGCAGCGTTAGCGGCAGGGCTAGCGGCAGGGCTAGCGGAGGTTTCACGGCAGAGAGGGCGACAATGCGGAAACGCACGACTCACCCGCGACAGCTACAGGCGTCGCCATGAGAGTCGCCTGGACGAGCCGGCGACAGTCTGACGGGAGACGCGAGACGAGAAGCGTTTCAGGGGCAGAAGATGCGAGGGCGGTGCGATTGATCGCTGATAAGGTGCAGGTCAGACGTGGTGCGTTCAAATGAGCCGTATAACGATCATCGTTTCGGTGTCAAGCGTTGATGATATGAATCAATGTAGCTACAGCAGCAGGATTCAATATTTGATTCCAACAAGGAATATATTAGTTTCTATAGAATCTAAAACAGCTGAGAGAAATCTGCACAGTAAATACAACCTAAAATGTGTTAATCCTAGCAAAACACTGGAAGGTGCTGTGGTGTGAGGACAGCACTCAGTAGCCATCGGGGTGCAGGCGGCGCCAGCGCCAGGCCATGGCGAGGGAGTCCTTGAGGTCCGTGTACTTGGCCTTCCAGCCCAGCTCGCGGTAGATCCTAGAGGGGTCGCTGTACACCTCCGCGTAGTCCCCCGGGCGCCGCGCCTTCTGCTCCATCACCTTTATGGGCGCGCCTGTCACGTTCAGACACGCGTTCACAAACTCGCGCACCGAGTACCCTGTTCAGGCATGGCAGGTCCGGGTAGGGCCGGTCAGTGCAGGGTAGGGCGTGCAAGGGTGTTGCAGGAAGAAAGGGAGGGAGGAGGGCGGGGTTGCCATACTAGCAGAACGCTTCTGCTAAGAATCAAGCGAAGCAATGAGGAGGTCGTGGTGAGGAAACAGCAAAAGGAGGAATGATGATGGCAGTCCAGAAGCAGCATGGAGGGGCAAGGGACGCCCACCTTTGCCGGTGCCGACGTTGTAGATGTTAACAGTGCCGGGTGTGAGGTGGTGCATGGCCACCACGTGTGCGTTCACGAGGTCCGTGACATGGATGTAGTCGCGGATGCACGTGCCGTCCGCTGTGGGGTAGTCCGTGCCCATCACCTGCCGGGGGGCACAGCCACGCAGCAGCAGAGAGATGATTCAGGTGCGTGAATGAGGTGAGTGTGGAGTGGAGTCAGCTCAGCAGTCACAGCTGTGGGGTAGTGCAGGCGTATCACCGGGCATGCAGTGGGGATAAGAATGGCGCCCGTTTGCTACGGCGGCCTTGGATGCTGTGGCTCTCCCTCATGGCCGGTGAGCTGGGGGTTGTGTGTGGCCATCACCAGCAATGCACCCCTGCAGCCGTGCAGTGAGCGCACATGCACCATGTGTTTGCACTCAATTCAACAGGCACTGATGAGTGTGTGTGTGTGTGTGTGCCGCACCGAAATATTCTCACAGCGTACAGGGCACACACATGGACGGAGAAAGCACATGACGGCAGAGACACAGCGAGCACGGAGTAATCACAGAAAGCAGGTGCTCATGCTCGTATCATGGTGCGCGGGGTGGGGAGAGCAGCATGGGGGAAAGCAGCACGGGAGGAGAGCAGCAGGGGGCGGGGGCGAGGCGAGCGCACCTTGAGTCCATCGATCTTGCCCATGGCGGCATCGAAGCACGCCCCTGTGATGCGCCCGTGGTGCCTCAGCTCCGGGCGAGGCGCCTCCCCCAGCCGCCCACTGGGGTCCGACCCGATCACATTGAAGTACCTGGGGGAGGTGGGGGGGTCAGGAGGGGAGGGGGGAGTGAGCAGGTGGGTGTGGGTGGCAGGGGAGGGGACGCCGAGGGTGGTGGAGTGAATGTGCGTGTGAGCGAGCGGAGGAGGGGGGTGTCCTACCAGGATACACTGAAGCGCATGCGGGATCCATTGTGGGTGGGATGAGTGGCAGCAGAGGAGATCGCAGGGGGGCTGCAAGGGAGATGCTAGGCACATGCGAGCAGGAGAGGCACGTGCGAGCAGGAGAGGCACGTGCGACAACTGACAAGCAAGCGAGAGTTCTGTGAGAATGGGTAGGCATGCAAGGCACACGATCTGAGGATAGGTAGACACATGGCAGGTGACCGGAGGTCGGAAAAAGAGGTGGGGAGAGGTGCGGGGACCTGAGGATGGTGGCGGCGAGGCGGGGGTTGGCGCGCGCGTAGTCGAGGATGACGTCCTCCGCCATCTTCTTTGACTTGCCGTACGGGTTTATGGGCGCCTGGTGCCACGCACCGCACACGGCAGGGGGGGGGAGGAGGGTGTGATGGGAGGGTGTATGCCACATGCACGACAGAGGTGGAGAGAAGGGGGTGGAGGGTGGGGGGAGGGGCACTTCATGAGCGCACTGCACGCACACTACAGCGTGATGGGTGCTAGCCGCTCACAAGGCAGGCAGAGGGGAGGAAGAGGGGCGGCTTGTGAAGAGTGGGAGGGCAACTGTGTGCGTCACTGTGCTCTGGTGGCATTGGCGTGCCATGGCCGACCCAGCGTGGTGGGTGATGGGCATGGTGGTGGGGTCACCTGCACAGTGTCCTCAGTGATGGGCATGGTCTTGGGTTCGCCATACGTGGCGCACGTGCTGCTGTAGATGAGCTGAGTCACGCCGTGCCGCCCCATGGCCTCCACCAGCGTCAGTGTGTTGGCCGTCACGTTGTGGTAGTACCTGTGCCGTGCATGCACGCATGCACCATGCCCCATGTCAAATAAGCAGGAGGAGAGCGAGATGAGTGTAATGGACGGCAGTTGCAGAGCCATGACCGCCAGCGGCCAGTGTGTGACGTGGTATGGTTCAAGTGCCAGCCCCCTACCGTACATCCCCTCCTGCCATTCTCTCCTCCACGCAGCCACCTCTCGCTCTGCGGAACTTGCTCCATCTCCCGTGCCAACAATGCTTGCGACTCACCTCCCCCATGTGCCATGCATGCACATGCCCCGCGCTCCATGTCACGTGAAAATAGGTCAGCACAACGAACGGGTGGGGGAGGGGGGAGGGAGGGATGGGGGTTTGGTGGGGGGGAATTGGGAGATGGGTGTGTTGGATGGCAATAGCGGTACCTGGACCCCCAGGGGCCAGTGTGAGAGGTGGGGCCAGTGTGAGAGGTGGGGCCAGTGTGAGAGGTGGATGTCAGTGATATGGCTGCCAACCTGTTCAAGTGCCACTCCCCATTCCATACGTCCCCTTTCCCTACAACCTCCCCTGCCATTCTCTACCACGCGACCACCTCTCTCGCCCCACAGGTCGCTCAATTCCCGCCCACCACACCCCCCATGCAGCTCACCTCAGCGGCTCCTGCATGCTCTCGCCCACATAAGCGACGGCAGCGAAGTGCATCACCACGTCGATGGCGTTGCTCGCAAACACCGCCTCCACCTGCCGCACAGACCCACCCACCCACCCCCCCACACACACACATGCACGCACGGCGCACAGCGGTGCTTCAAGTTCAAGGGGGCGGCGGTGCTTCCAGGGGAGGGGTCGGAGGAGCAGTATTGGAACAAGTAGAGGCGTGCAATAGAAACGGTGCATGGGAAGGAGCGCATGCCACATGGCCATGTGCGCATGATGCATGGTAGGGCAGTGCGCGCATGCATGGGGGCAGCGGAGCAGACCTTGCGCGGGTCCCCCAGGTCCGCATTGATGAACTGCAGCCGCCCCTCCGGCGCTATGCGCTGCAGCACCTGCACCGCGCCCCAGTTGCCCCGCGATAGGTTGTCCTGCCGTGCACATGAGCACACATACGCGCAGACGTAGGCACAGGCGCAGGCATAACCACAGGCACAGGCACATGCACAGGCACACATAGGCACACGCACGCACACACACATGCAGTGGGAAATGGGAGGAGAGTGGGGAGAGGGTGAGGAGGCGAAGAGGCGGCGCTGGAGTGGAGAGGGGCGCATGGGCGGGAGAAGGCGCAGGAGAGTGGCATGGCGGAGAGGAGAGCGCGGAGGCAGGAGAGGTGCATGCGGCTTACGAGAATCGTGACGTCACTCACGTTGAAGTGGTCGTCACTCACGACAATGGTGACGCGGTGGCCGGACGTGAGGAGGTGCAGCGACGCGTGCGAGCCGATAAAGCCCGCGCCGCCCGTCACCAGCACGTGCGTCACCCCCGCCTCGCGCACGCGGAACTGACGCACCGCCACACGCGCGCACAGAAGCGCACAGGCAGAGAGGGGGGGCACACAGGGAGCACAGTTGGAACATGCGCACAGTTGGACGTAGCGAGCGAGGAGTGAATGGGGAGAGGGGTGCGGGTACGAGACGGTGAGGATTCAGCACAGGATCGGACGCGAATCTCGCGATCAGCTCGACGCATTCTGAGAAAAATGCGAGCCTGCAGCGCCCCACCTGCATGGGAGTGGAATCTCTAGATTGGAGCACGAACATGCAGACCGCGACAAAGAGCGCCGCCAGCACCATCTTAACAGCAGATGATCTCTGCCGCCCCGTGGCCGCCGCCATGGGCGAGTCCATCCTGCGCCGCACGCGCCCACGCCTCAGCCAGCCGTGCGCGGTGCGGCAAGGGGGGAGGTAAGGAGACGGAGTGCGGGATCGTGCGCTCGTTCGTGGACTGCCGATGAACCCAATGGCTCCGCCGTGCACGCTAGCGACGACGATCACGGAAGGGCCAGCGCGGAGAGAGAAGCTGAAGCCGGATTAGCAGGAGGGATTGGTGAATGAAGGCTGCACGCCACTGAGAGATGGCGGCTACTATTGTAGGTCACAGGGCTTCGGTCCCAAAAAAGCAGGGAGGGTCCTCCTGAAGTGCTCTATGTGGTCCCAAAGAAACAGTGCCGGCTAATGCAAATCCGTCGTCTCGTCAGTTGCGTTATCAGGCTCGGCTTGGACACGCCGAGCCTGGAAGTCTACACGCTTGTAGACCAGCCATGAATGGGAGGGAAGTGTGTCAGTCGACGCCTCCAAGACTGAACCAGCCAATCAACGAACCTCGTGTCACCAGAGCAACTGCTCTGGGCATTAAGAATATACAAAGATCCTCTGTAGTATATACAATGCAGCTATGATGTGGTTGTTTAACAATCAGGAAGCCATATATAGAAGAGAAAAATCAAGGGCTTAGAAAGAGGCCTCATGCTAATTTATTTACTAAATATTGCGCTTTAAAAGTAATTAAATATGCTGTTCGACATTCTGGGAAACGCAACATAGCAATTACAACATTCTCGAGCTCCTCACTTGTTTATGCAATATTACATCTCTTCATTGGTGTAGCCTCACGGGAACTATTTGATTGCGTCCGTTGTTACAAAGCGAATCGCTGAAATTCTCCGATCTGCCGTTGGATTGGGAACGAAGCGAGAGAGGCTAATCGGAGGGTCGTTCGTCGTCAGACATATCCGAGGGTCAGTATGGAAATCGAGGAGCTCGAGTTGCGGGATGCTCCCCACGATATGTTTCTCCCCCCAGCAAATTATGTTGCAGGAGTACCACTGAGCAATCATACGAGGAGGCAGTACATTCTGCTGTGAGTGCAGGCGCTTCCCAACGAACTAGCTGGCAGTGTCACCAAAGCGATGTGGGAGACAGTTCCACACATAGCATACCACTTAGCAATGGCTTCGTTTCGGCGATGAGTATAAATTCCGCGTTTTTACCGTGAGGCAAACCGTACGTCCGGCCGGGCCATCGTTATGGAATATAGGTCTGGGCCTGGGCAAGGGAAAATAGGTCAGAGCAGTCAGCCGGCCATCAAGCGGGTCCAGGCAGGCAGTCGGCCGTCGCAGGAGAGACGAGCGAGCTCGCTGAAGAAGCTAGCGCGGCGAGAAGTGAGCGCGCGAGGAAACTGGGCGTTCAAGCGCACGAGCTCGGAGGAGAAGTTCAGGAACTTCAGCCTCCAGGTGCGACCCTTCAGGCGCCTCGCAGTTGAGGACCTCCGCCTTCATGCGTGCGCGTCACCTCGTTTCAATTCTAAATAAGTTCGCACGTGGTCGCGAAGTCCCTCTGCACCCGTGTTGATGCATAGCGGTTGTCCCCGCTCTCATTACCCTTCCCCACTTTGCCATGCCGTTGTTCGTTCGTGCATCTTCGTCCGCACGAACCTCCTTCCCGTAAAATTCCTCCTGCCTAGCCATTCCGCTCGGCGAGCAGTGCGCGCGGATTGAATGAGTTTTGTAAGTCGACCATGCGATGCCGTGGGTGCGCGTGCAGGGGGAGTACGACACGTTCGACGCCAAGGCCGCGCAGGTGGAGCGCCTGTCGTTTCTGAAGCGGCGATCGCGGATCGTGGAGATCGTGGCGGCCAAGGATCTGCTCTTCACGCTCGCGCACTCGGGAGCATGCGCTGCCATCTGCTTAGGTCCGCCTACCTATCCTCGCTTTCCATGTTCCGTTTTCCTTTTGCTCAAGCGCGTTCCGTGTCAGTCGACTCAGCCTATTCTGCTGCTGTGCCTCGTTTCTGCTGTGCGTGATTGCGGTGGCGGCAGAGTCGCGGCGGCGGCTGTGCTACATGAACGTGGGGTCGGAGGAGGTGATTCGGAGCCTGTTCTTCAACAAGAACAACGACTCGCTCATCACCGTCTCCGTCTACGCGCAGGACAACTTCAGCTCGCTCAAATGCAGAAGCACCCCGCTCGAGTGCGCCCCTGCCTTTCCTCCCAATCCTCGTGTCCGTGTCTGCTACCGCGCTAGCCTCCTCTGGCTCCGTTTTCCTTGGTTCCGTTTCTCATGGTCCCTCTCCGTCTTGTTGAGAGGCGTCTTTTGAAGATCGCTTTATTCCTCTGTGTCGTTCGCCTGTCGCCGCCTCTCCCTCCCGCACTCTGTGCCCTCCCTGCTCTGCTCCTTCTGCCGCCCATCCCTTTCTCACGTGCGCGCAAGTCACAAGGCCCTTCCCGTGTGTGGTGTGCTTCGCTCCACATGGTGTGTGCGCGGTGCTGCGCGTGCCCTGCAGGTACATCCGGAGGGGGCGGCCCAGCGAGGGCTTTGCGCTGTTTGAGTCGGAGTCGCTGCGCTGGCCGGGCTTTGTGGAGTTTGACGACGTCAACGGCAAGGTCCTCACCTACTCCGCTGACAACGGGTATGCTGCTCCCCTCCCCCCTGTGCTGCACATGCGCTCATGCGCTCACTGCAAGCTGGCTTTGGTACTCATGTGCTTGCTCATCTGCACACCCGCAACCACGTAGCTGCCACTTGCTTTGCACTGTCTGTCCTTGCCGTGCCTCATGGTTGCATGCTCAGAACAGCCGTTAACTTGTGTGAAATCGTTTGAGTGCGTGTGGATGCGTGTGTTGTGTGCGGGGTGCAGCATGTACAAGGTGTTTAATCTGCGCAACTACACTCTCCTCTACAGCGTGCCCGACAGCAACATTCAGGAAATCAAAATCAGGTCAGGATTAGACCTGTGCCAAGTTCAAAAGAGCCTCCATCCTATGTGCCTGTTGTGCTTTCAGTCCGTATAGCATTCACCACTTTTTGGGTTGTCTCCACCCATCCTGCCCACCTGCCATCCCCTTTCTGCCATCCACCATCCACTGCCTGCCATGCTGCTGTGCGCGGTGCAGTCCGGGCATCATGCTGCTGATCTACAACCGCGCGGAGGGGCACGTGCCACTCAAGATCCTGTCGATCGAGGACGGGGCGGTGCTGGCGTCGTTTGTGCAGCTGCTGCAGCGCGGCAAGAAGGTGGACTTCATCGAGCAGTTCAACGAGAAGCTGCTCGTCAAGCAGGAGAACGACAACCTCCACATCCTCGACGTCCGTGCTCCTCTCCCTTCCTCTTCCGCTCCCTGCCAACCCCTATCCTTGCCCTCGCTGCCGTGCTCCTTGCTGCCCTCGCTGCCGTACGCCTGCTTGTAACCCGTGCACTGACTCGCTCGCATGGATTTGGTCCCTCATGCCCCTGTCTACCCTGTAATCTGTCTAAACATGACATTTTCGCCGCATTGTGACCCGCCCCCTCCGTGCGGTGGAGAGCAGGTGCGCACGCGGGAGGAGACGCAGGTGAGCCGCACGGAGTTCATGACGCCCTCGGCGTTCATCTTCCTGTACGAGAACCAGCTCTTCCTCACCTTCCGCAACCGCGCCGTGGCCGTGTGGAACTTCCGCGGGGAGATGGTGACGGCGTTTGAGGACCACGAGCTCTGGTACCCCGACTGCAACACCAACAACATCTACATCACCTCGGACCAGGACCTCATCATCTCCTACTGCAAGCACCACCACCCCTCCCACGCCCCCCACGGTCAGTCCACACCACCTCCCCGTGCCTGTCTCTCATTCTAATGCCCCCTGTTTACTGTAAGCTCTTCATGGGCTGTCTATCCACCTCGTCCTCCCTGCCCGCCTCTCTGCTACCCTGCATCATGCCTGTTGTATGCAGTGGGCAGCATCAACATCAGCAACATCCTCACGGGGAAGCTGCTGGCTAAAATATCGTCGGATTCAGAGTCGGCTCAAGCCAAATCGAAGTCCGTCCACTCGACCGTAAAGGAGGCACTGGAAGACGTTACAGCACTGTTTTATGATGAAGATAGGAATGAGATCTACACAGGAAATAGAAGTGGCTTTGTACATGTCTGGACAAACTAAGCAAGCTGGATGGAGGCTAGCTATGATGAGGGCAAATGTGTTGCATGGTATGTACCCAGTCGCTAAACCAACCAACCAACCAACCAGAACAGACAGCAAGAAAGCCAGATTCCACCATTTTAGGGCTCTGGGGTACGCAACAGACTCTGCCCAAGCCAGATATAATCCCCACTGGATACCAGTACGAATAGTCGGTCTTGCTCTTTGCAAGGCAGAGCGCAACTCTCAGAACTCTTTGCCGCTTCCCAAGAATGGCAGGGTGTGGTTAGCCGTACTCTCTACCTACGGCGTATGCTAATGCACTGGCGGCAGGCAGCCCAAGGCTATGCCTGTGCCTGGCTCTCAGTATGCCTTGGCTGCAGCAGCAGGCAGGCTATGCCCGGGCGGTGGTTATGCCTTGGCTCTGGAAGCATTAGTGGCACGTATTCTGTCCCGGTTGTCCAACTTCACCAGGCGCTCCAACTGCTCCTCTCACAGCACACACATTCCACACACATGAAGACACCACACACGCCACACACATCCCACACACACCACAGACACGAACACACACGAACACACTCGAACACACACGAACACACACGAACATACACAGCACACACAGCACAACCACAGGAGCCAGATTAAGAAGCATGCCATGCATACGGTACGTGAACATATACTGCATGTACCTACTTGACCATCTACCAACGCCATGCCTCACCTCCGCCATGCCCATGCCTCACCTCCGCCATGCCCATGTCCTCAATTCTCTTCCTCTTGAGCTCGCTCAGCGGCGCCTGGCGGTCCAGCAGCGTCCACAGCCACTCGGGGTACTCACTGCACGCACGCACGCACACACGCACGCACGCACGCACGCACACACGCACGCACGCACGCACGCACGCACGCACGCACGCACGCACGCACGCACGCACGCACCCATGGAGGGACGCACACATGCACACACCCATGGAGGGACGCACACACCCGAAGAGGGACGCACACTGATACACCGTGTGCAATCAATCCGCTTCCGATGGCATCCTGAAGCCACTGCAAGTGCGCGCTGCTCGCTACACGGAAGGCAACAGAGAGGAGGCGAGCAAGTGCAAGAAACTGCACGCCGCGAGTCAATGCTGGTGATGCCATGGAGCACGCGAGGCCATGCTGGTGATGCCATGGACCACGCGAGGCCATGCTGGTGATGCCATGGACCACGCGAGGCCATGCTGGTGATGCCATGGAGCACGCGACCTGCAAACCAACCTCACCCTTCACCTCTCCGCCTCTCCTCCTCTCGCGTCCCTGCCATCGCGCCCCTCCCCTCCCCTCCCCTGCCCGCGTCCCCCGCGTGCAGCGCACCTGTCGGGCAGCACGGGGGGGTCGGAGCCCGTCTTCAGGATGTTGCCGCCCACCACTGTCGCCGCGCGCACCTCCACTGGCACGGACGACGCGCGGGCGGCGTCTGCGGGAAGAGAGGGAGGGTGCACGGAAAATGGGGCGGCATGAGATGGTCGGATCGCGGCTCTGCTGCTCACGGCGTCGCGCAACCCTTTCCACCCCGCTCTTCACGCATCATCCCCGCTCTTCACGCATCAACCCCGCTCTTCACGCATCACCCCCGCTCTTCACGCATCAACCATTTCGCGCCCGCACCTGAAGCAGCAGCGTCGCCTTTTCCCTTCTTCGCGCCTTTCGCGGCTGCCTTGGGCGCAGCCGCGCGTAGCCGCAGAGCGCCTGAGAGCACGCGCGCGCGCAGCACTGACGCCATGGGGCGGAGAAGCGGATGCTTCGGTGACGCGCAGTCAGCGCGACGGCAACGGAGCTACGCGCAAGGGCGAGGGGGGAGGAAAATATGCAGCGAACTTTCCGCAGTGGTGTGGTGAGAGTGTGAAGATGGCGACGCACGGATGATACACAGCACGGCTATCGTGATGCCACGGAGGGCCCCGCGTGATGGGCGACGGACAGGATTATGACCGTATATCGAGGTCTGGCAGGACGTCCCGACGAAGTACTGTTGCAAACTAGAGACTGGTATTTCGTGCAAACTGTAAGGAACTTCTGCTTTATGCTAAAGTCTGACATCATGTAAGGAACTTGTCATTTAAATTTCAGCCTTTTTACGCTTATTCAGCATAAAATTAGGCTTTTTTTTCTACCCCTAGGCTGATTCCATTTTTTTTTTATGAACATTGGCTGTTTATTTCAGCCATTTTTTTTGCAGGGCTGAGCACTCGGCCCTGTAACAAAAATAGCCTAATACTTCGTATTCTACACATGTGTATATTTTTTTACGGTATGCGTTTCGGGGCTACAAGCGCCGAGAACAAACGGTTTTCTTTGCTTTGAAGAGCAGGTTTGTGAGTGCATGGTCCTGAAACGATGCTAGAAAAATGCGTAGGAGTGAGGCAAGAACGATTAGCCATGCGTACACATGACAAAAAACGAATTGCTCCATGTTTTACGCCTGTGTGGATTTTTTATGGGGTACAAACGCCAAGAACGAGAGTTTTACGTGGGCATCTTCAACCATAAACCCTGAAACTATGTTGAAAGTACGAGGGGAATGAGGAAAAAACAATTGGTCATACGTACCCACAATAGAAAACATGTTTCATTTTCTACACTGGTGCGGTTTTTTCAAACGTCAAGAATGAGCGTTTTTCTTTGCTTTGAATATCTTATGGCCAATCAAAGTCATACGTTGATTAGTTTGGTCGGTATGCGCATACGTAGAGAGCATACCGTAGAGTTGAAACGTTCATATCTTCCACTATCATTACCATTACCACTACCATTACCATTACCTTTAACGGTACCATTATCATTACCATTACCATTACCACTACCATTACCATTATAATTACCACTACCATTACCATTACCACTAGCATTACCTGTCAAAACATATTGTTATGTTCTTACTCTAGGTTGTGTAGGGTCACACCTTAGAGGGTATAACCCAACTCTCTCGACACTCTTGTACCCCCTCTCCCTCACCTAATCATCATTCCTCACCTAGCTACTAGTGATTCTAACATGGTATTAAGAGCACAATGCTCCTTAGGACCGAATGTTTAAAAGGGCCCACCACTACTATTTCGATCTACTGCCCGAGTCGCGCCCCTAGGAGAAACGCGAAATTCGAAACCGTGCTCTAGGCGAGACGGTTCCTTTTTCTGCCTTAGACGCGATTTTCCTTCCTAGTCACGTGCGACCCCCCCTGACCGCGCCTTAGCTGCCAATACAGCCCGCGTAGGCCCGTCGCGAAGCCCGTACAGCCCGCGTAGGCCCGTCGCGAAGCCCGTACAGCCCGCGTAGGCCCGTCGCGAAGCCCGTACAGCCTGCGCCAGGCCGTCGCGCAGCCCGTACAGCCTACGTCAGGCCCGCACCCAGCTCGTAAAGCCCGCGCCAGGCCCGCACGCAGCCCTTACAGCCCGCGCCTGGCCCGCACGCGGCCCGTGTTACTGCTGCACTCGCTGCTGCTGCTACACTGCTGCGCCTGAACTGCTGCTGCAGTGATGCTGCCGCCTGTACTGCCCTGAAACTGCTGCTGCTACTTGCTGCAGCTGCTCCTCCTTGCTGCTGCTGCTGCTACTTGCTGCAGCTGCTCCTCCTTGCTACTGCTGCTACAGCTAGCGCTACTCACTGCTGCTGCTACTGAAGCTAGTGCTGCTACAGCTAGTGCTACTGCTGCTGCTGCTACTACCGCACTTGCTACAGCTGCTACTGACTGAAGCTACGGCTGCTACAGCTAGTGCTACTGCTGCAGCTCCTACTCCAACACTTGCTACAGCTACTATTGACTGAAGCTACTCCAGCTACAGCTAGTGCTACTGCTGCAGCTCCTACTCCAGCACTTACTGCAGCTGCTCCTGACTGAAGTTACTGCTGCTACAGCTAGTACTACTGCTGCAGCTCCTACTACTTCACTTGCTACAGCTAGTGCTACTGCTGCAGCTCCTACTCCAGCACTTGCTACAGCTGCTCCTGACTGAAGCTACTGCTGCTTGACTGAAGCTACTGCTGCTACAGCTAGTACTACTGCTGCAGCTCCTACTACTGCACTTGCTACAGCTAGTGCTACTGCTGCTCTGCCACTGTGTCCGAGCCGCGCCGCCCAGCCCGAGCTGTCACTGCTGCTGCTACTGCAACTACTACTGCTACAGCTAGTGCTACTCGGTCTACTGCTGCTGCTGCTGCTGCTGCTGCTGCTGCTCGGTCTGCTGCTGCTGCCCGAGCCGCCCTGCTACTGCTGCTACTGGAGGGAGTACTGCTGGGAGTGGTGGAGGTGCGGCCTCCCACCCCCACCGAACCGCCCTGCTGCTGTTACTACTGCTGCTGCTGCTACTTGTGCTACTGGGAGTGGAGGAGGTGCTGCTGGGAGTGTAGGAGGTGCTGCTGGCGCTGTAGGAGCTGGAGGTGCTGGACCTACTCCTGACAGTCACTGTCTGTCATGGCCACTTCCGCGGCAGTCGCTGCGGCCAGGGGTGGACAGCAGCGGGCACTGCTTCTCCCGGACGACCCCACCCCTCGGCAGCTTCGTGAGTGGGTTATTCAGCGAGGTCGTCCTGGTGGTGGAGGTTATCGTTCTGTTAAGACCGCTGCTCTTGGTGTTAGTGAGTCTGCTGCCACTCCAGGTGTTAGTCAGTCTGCTGCCACTCCAGGTGTTAGTGAGTCTGCTGCAGCTCTAGGTGCCCGTGAGTCTACCGACGCTCTATTTGCTAGTGCGTCTACTACCACAGGTCCTGCCTCAGCTGAGGTCTTGAACACTTTCACGCTTGACTCCGGCGCGTCACGTTGCTTCTTCCGTGATTGCACCACAGTCACACCACTCACAGCACCTGTCCCAGTCTCACTGGCTGACCCCTCTGGGGGCCCAGTGGTTGCGAGAGCCTCCACGGTCCTCCCTTGTCCAGCAGTCCCCTCCGGCTCTTTGTCAGGTCTCCACCTCCCCACGTTCTCGACGAACTTGGTGAGCAACGCTGCCATTCAGGATGTCTGGGTTGATACCTTTATTCCTGGAGGGCAGCGTGTGGCGATCTGTACGTGCTCCCGGACTGGCCGTCACCTGGCTACGTTCACTCGACAGCCTGGGTCTAGTCTGTACACACTGACCACTGCGTCTGCACAGGTGGCTGAGTCAGGTCAGGTAGCTACGTCGAGTCGAGCGTCTGCGTCAGGACAGTTAGCTGCGTCTTGCTCGTGCCGAGTACTCACGCACGAGACTCAGCGCTGGCACCACCGTCTTGGTCACCCCTCCCTGCAGCGTCTGCGCCGCATGCACTCCCGGCTCCTGGTCACTGGCCTCCCTGAGACCCTGCCCCCCCTCCCGCGCTCACTTGCGCCGCCGTGCCTTCCTTGCGTCGAGGGGCGGCAGCGCGCCGCTCTTCACTCCTCCGAGTTTCCTCCGACCACTGCTCCTCTGCAGACTCTCCACATGGACGTGTGGGGCCCGGCCCCCGTCGGTGGAACGGACCAGGAGCGCTACTTCCTGCTGGTGGTTGACGACTACACACGCTACACCACAGTCTTCCCCTTGCGGCGCAAGGCGGATGTCAGTGGTGTCTTGATCCCCTGGATCCGTGCTACTCGTCACCAGCTGCGCGAGCGGTTTCGGCGGGACTTTCCAGTCCTGCGTCTGCACTCTGACAGGGGTGGTGAGTTCTCCTCTGGCGTCCTTGAGACGTTCTGCCAGGATAAGGGCATCGCCCAGTCGTTCACGCTTCCGGCCTCTCCGCAGCAAAATGGGATCGCTGAGCGTCGCATTGGCCTGATCATGGAGGTTGCTCGTACCTCCATGATCCATGCGGCTGCTCCCCATTTCCTGTGGCCGTTTGCGGTCCGATACGCCGCGCATCAGCTCAACCTCTGGCCCCGTGTCTCTGCTCCAGAGACCTCGCCCACACTCCGTTGGACGGGACAGCCTGGTGATGCGTCGTCGTTTCGGGTCTGGGGCGCGCTCTCCCTTGTTCGCGATACCAAAGCGAGCAAGCTCTCCCCTCGCACTCTCCGCTGTGTCTTCTTCGGCTTCCCCACCGACGCTCCACCCTGGCAGTTCTACCACCCTGCCTCGCGTCGTGTTCTGTCCTCTCAGGACGTCACCTTCGACGAGTCGGTCTGTTACTACCGACTTCACCCGCACGCGTCCCACCCGGTCCCTCTCGCGCCTCTCTTCCTGGTACCAGTCCCCCCCCCGGTAGACCCCCTTCCCCCACAGGGTCCTGCTCCCTCAGGTGTGTCCCAGGTAGACCCACCCCCCTTGGATGAGCCAGTTGAGATCTCTTCTAACTCCTCTGACTCACCTGAGGGGGGTGACGCCGTCGCCGACGACACGGCGACCACTCGCCGCACTCCTCGCTTGGAGACCCCCCCGGGTTTCCCGCCACAGCCGTCTTCGCCGCCTCCGCAGCCTGCTGCTGTGGACTCTGGAGCTGAGACTACTGGAGCTGGGGCTGGGGGTGGTGAGTCCGGGGGTGCCCGCTCTCCTTGTCTGGCTACACCCCCCGGGTTCCCACCTCTGCCGTCTTCGCCGCCTCTGCAGCCTGCTGCTGTGGACACTGGAGCAGAGACTGAGGGTACTGAGCCTGGGGGTGCTGGGACTGAGGGTACTGAGCCTGGGGGTGCTGGGACTGAGGGTACTGAGCCTGGGGGTGCTGGGACTGAGGGTACTGGACCTGAGGGTGCTGCGACTGAGGGTACTGAGCCTGCGAGTGCTGAGACCGAGGGTCCTGCCTCTGGGGGTACTACGAGTTCGGGTGCTGACTC